AAATAGAATAATATATATATGGCAATTTGATATAGCAATTTGGTATGTATAAATAGGCTCTCCTTGCGCGGTTAATTAGGTAGAACAACTTGCTATTCAGATTCTATTCTCCTGATTAGTCAGCAACGTTCGACAGAGCGTAACACATATCGTAGGACGTGTCGTAAGGATCAAACCCCAGAAGTACGATTGGTATGCCTGCATCGTGGCTGATACAGTAGCTAGGAGCTTAATACGTATTCCTAGTCAGGAAATGTTGGTGACTTGAAGTTCTTGAAGCAGAACAGCCAATAACAAGCGCCAGGTATAGGGTACCTCGATCGAGGTGTGTTTCAGTTTGGACACGATGATCCACTCTCTCTCTTCTGCGATATTTCTATCCCACCTAATATCGAAAGCCCCCAATTTAGCTCTGCTACAAATGTTTATCGAAACCAATACGGAGTTGGGTCGAATAGCCAGAATCAAGTAATGCTCATTCACTAAATGCTCATCTGAGCTACTTGAATCAGTTTTATCTCCAGAATTAACGTTAGCAACGTTTTGAATAACAGAAATATGCCCTGAGACCCAAAACGCAGAGCCATTTTAGTTGCTATTAGGGATCTATTGTACATGTGGACTTGCTAGTGTTACGTTACTCGTGCTGCTTGAGTGTTTCAGGAGTAGTAACTTGCAATTTTATTGAGTTTGATTTGTTCAAAGGACTTTATTAGAATTTTAATGCCTTTTGGAGCCGATGGAATAAGCTTTAATTGGCTTCAGACACAGCCGATACATCCTCTGATTGACCTTATCTGTATTCTGGATCATACTATTTGGCAGCACAAGTAAACTAGTATTGACTGCCAAGGCCGGAGGCACATTCTTCAGGGCTGGGCGGACGGGAGGTGGCGATAAAAAGGTTATTAGGAAAAATTAAAAAAAACAGTACAGCTAAGCCATAAGGTCCTTGTTGTTACAGCTGCCATGCTTATTGCCTGCTAGCGCTAGGGCGCCAGGTATTAATTAGCACTAGACATTAGTAAGGGGCATGCTTATTATATAGAAGCGACCCCAGGGCCCTTATCGTCGACTCTCCAGTCTTAGGATAGCACTCAACATGGGCTGAAGATCTCGCGTACTCATTACCTGCTTCTAACATGACACGTAACATTATCCTAAGACTGCTCTTTAACTGGAAACGGTCGTTAAACTATCGACTGCAAGAGATCTGTATCTCTGGACCCGTCGCCAGCTTATTCTGGGTCAGTATTAACATTCGAGGTCAGACTTAAGTTTAAAGCAAGCCTCTCTAACACCCTTTGCGCCCCTACACTCAACATGGGCTGAAGATCTCGCGTACTCATTACCTGCTTCTAACATGACACGTAACATTATCCTAAGACTGCTCTTTAACTGGAAACGGTCGTTAAACTATCGACTGCAAGAGATCTGTATCTCTGGACCCGTCGCCAGCTTATTCTGGGTCAGTATTAACATTCGAGGTCAGACTTAAGTTTAAAGCAAGCCTCTCTAACACCCTTTGCGCCCCTAACGAGGTTAAAGAAGACAAGGAGATTCGGACCTCTGAATTTAAATAAGCAGGATCCTTATACCTAGTAAGTAAAAGAACAGGGCGTCCTGTACGCATATATATAACAACTCTGTAGTTAAGGCGGAGTATAAACATAGGGTCGACATACTCTAGAGCTGTTAGACAGCTGCCTTGTTTAAAGGGGCTACTAACCTTTTCCCCACCTTGACAATTATGACACCCTTTAAGGTCCTGTCGCCTTTCCTCTTTTGACTTACGTAATACTCTATTAGAGCTAGGCCACGTATTGACAATAGTGATACTTACTAGCGACTAGTCGCTAACACGCAAGAACGCAGAGGCAGCTACCTAGTTTGATACAGTTGTCTTTGACCTATCTAGTCCAGCTAGGATCAATAACCCTACCCTTAATGCTGAGACTAATTATCAAAACCCTATTCTATCCTTCGACCTTTCTGATCCTCTTGCCAGAGTAGCTTAGCTAAGAGTGATCATACTAGCTAATCTTTAATCCAGTATTAACGTTATTCTAGCTGAGCTGCAGCAACAAGGAGTACAAGAACGAAGCTACCTTAACACAGAAGGAAGCTAAGACGCAGGAGAGAACTCGGACGCTATTAAATCTGATAAGGATAAAAGTAGCTGCTATAAAGGATATTAAGAGCCTTAACGTTACAGCAGAAGTTGTTAGAAAGAACCAGAAAAGCCTGACTTTAACAGAGGCACGTTAGCTGACTACAACAGGATCAGGCAAGGATAACCTGCATATACGCTTACTTTGCTAAATCTACTCGCAAACGATTACAGCATACCTAAGTCAGGCAAAAACGCGTGCTTTAGTGGCCAGGCTATATTAGTGGCCTTATTAGAGTAGCGATATAGTACGTTATGTCGCTAACTGTTATAAATGCCGTCAATCCTATAAGCCGCGTGATAAGACACCTGGCCTTCTGTATTCTTTACCTGTTCTTCTTCGACTGTGGAATGACCTCTTGATAGATTTCTATATACCTAGTACCGTTAGTAATAGATGTAACGCCGTCTTTATAATAGTAGATTAGTTAAGCAAGAGACACATTTACTTACTGACAAAGAAAATAGCTACTACGACTACTGTGGCTAACCTCTTCTATAAGTATGTATAGCGATTTAAAGGATGCCTAAAGACTATTACTAGTGATAAAAGACCGTAGTTTATTAGCGTCTTTCTTAACGAACTATCTCGCCTCTGTTGTGTTAAGCTTAAGTTGTTAACATCAGCTTACCTTTAGACGGACAGCTAGACAGAAATCATCAACTAGATTATTGATATAAGGCTTTAATCATTTGTAAACCACTTCTAAGACGATTAGGCTTATCTTTTATTAGCACTAGATGCTGCAGAGTTAGCTCTAGTTCACGAATCCACAGGACTAACACCTTACATAATTAAGTACGGCCAAGAACCCTGTCTGGATTTCGACTGGACACAGATGAGTGACGGCTCACGCCAGAATGCGCAAGAAAGAGCTACTCGAGAGCAGGCAAGGAAGCACTTACGTCGTATTGACAAGGCAGTAAGCTGGGCTAGAATGAATATGACCTCAGCTCAAGCTCAGCATGCTTGTCAAGCCAACAAGAAACGTTACTCGCCTGATTTCCAATCAGGAGACCTTGTATTCGTCATCAAGAAGCTGTGGAGAACAGATAGGCCCTCAGACAAGCTGGACTATCCTGTCGCAAGCCCCTTTCGTATCTTAGAGATGATTAGCCACTCCTACAAGCTAGAGCTCCTGTCCTCCTATCGTATCTTGCCAGTGCTACACGCAGACCGGCTACGTAAGGCAGATAACAATCCTCTCCCTGGCCAGATCCTTACTCTATCTCTTATAGTTAAAGTCGACAGAGACCTCGAGTAGGAAGTTAAGAGAATTCTGTCGTTGCCGTCGGCTTGATCTCGTCACCGGCTCAAACACCGCTGACTTGACCGTGTGTTTCCTTGCTATTCTGTGGATCTTCTTCTATTTATATCTCTCTCTTTAGATACTGGTAACTGTGTGGCAGGAAGATATATTAGGCCGGCGTGCTGTGCTGTTGTGCTGTGCTTGTTTTGCTGTGTGCTGCTGCTGTGTGCTGCTGCTGTTTTGTTTTTCTTCTCATCGGACATGAGGGCATGTCGAGTCTTCTGGAGGGGGGGTGATGTCACGGCTGCCATGCTTGTCGCCTGCTAGCGCTAGGGCGCCGGGTATTGATTGGCACTAGACGTTAGTAAGGGGCATGCTTGTTATATAGAAGCGACCCCAGGGCCCTCACCGTCGACTCTCCAGTCTTAGGATAGCACTCAACATGGGCTGAAGATCTCGCGCACTCGTCGCCTGCTTCCAACGTGACACGTGACACTTGTGCTCTTGGCCAACCTATCCTTAATGTAGTGTTAGTGCACGAGTCTCTTTCTGTTTTGAGAATAGCGTTTCCGTGATTCAGCGTAATAATTATGTTGCTGCGGCCCTAGCAAGAAGAACACCATTTTTTAAAAAAGTACAGATTTGATACTGAGCATCCCTATCTTGAGTTATAATATGTTTATGAAATCTCAAGACCCTGAAATAATCTATACTTCTAGAGCTATTAGATAATGTTATTTATTATAATAGGTCTTATCATACAAGAGATGCAGTCAAAAAAGCAGCTAGAGAGGAGTCAATTTTGGTGTTGCTTCTGACAAGGCTGCAGCAGAATTATTAACTTTAGTTCGTTTAAACTTATGAGAACGCTACTCATTCAGTGACACAGGGGATACGCTCCTAAGGTACACACTACTGAAAGGCTTCAAAGAGTTAATCAGACATGTAAAAGCTGCAAGCAAGACTACATAACTAAGATCAGGCCGGCTTACTTATAGCTTAGGTAAAACCAGCAAGTGTTCAGGTTTGGAAATAGAACAGCCACTTGTCCAGTCAAATCAAATCAAATGTTTGGCAATCAAATCAAATCACGTTTATTAATTTAATCAGATTAGGTCTTGGCAGAAAAGTTGTATATTTTGGCATATTTTGGCATATTTTCGTTGAAAGAATAAAAAGTCTTGGCGGACTCCCTTTGCGAGATGGAAATTCTTGATAGTTATCCTAGCAAAATCATTGCTTACTAAGATTTGACCTGTTTAAAAAATGAATCAAATGGACCAAATCGGCACTAAATTTGGTTCATTTGATTTGATGGATACCCTGGTTTTGGCGACTGTATATAGGCTATTTGTTGGTTGATGTGACAAAGAATGAACCAGGATGAATCAGCAAAGGAGGATTGCAGTGTTTCTCTTACAGAAGAAAGGCGAACAGATCAGTTGCAAAGGCAGTCGACTGTAAAGGGGGAACGAGCAAATGTTTGATTTGTGCGCATCAATTTCTATTGTGTTTGCAGCTCAAAGCACCTGTTTCCTTACTCTGGACGGAATCTCACTCAGTCCAACCGAAATTCTTTGTCAAGCGATGACCCATCCGTTGAAGCTCATGTCGTTCATAGGAAGATGTATTGTGGTGCGCACGAAAGACGATAATCTTTCGTTCATAGGCCTTAATACCGGGCTTGAGGAGAGTATAGTATACAATGAACCCCCCGTCGGATATTGCTCGAGTCCAATTATACTCACAAGTCTGCCAAGTCCTGCGAATGCTGCGCTTCCTAATCGACGTTGCTCTTCGAGGTGGAAGAGGTGGGATACAGTACGATAGAATATAGTGGAAACTGTGTAGCGTTCTGGTGAAGATAAGGGGCTTGGGAGCGGCCATGCTGAAGTCTCGGCTTGGTCGAGCCCAATCTTCTCGCTGTCTGGGTCAGCTCTGGCCTTGTTGAGGTCATACGGCCTTTGAAAAGTCTCTTCCTCCTCCTGTGAACTGGAAAATAAGGAGTCAAAGGCTATCTGACATTCTTAGGTGGCGGCGACCATACGCGAGCCCTCTCCTCCGACGATATAGGGTCAGAAAAGTTTGATCCATTATGAGTCCAGTCTGAGCTCGCAAAGTCAAGAAGCACTCGATTAGCACCTCCAAGGGCCAGTTGATCCAAAAACAGGTCCCTTGCTAGCTCCACCCCTGAGCTTAACAGAGTCTGCTGCTCGTTGATCAAGGCGAGCCAGGCAACGGTCTTGACTCCAGCATGTCTGGGTTCTTTCAGCTCTCTAAATGACAATGCCTCGCCGGTCAGGGTCTTATGAGGGAGTATGCCTTGGTAGAGGCAGGTTTCATACTGGCTGAAATACGTTGCCTTGCTCTCATAACCTGAGGCCCAGGCTCTGGAACTGATGGTCGAAAATAACGGCATGGCTTTTTAAACGACAGGCCCCAAAATCATCCCGCCTTTCTCAATCGTTCGATAGATGTACTGTTTGAAGATCATGCCGAATTTGGCATCTTCCTGGTCTTCAAATGGTATAGGGCTACTATTCCTGCCTCGAAGATTTGCCATCCTGACGAACTGGCTTAGTGCCTCTTTGATGGCATACTACGAAATGATGTTTTGAGAGGTGCCGAATGTTGCGCCACTTACTGTTACAACAGGAGGCTTTAGTACCGTGCAATGTGTCCATTTAAATCAAAATCAAATTGGGTCAAATAAACCAGACCCATGGGATATTTGGCAAATAAATCCAATCTGTGCTTTCGTAAAATCAAATTAAGACTTTGAAATCTGACAAATTAATCAAATGGACGTCTTGGCAGACAAGTCCTTTAATCTTGAAAATGCAGGGTTGCAATTTTTGATGCATAGAATAAAGGCTTGGCAGACAAGTCTTTCATTTTGAAAACTCGGGGTTATTGTTGATTGAAAGAATAAAGTCTTGGCGGACTCCCGTTGTGAGATGAAAATCCTTAAAGTCCTCCTAACCAAGCAATTTCCCCAGTTCCAGTTAGGGCCTCGATCCTAGCCGGGCCGAGGCCGAGCAGTCATAAGCAGCCCTAAGCGACCCCTGAGGAGAGGCTAAGCAGAGCCTGAGCATGTCTATAATTGTCAGCTGTGTTTCAACCACATTCCAGCCAAACCTACTATTGCAGAGTCCAAGTCACATTCTACGATTCTTTTAAAGCCGCATGTTAGGAGTGCATTCTTTATTGTCATTATTAATAGTGCTTTACAGCTGTAAGACGCATATATTCGTACGCTAGATTGTCACGTCTCTCATGACCCTGCCTCTTGATAGAGAGTAGGGTTATGATTATGGGATGTGGTCCTATTTCACTCTATTTTCATGTAATACTTAATCAGTCAATTCACAATACGCAATCCCCGAAATAAGGAGTTTTAGGACCTACTGCCACCAAATCCATTTATATCAGCCCATTTCGGCAACCTCGCTAGGAACAAGTCGATTCAAGTTAGACTAACTCGAGCTCACTGTTACAGCACGTGAACACGCCAAGCACAGACAGGCACTACGGAGCTGCCTGGCGCTCTGCGAAGGAACTATGACAGACTTGGACAGGCGCGAACCCTGAACTGCATACAAGGTCACACCTGGACAACGTAATGATCAGAGGTGATCAGGATGATCAACTCTGAGCACGAACCTTCTAGCCTATATAAGCACACTCATTTCCCAGATAGTTTCATAGTCTTCGTAGTCAACTCATGTTATCAGCTCTTACCTAGAAGTTGAAGACATCTTGTGATCTACTTGTGCACCCCCTGTTCTACAACCCAAACCCTTTGGACCTCACTTCCAGTTAAGACTTGTCTTGACTTGTTGAGCCCTAACACTCACCACCTAGTTGGACCTACTAGTATAGTGAACATGTCTTCATCAATCGCTCTTCTGTGAAAACTTGGGATAGACGTACCGATTACTAGCTCAGTCCTCTGATTTTATAGTTTACGTAGAGATTGTTAGCAATATATTTCCCGCCGAAATTCAACGCAACAGCACCTATGCCATTTGCCAAATACACCAGCCCAAGCTGAAAGACCAGGTACCCAAATACGAGATGGTACTCTAGTCTTACGGAATACTCTGTTTCGTCTTCATCATGGACTCGTCTGTCTATGGTTCATTTTGACGTTTTTCTAGCGACGCCATAACAGCCCAGACTGGGCTCCCATCGCGGGTGTACAAATAAGTAGAGCATGGCCCCACATCTCCCAGTTCGGCTGTCTTGATGCATTTTCAATAATCCTTGCTTCACCATGAATCCAAAGCACTTGATAGACCAGCAACTTCATTTCGCAGCTCACTCCTTCGTATACCTAGCGTTACAACAGTTTCAAACACTGTTGCTCCAGCACCGAGGCAGGGATCCTGGAGTTTTATCGGTTCCAAAAACCTGAGTGATACAACCAACCAAAATCACCTTATGACTCAAATAGCCATCGTCACTTCTGTCGAGACTGTCACAGTCCTACAATTCAGCTTCTGAAAACGGTCCGAGGTGGCGCCACTCCAAGCTCAAGTTCATGACATCGAGGCACGAGTTGTTCCAGCAGCTCTTATAAAGTTTGCAGCAGCAGAGATCTCTTCAGCATGCAGCTGCTTCCAAATCAGCCTAAAGACGACAGTCACATTTACAAACATCGCTCCGATATCGGAAAGTCTGGCGGGGAAAAAGGCACTTCTTCGTTGGATTTGTGATCCATTACTCTAGGACGGTTTCGACCGGTTCCGACTTGTATGCACATAATTATTGGCACAAATGGTTCGAGATGTCATGGCTCACACATTAGAGGACTCCCAGGGCTTTATCAAATTGTTGTGCTAGAGGAAGGTGTCTCATACCAAACTACATAAATCCAAAGAATTGTGCTCCATATGAAGCGGGGGTGGTCTTTAATGAAAAATGAGGTATTGAATCAAAAAAGACTCATCGCCCTGGCAGCTTTCCATAAGTGTGGGTTTAGTGTACGTCCGCAAGTCTGTAACAGTCCACTGTACTTATCCTTCTCACATTTTGTAAATGATCCAGGAACCACCTCAACCTCTTATATATAGCTCGTCCTCTGAAATTCTCTCAAGACTCAGCATATCTGAGTATGTACAGTGACAAAGCCCTGTGGGACGCTCTGCCTATTAAATTGAAGAAGACCTGGTTCCTCAAATAAAAGGAAGACTAAATGTTGCAGGATTATAACCTTGCACAGTGGTGGGCATCGATTTCATATCGTGGTCGTTTTATAAAATCTAACTGTCACATAACTGGATGCCCTGGAGGACTTCCTGAGATGACAATACTGGATCAAGTGTCTAATTTTATTGGCTCAGACTACGCAATTTTACTATTTATTTGCTCACTCCCCACCCAACCCAGCCCAAGATCCTTCAAGTAGTAGACGCCACTTTGTCGGCGTTACTCCTCTCCACAAACGTTTCCATTGTCCAACCAAAGTTTCTCCGAAACCGTGTAGCTATTTGTTTGACCTGTAGCCGCGAGAAGCAATAGGTGCTGCCGTGTGGTTCATGAATTGACACCCCCTTCACAAGCCCTGCCGGCCCCCCACTGCGCCTGAACGTGTATCCTGATCCATGGAGGCTCGTACCCTTGAACCCTGCTCCTCCTTGCGTGCCCATGAGACAACAGATGTCTTCTAGTGTCAACTTGTCTTCAGGAGGATCATCTGAGAACAGTTGACCGGCAATTCGGTAGGCTCTTCGACTGACAAGCAATCTTTCAGAAGATGCTGCTTGCTCGTCCTGATCGGGAGCAGTGAGTGGTAGTTGTATTGCCGTGTTAGGTAACTGCTCAACCTGCTTCTCGGCCTGCCCAGTCTTAGATTTCTGATGCTGATCCTTCTGAAACTTCTCTTCTGGTTCATTGGGCAATGCCACGAATGTCTCAGACTCTGCTTCATAGGATTTCTTCTCTTCACCTCCAGTAATTCGAGCCCGGAGATTGGTTGAAATAGGATGCTGCAAGTGGCTTTCTTTAACCTTCCAGAAAGTCGGGAAAACATCAATGCACCTGTGGGGGCAGCCTGCCTGCGCCATGTCCATCATTGACTGCCAAAGGAGATATTTCACCACCAAGACAAACTCCCTCTGCATAGCGTCCGCTCGGGCCAGCCAAGCAGCATCTTGCCTACCCGTATGGTGGACAACCTTGAGATTGGAGGCTCGCTTGTCGATGTATGACCCATTCCTGAGCTTAGGCGATGATTCTCTCTGCCAGACAATCCTGGCCGCTCGGATCTCTTGAATATTGGTCTTGTTGTCAAGGTCTTTGGAGTTCTCTAGGTTTGAACAATCACCGCATGGGAAGTGCATATGTAGGTAATTCTGAGCAGTCCATATCACAGTGAGCTGATTCATGAACATGGGGATCAATGGGTTGAGTTGATCCTTTCTTTTCTTGTCTTTGACTAGAATCTCGTGGACCTGCGGCAGACATAGTGGCACGGCATGCTTGTATTTTGACAGCTGCTCGATGCACCAAGTGAGCTGATCGTCATCGTATAGATCTGCTTCGGTGTCATAATGTAGAACCTGGAAAACAGGGTCACGGGACAAGCTCCTGCGTCGGTCTCTCCTGGTGTACCGTGGTTTGTTCTTGAATTCTGGAGATCTAAGATAAAAGAAAGCAACAAGACCGGCAGCACGTAGATGCATGAAATTCGTCGCATAGTGTGCAGCACGACAAGCGTCGTAGTAAGCTTCTGGCAGATCTGCTTCCACGGAAGCATGGTTGAGATGTGCTTGGTTAGCGACCTCCAAATCCATAAAGATTTCGTAGAACATTTTCCACAGGAATGCATTGTGTAGAGTTTCGGCAATAACAAAGGCAGCTGAACACCATTCATCTGGCAGCCCGTTCTGGTTTGCCCCGTCCTTCATGAATTGAACCTGCTGTAGAAAGTATGCCAGATTTGTCTCTGAAGCGAACAATTCGTCTTCTTCCGCATCAGTCTGAGTTCGAATGAGCTCAAGAACGCTGGTCAAGTTAGGACAAGGGGCTGATGAAAAGCCATCCCCAAATCTGAAGGTCCCAATGTCGGCATCGTTGTCACCAACCTTAAAATCCTTGGCCACCAGTGCGTTCCACTCCTCAGAGGCATAGGCTTGCGGGCCCTCAGTGTCTACTGTCAATTCTTGTACCGCGCTGACCATGTCTGTTAGGACTTTATCGTACATGTCCAGAGCAGCCCGTGCAAGATGTGGAGCACAGGCTTCGTATCGATGAACAAGATGTTGGTCCCAAGCTCTTATCTGCCCAAAATCGGGACCTTTGATGACAACGCAACCTTCGACGTATTTCAGCTCGGAGATTCCGACATTCCAAATCACCATAATACGCTGAACGTCAAGTGGCAGCCATTCTCGAGGCCCGTATGCGGTACGGTTGTGTATTAGAGCTAGAAGGTCCGTCCAAGATTTCAGAAGCTTATTTGTTGTCAAGATTGGTCGCATGATTGTCTCTTTGAGTGCTCGCAATTGCTCTGATTGAGGAGGTATCCTACCAATAACCAGTTTGTTCCAGAGCTCGTCTGTTCCTGCGTGGGGAAAGTGTTTTGTGATGAAGGCATGGCGCTTCTTCCCTGTTCTTCCTCTCCATCTTTTCATCAGGCGATCCTCATTTCCCTGCAGTAAACTTTGAATTGTGGTTCGACTCCTCTCAATGGATAGCAGTAAGCTATTAATGTCCTCGCCAGCCTCGACCATACTTTGTTCCCCAGAGTAGTGGCCTGCGCCAACGGCCTGTTTTGCCCTCGTCGGGTACTGTTCGTCGCAGACATCACATCCCATCTTCTCTTCAAGATTTGCACATGGTCGAGTATGGTTCATATCTGGGGATCTGCTTGTGGTCTCTGCTGAATGTGTCACGGGCATTTTACCGTCCATCTTGAGAACAAGACCGAGCTGTGATAAACGACGGGCTATGAAGGAGCTTTGTTGAGAGCGGAGCCAGGGGCAACAGTTTGTGACAGCTGGATGATGGTTCTGTAGAGTAAAAAGATATTCAAGAGAAGCGGGTCACCATAAGTGGTCTCTGGCTGGCAGAGAGAACAGAATAGCACATTTTGAGACAAGTAATAACCTTAGTGCGAGTAGAGCCTGAACACACAAGACCGCGCTGAACGGTCTGTCACGCGTGACAGGCATTTTAGTATCTACTGAACGCTATTCACCGCAAACACATCTTGCGCCTGGTAGCTATGGGAGCTGAGAAGCTGGAGAATCGCTCGGCCGTAAACTGAGATGCACAATATCTGTATTGTGCGAGTCAGAACCAGAGAGTCATCATAACAGTGCCTCAAGTTCGTTCGATTCCATGCTGCTGATGAGCTGTTCACATTGTCAAGCTCAGGATGAGTAACCAAAGCAGAGATCATGCATTCTTTGAATGCCATCGTCTCTTATCATAGAACCATGGTAAAGACAAGAACCACTTTGGTACACCGCCCTAACCTGGCAACTTCCTTTCGGAGCAGGGTGACTGCAAGGCTTGCTTGGTAGACTGTCCCAGGCATTCGACATGTCGTGGTCCTCACAAAGAGATTCGCACTGACGTATAATCAAACCCGTTAATTGATATGGCAGCAGGAGTGAGAGACCAAACATATCACCACATGGGCAATCGTGAAACCAGAAAGATTGATGCGATCAAAGCTTTCCCCTTGATTAGAGAATGGTGCCTCGCTAGACTGATGGATGGACTTCCACAACTTCAAAGCCATGAGAGATAGAGAGACTGCGGTGCTAAGGCCCATGGATATACCACCATACGCGCTGTGAACCCGGTCTGGATATTACACATGTTGCTGATTTGACGGTGGTGAGACATCATGTGCTATGCACTTGCCGGTCAATTCTTGAGGTTTCAGAGGCCGTATTGGTCAACGGAATGAATTTATTTGGGAGCTTGACTCTATTCAAGTCTGGGGAGCATTGAGAGAGTAAGTGTACACTAATGGTCAGTTCGAAACTAAACCATAGCCACAGCCGTTTGAATGTGCAAGGCAATGAGGCTAAACATCACACCTGCTCTCTACAACTGGGCAAGTCAAATTGAAAAGTGGACCGGTGAATAACGTTTATGACCAGGGACTCTTGAAATTACGGTTTCCAATGGTTGACCTGGCTTATGCAGGTATGAGTGCATGACGGATGGACGAGGGTGGTCTGCAGGGTAAAAGCAATCCGAAGAGGAAATAGTCTGGGAGGTGGGAACCTGAACGAGGATAGATGACAGCTGACCAGGACCAGGGGTAGAGTGAATGAGGCAAGAAATTCGCATACGATGATGCTCAACGTGATCCAATAAAGCAGAAAGACAACGGTCTGGCAGCTCTGATCAGCCTGAACAATTGACGTGCACCGATCTCGTGGTCAATGCCGCAGAGTTGGGCAAGACTGCTGTCATCCAATGGCAATGGCATAGAATAAGTTCGCTCTCACGCGGCTAAGGCGGCTTGCTTGCATTTGAAGAGAAACTAGGAGAAGAGGGGGGGAAATGCGACAAGGCGGGTCATAATGTTACACTGTGGGTGTGCTAATTTTACTCTGGTCTTGGCTTGCAGCCAGTATGCTGCTACTCCAGTAGTTCTTCTAGCTTCCGTTGATAGCTGCTGACTAGCTGTTCGCCTTATACCTCAAGTAGCTAGAAAGTCAATTTAACACTTCCAGTTTCTATGCAAGTGTAGCCTAGCAGCCTGCTACGTAGTAGAAGTGTGACAGCCATGATTAAGTTCCTGCCTAACCTGGTCCCCAGTTCCCCATTCTGCTGCTCTCTTCTCTGTGCAATTTGCACACTGCACTCCGCACGCCCCGTACACCTTACTTCCCACGATGATCATTCCCCTTTTATCCTTTGCTCTTCTCCCCTCCTCATCACGATCATCACACTCATTACCATCGCACTGCGCCTGTACTTGACGATTCGCCAATGTGGAAGGCAACCGACGCGCTTGGTCATTCCTGTGAGCATATCAAGTTGGAAAGTCACCATCCACCGCACAAGGTCCCTCGCACCAGTCCCTTGCGCTCCTTTCGCCCCTAGCCTCATCGCACAGCCCCAAAAATGACGCACATCATCATGAGCAGAGCAATATAGCAGGATGATCAACACTTGAGATCTATCTGCCGAGGTCCTCGTCTTGCCAAACAAAATGGTGCATTGACGCCCCTTCCGCCATTCTATCTGTTGGTCTACGATCCAGCGTCCAGTCCTTCTTTCAGTCTTCTTCTAGCAAGCAGACGCTGGCGGCCCTTAGGCCTATGCCTCCAGGTCGTCGTTGAAGATTCGCATGACCACAGTTGCTTGAAGCATCGGTCACACTCGTTATATGCCCAAAGACAGTGCAGGATTGACTGTCGTTCCTACACCATTCCAAGACATTCCCGCCTTCCCCCTTTTGCATCAGTCGCCCTCGTTCCGTCAACTGATTTTTCGGCGTCGCTGAACCTGCCATAACACTCAATCGTTACCTGACTGGCGATCAGGCATCCTCGATTTGGTCTGAATAAAATAGTTACGGCACACTCGTTTGCTATCCTCGTCTTGAGTTGCACAGAAACTTGTGTATGCATACGGAGCATTTGGCAACGAGCGCTTAACATGTCAAAATCGGAGTCTGGGTTGAGCACAATATCTGGCTCAAGGACGAACGAGAGACTTAAAGGGTCAGACGTGGGTACAAGAGCAGAATATGAAGATGGTAACCATTCTCGAGCGACCACTTATCAGGAGTTAAGACGAAGAACCTTCTTCCAACACTCCAATCGAGCCAGACGGCCCAGCCTACAGCGAAGGAACGCTGTATATGAGGTGCCTTGGAAGCCTGTCACCACCATAGTTGAGACTATGGGCAATGCTGAAGATGCGAAGTTAGATGACAGAGATCCATCCCGCCTTGCACCAACAGACATTCCGTCTTTAGGTTTACAGTATTTGACAGTGCCAGCAGTGCCGTCGTTTCCATCCCTCTTAAATCCAACAGTCCCTACCGTCCCGTCATATCCGTTCCATGTTCCATCTTCTCAATCAGTACTTTCATCGCCGCCTTCTTCTCCAGTTCCGTCGGATATCTCCTTCACGCCTACTGCAAGCCCCACACCAAATCCGGCAGCAAGTCCGACTGCGAGTCCGATTATGAACTCATCTGGTGGTTCTACGTCGCTGGGATCGTCCTCGAATGATGATGTTTCTGCCACTTCTGACAGTACCAGGCCTACCTCTCCTGTATCAACGATCAACGTTTTATATTCCAATACCACGCTAATAACAAGTACTCGTTCCTCTGAAACTGCAAACGCTAGCTCAATCACTCCGTCAGATGCAGCTGCAGTTTCCACTAGCACATCTGACTCGTTCCAGCAATCTACACTCAGAAGCACAGCTTCTGGTGCAGCTGGTGCAGCCGGTGCAGCAGCAACCTTGACGGCCACTGCCACGGCTCCGGTATCTATTGGTACCTCTGGGACATCTTCCAACTCTGATGAAAGCTTAGACAAGCCCGTCAGTCCCAATACTCCCCAGGTGGTAGGCGGTGTAGTTGGAGGTGTTGCTGGAGTGGCTGTCATCCTACTCGTCATTTTATATTTCCTGCGTCGGTACAGAAAGCATCTGCAAGATCGTGGTGAATTGCTGGAACCTGATGCTCCAAGAAGAGATGCCGTCAACACGATGTCGATGCGCTCATCCCACACACCGCTTGTTGCAGCAGTCGCAGCATCTTTTAAGAAAATGCGGCCAGGAAGCTCTAATACCACGGCGACAGCCGACACGGGTACCTCGGACCGCGGATTTCAGCGAGTTGCTGGTCGCAAGATAGACCCTGTGCTTGTGTCTGGCGGAGACGGATACGGTGGCAACTATGGAGCTTTCGAGAAAGAGGCCGCCTTGAATAAGGAGACTGGAGCTCCCTCGTCTTCACTCCCGGAAGCGCAACCACTGGCTGGCAGATCATTTTATCGCGACAATGCCGACTTTGATAGTCGTCAGAACTCCAGGACCTCTACTCCGCTCGGCGGCCAAGCTCGATTCTCATCAGCCAGTCACGGTTTAGCCAATGACCAAGATGATGACTACTACCGAGGACCAAGTCCAGACATAATCGCGGTCATGAGACCCAGCCCAGCGAGATCACCCGTAACCACGAGTGCTGGCCCATATCCCCTGGCTCCACACTCGTCTGGTCCTGCATTGCCCGGCGATGCGCCTCCAACGCCTACTCTTCCATCAAGATATATAACACCTGATGGTGTAGGCCGATCGCTCGCTTCTCAGGATAGCAGCCGAGGCAGTCGATTTACTGAGAGTGTATAATACAGTCATACACAAGCTACTTATGCTCGAAGCATTGCGTTTTCCATGTGTCTTGAAACATTCGAGCGGCTTTTCACATGACTAGGTTGACTGGATCACTGGCTTTACATTTTGCTTTGTATGCTTTGATGGATGTTCTTTTGAGCGATACCCCTTTTTTGTTTCATCAGCGCTGCATCCGGTGGGCTTTTGGATTTGCGTGCCTGATGGGGGCGCGGTGCGTTACCACGGCACAACCAAAAGGGAGCTGTCTTTACTTCATGTATACAAATTCTTGGATTCTGGCTGTTAGTGATACTCGCAAGCGCGATGGCGTCGGTACTGCGAGAGGCAATCTTGCAGGGCAAGGTCTAGCATCGTTACTATTAGTAGTACTGTCTGCGGAGATCAGAAGATGGGGTTCCAGTTTGGGAGAGACGAGGTTGGCTCGGATTGGATCTGCACATAACATAGCCATTACTAATGTGTAGTGTACCACTAGAGAGACAGAGACAGAGACACAGACAGACAAATGATATCCATCTGTCAACTACTCCGTACTCAGTCCTGAATGGCACAACCACAGACACAAACAAAAACACTACCAAAGGCGCAAGCGAGGCTTCTCACAACCCCTGAGTCAGGCCCCTTTTCCCATCCACCCATCATCCACTGGATACCTCCTCTCCCACAGTTCTAGTTCTAGTTCCAATTTCTGAGTAGCGAGTAGGAGTTCCGATCCGACTTTTTCTCTTACCCCCCTACCTGTGCCACAGTAAGAGAAAAAAAAAATTCCTTTACCTGTTTCTTTGTCTCTCCTTTCCCGGGCCTGACCTGTCATGTCAGAGAAGGGACTTAAACATTTGCCTTTTCTTTCCTCCCTCTCCTCGCCCGCCAAGACAGGGATGTCAGGTCGCTCCAACTTGAGTAGTTAGTGAGGCTAGACTGGGTAGCACATTTGAGTGTGGATCTCGATCTCGCTTCGTTATATGGCTCTGGCTCTGGCTCTGGCTCTGGCTCTCCGCGTAATGTATGGGAAGAGGAATATGGGAGAGTGGGAATTAACAGCGCGATCAAGAATCAAGGTTTCTGGGGGCCCTCCTTGGACGGAGAGGAGGAGGGGTTTTGGTTGGTTGGTTGGTTGGTGGATGGGTGGGGAGAGCATGTTTCGCCTCATCTTTTCTTTTCTTGGTCCTGCTTTTGATTGAGATACGGCTATGTTTTTCAGAAGAGGCGCAATAGCAATAGTCTCTTTGGCCTGAATGTCGATGAGAAGCTGCTGCACAGTCCACGATCGATGATCCATGCTCTTTACTTGTGGAACCGGGGGTTGTCACTGCAATTGTCTTTACAACGTTGGCATCCGGGTGGGAAGCCACTGTAGCCTGGCCACTTGAGCCCAGAGGAGGGGGAGAAGGGAGAGAAGATAAAATCTAAAGAAGAAGCAGAAAACTCACGTGTATATCCTGCATACTTACTCGCGCACTGCCAGGTAGCTCTTGGATAAAGCCAAAGCGAGCCGACATGCAGACTCAGGTGATAAGTATTCTGCAAAAGATGGGCTGCTTAGCAACCACCACTGGTCGTTCAAGGAGATCGAGTCATCGATCCGTGAGCCAGGGGCCAGGAGCCAGGAGCTAGCTTTTCCTCTCCTTCTCTTTTTGCGATAATACGTATCTTCTTGCCTCGGATAGGATGGGAACGAGCGACGCACAGAAAACGAGGGTCCGAATCCCCAGTTCAGATATTTCAAAATTTACAAAATTTCAAGCTCGGCTTGCTTCTCCTAAGCCGCCCAGCTTAGAGGGCAAAAGGGTGGTCGGTCCTTTGTTAGACGTGCCACACATGCCATCAAGAGGGCGTAAATATTCCATTGGGTGGGAAGGACCGGACACGTTAGCCGCTTCAAGCAATCATGTCGTAAGCAGTATTTTCCTGGCAGGACCAGCTTCTTCTTTCCCATATAGATAATCCTTACTCTTGTTCTTCAACAACTCATCTTTTCAATTGCATCAGCTCGTCTGCCGATTCAGTCGATTTGACAGCTCTGCGGTTCACCGTCCGGGCCAGTGTATCCATCAAACCAAATAATCCAAATCATGACCCCCATTTGTTTGCTTTGGGTACTAATCTAGTCCAAGAGGTCGATTAGGTTTGATTTGACTCATTGTCAAATCGAGTCAAATGTTAGTAAGCAATGGTTGGTTAAAGGACTGCGTTTTCGTAATTTGATCTCAAAAGCAGAGTCCGCCAAGAACTTATTTATTCTTCGAAATTAACCTTGAAAATTTCGGCATAGTCTACCTTTCTGCCATGACTTCTATTTGACTACTACTAGTAGTGGTAATTTGTGGAATTTCAAAGTCTTGATCTGATTTGAAGAAAGCATGGAATTGGGCTACTTGCTAAGCATTTGATTTGGTTTAGTTGACGTAATTTGATTCAAATGAACACTGACCGTCGCTAACCACAGTATTGAATCTGGTGTTGACTATGATTTCGATGTAAACGTCGAAACTACCGTGTGATATCAGTCCGCTACACGGCCCTATTGCACAATGATGCCGGAGGCGGTTGTGGGTAGAAACGTTCCCGTGACATGACGATGTGAAGCGAATATAGGAAGGTGGGTTGGAGTCTTGGACAATGTGCAGAAGCGAAAGCCGTAACATCTTCCAACACGGGGGCAGCAAGTAACTGATACTCCTGGCCTGACGTGGTCGCAAGATGTGACTGCGGGACATAAGACCTGACTGATCTGACTGTCCTGTAAGGGCTGTCCAACTTCCATCGAGTTTAATATCGAGGCGGAAGCATCGTCTTGGCACGAGACAGCATTCTCTCCTATCTGACTACTTCGAGCACGTAATCACTTCGTACCTCATCAACGAAGCAGTGCATTTGCCTCACCCCTTTCACACGCACTAGAAAGGCCCTCCAGCGAGCTGTCTCAGCCAGTATTCGCTTTACCATGGCCAACGACGAGGATCAGCACTGCAGGAAGGCAATCAGCAAAAGAGGTGAACATGTTTTATGCTTCTAAAATGCTGATCGCTCATGGCAATTCATGCTGTTGTGTGCTTGGAATTTCGGAGGGACTTCGATCTGGAGGTGTAAAGAGCTCCGGTGGTAGGAAAGGACGTCCGACTGCTGAACCTGACTGAAGCTCTGGTGTGATGTACTCGGAAGGCACTTTAACAGCAGCTTCGGACAGTAGCTCTAGTTTGAGGAAATATTCGTTCTGTTCAGCTGCCTCTATTGGGGCTGTTGCATGTTGTCGGTGGGGGCGACGTGGAAAGAACCAAAGAAGGGCGATGACAAGACTTGTTCCAGCCAGACCACCAACGACACTCTCTGCGATCTTTCTACTTTCCAACCTCATGTGCTGCTGCCGCTTGAGTTGTTCTGATCCAAGGTTTCCATATCAGACGAGGTAACTGTGGGACCTGCATTCAAATATATGGTTAGTGGAAGCGAAGATTCCAGGCTGGGTTGTGTCTTGCTAGCTCGAGCATGTGCCTTTGTTGGTAAAAGCAGCCTTTAACAATTGAGTCGTTCCATTTGCTTGGATATGGTCCATTTTGCTTGTATCAATCCTTGACGGCTTTGGGAGTCGTATAAGGAGGTGCAGACAGGTTGTACCAAGTTTCCATTCCATGTCGCTCAGATCAAATATGCCCGTACCTTGTGACCATGGGCCATGCTTTGTTCTAAGATCATCGGTAGTACTGTCGCCACCTCCAACGACGGCCATCTGTCGGCTATGATCACCGAGGGCGTTGCAAGTATGGTAGACCCGAGCTTGTGTAGGTCAACAGGCTGACTTTTCCCAGTGAAAAGTGGGGAAGGAAAGAACATAGACTACATCAAGATCGATGTCTCGGTTGGGATACAGAGTACTACATCCGCATATAAAGATTTTGCTGTTCATCAGCAATCGGTAAGTCAACTCGTTAAATCAGTAATACCACATAAATCTCGTTGTCCCATTGCACACCAACGGAGCAGAAACTCACGCGCCCTGGTGGAGTTTGGCCGCTCGTAGTTTGATTGTGCCATGTACCCGAGGTAATGTTGTACATAACGAGCGCGGAGAAGTCGTCACTAACGTCCAGGGCGGTAGAAGTATCACTGCCAAGTGGGATTAGCAAGCCTTCGGCTCCGTAGCCAGGGAGGTACTGCACTTGGCCATCAGTAAACGATCCGGATCCAGTGAAAGTACCACTCGTGATGTTGGATCACGATCCAGTTCCCATGTCATAAGCTACCATACCAGGAACTGGTGCATCGAGAGTAGTGACCTCTCCATTCTGAAGAAATGGTTCAACCCCTGCTGCACACCATTTTGGTAGCCACCTAGCGCATGTCAAACCCATTTCCAACGGCCGAAGCAACAGTCTGAACCCGCACCAGACCAATAAAATTTAGTACTGCGGATACGCCAGGATTTGACCAAGTTCGAGAGTTGCCCGAGCCTGTAACTGCCAAAGCTCAGTTTGTGGGGGCCAATGTCATCCGGGACTGAATCCAGTCTTCCATTATAGGCATAGAATGAGTATTCGAAGGGTCCTTCCAAAGATTCGCCCTGTTGAGTAACGGTACACCAGGTTTCTCGGTACGATACAACTATACTGATTCGTTGGTCCACCCGCGGGTAAGGGTCTATCGAATGCGTGTATGTTTCTGGAAGAGTCAGGGTGCTCCTCCCACGAGCTGCCTGGTATTGCAGGAGGGATACCAGGAACCCTCGCCGCGGTGCCGCCGTTGGGTGTGTACACCAATTGACCGCCGTCAGCGTAAATATAATCACCGACGACGATAGCTGTATAATCATTAGATACATCATGGAAGCAGGAACAGTGAACCTACAATTGTGAAATACGCGATAACGGAAGAGTTCGGGATTATACACCACATCGGGATCTAACTATCCACTAGGCTTGAATCACGTTTGTGAACAGCCAGCCGCAATTGTGACATGTGCAGCAGAAAGCGAGGTGAGTACATATATCCACAAGCTCCTGGCCATGTTGGCTTCTAGCGAGCACGTACATGACTCACACCTGATAGCAAGGGCAAAGCGACAAACAACGCCGGAATAAAATCGGGTCATGGTGGGGTAGTGACCTAGGCTCTATCTCACTGTTGCAAATCTCACATAGAGTACGGAGTAGAGCAAACGGTACTTGTGCACCCTTGTTGTGTTGACGAAACCAAAAGCATTGCCCCTAAGGGGTAGTGTCCCCTGTACGGAGTACTCCGTACAGCCTCTTTCTTAATCTTACAGATTAGATTCTTAGTGCCTTGGCATTGTTCCTGTAAACTTTAGCAGTAAGTTAGCTCAAAGCACCAAGGTACTACATAACCCTACAGGCTTAATGAACTAGATAAGAGAGCAAACTCTCATATTATTTCTGCATCGATCTGCGTTTTGCCATACCTGTAGGATCGGGCCTTCGGGCCATCAAAGAAGTGGAATCCGGCTCGGTTATGGTAAAATTTCCTGCTCGACCTCTTGAAGGGATATCTTCCGTAGTCAAGTCAAAAGTTGTTTAACTTGATTGGTGATGGCCAGGGCAGGCACCAGTCCATGCAAATTCATGACTAATCTCCTGATCGACAACTTACCAGGAGAAGAGGTAGCGAAAGATACAAGCTAAGTGCTGTTAGTGGAAACCGCAGCTATTCCGTCAAATGGAAATCATACTAATATAATAAGAGAAGCATATTGTGACTATACTATGATCATATTTTCAGCAAAATACGTTGTAGATAACAAGATTTCGATTAGATCACGGACGACTTAATAACATATTCTGGCATACATTAAGCAATCTAACAGTTAGGCTAATTCTAAGCGCACTTTGATGGCGCTCCTAGCATTATTTTTAGAGAGCCTCTTCCTGCTAAGAAGTATCCACATCCCTCCAGTAAACAGTATTAACTACTACGTAGTAGTTAAGTATGTTGACCAGCTAACAGCTGGTTGCTGTACGATCACTAAGTCCTAGTACCCGAATGGCAATCTCAACCTCTCTACCAAGAACCATTGTCAAGTTCCACAGCCCCTTCCAACCCCGGTGAGATTCTCAACCAAAACAAAGACTACTCCACAACAACTTAGATAGCTTTTATGATCCCGGAGCACTTCCGCCCGTATTATTACTCCGTACTACTACGGCAAAGCAGCAGAAAGATACACGGTCATGTACTGTCCATGGCAAACTCTAATGAGAAGTGCAAAGGGATATGCTGAGGTTCAATATCGTGACAGCCCTAGGCCTGTTACCACCACAGCCAACGAGCAGGCGGCAAAGACCATTGGGATCTGTGATTCTTCGGGATCAGACTCGCCGTGGTCCTTGCGCTGCTGCTGTGCCCAGCGTTTGCGGCATATCTCTCAAGCAGGCTCATTCATTACCGCTCCTAATTGTGCATCACGTCCAAGTCCCAAGATTTCTTCCAGAAACCCTTGGGGAAAATGGAGCCAAAGCAACCAGCCATGTCCAGCTGTCTCAAGCTCCTTTCGCCAACGGTGGAGCTAAGCCACAGAGAGATGAAACCATTTGCAGATACAATTGCATAGCTCACTCAGTCGACACCGAACGTCTTTGTTTCTGGAACTGGAACATGTCTCAAGCGCCAGAAATGCAGCGTGAAAGAAGGGAAGGTTCCACTTCTTTGGAGTATCAGCGATCAAAGAAGCTTAGAATCGGGCTTTCGCACATGTTTCAATGTTGATTGTAGACATGTCTATGGGACCAGTCTGTCTTTGTCAAAGCCGTCTCCTGGAATTCAGCTCTGTAAGACATGTCAGGGAAGGATATAAGCCGACCATTTCAGTCCACCAATTTTACCCCCCCCAGCAGTCACTTCCTAAACAGTAAAACGGTAAAAATCACTTTTCAACAACCCATCAAGAAAAGCATCTCTCAGCGCAAATCCTTCCGCACTCATCAATCACGAGCACTTGAATCATGGCATCGAATAAGATATACGAGGCTTACACACTTTGTTTCCTCCGACACGAAAAGCACCTTTCCTACGCGCTTATCCTCATCGACCCCACTACACCAAAAGAAAAGATCGGACATCTATATCGACTACGCTGGATCTCCGGCCAGGGCACAATGTTGCAAGTAGATGAGAATTTCCACCCAGTGCAATGCAGACACTGTATATACCAAGCAAAGGTGTTCTGGATGCCACAGTCATTCCGCAAAAGGTTCGAGCGGATCGTCAAACAGACCGAGCTTCCCTCCGACTACCTCACTTTGGGCCAAACGAACCAGGGCCCGACCCCACGCGACGGAAGGGAATGGGTTGGAGATATTGTGCGCGAGACCAACTTGCAGCTCTCGAATGCGGGATTCCCTGCTGTATATGACGGACGATTGATATTGTAGTCGAGGACTGGTGTCATTTTGAGAGCATGATTGATAACTGGCCACTCCCTTCAAGCTCAGAAAAGGAGCATATCAACAAGTTGATCAAGCATATGGACTTCGCAGTGGGGTCGACCAATAGCCCTGTCTAGGATAATATTCCAGTCTTGTCGCGAAGTTCTTATGCGTGTGGCAGAACCGTATTCCCAATAGTCAGGGTACCAGCCAGCTAATCCCCAGTCGATTATGCCCGAGATATGTCCGTCTTTGATTAAGATGTTTGAAGGCTTCAGATCGTTGTGTGTGAATTTTATCTTGTGCTTGTGGGCGGCAAGTATGCCATCCAAGCGATCTGCTACGACACAATCTTCAGGGTGAACCTTGAAGAAGGCCTTGCGGAGTTCAAGATTGAATTCTTCCTCGCTATTGAATGGGCCTGATAAGGAAATATTAGCTGAGAGAAAGTAAAGGTGTAAAAGAACCATAGTACCGTAATTGTCAGCCTTGTTTTCCAGCAACCAATCTGTCACAGGGCCATGGTTTAGAGAGCCGATATAATGCCCCCCAGGGAGTCGTCGCAGTTCTTCCACATACGTTTTGAGCTCATTCTGAACATTCAATCTGGTGGCTTGGTCCCATTGGTCCCAGGATTTCTCAACTGTGGCTCCCGGCAAAAGGTCCATGAAGATATAGGTGTGCTCGTAGTACGTCTTTTCGTCGTCTTCAGTATAGTCAAGTCTGTTTGGCATTGGATGGGAGTAGACTGCATAGACTTTGGGAACAGGGATGGTTGTGTTCTGCTCGATGAAGAACATGTTCTGCGCCTCTCTGAACGTAACTCTTTCGCCGTGTTTGACGGCAAGAGTGGGGGATAGCTTCCAGGTATAATTGAAGAAGAGAGGACGTTCCTCAGGCTTTATACTGCTGAGTGCTTCTTGGCGCTTTTCAACCTCGTGTGGCTCTATGAGCTCGAAACCAGGGCGTAAGTAGTAGAGCTTGAGTTCAGGTTTGTTTTCCGCAGACATGGTGCTTTGATCCATTTTTGACAATTTGGTTTGGGGAGTTTCGAAGGCAAGTGCCCATCTTATAAGTGATTCTCCACTGCCCGGATAAGGTAAGACTCAGTGATGGCTTTGTCGGATGCAAGCAGGCAAATGGCGACAACAGGAACGGGCTCTCCTTTGACGAGGGACAGCATCTCGAACACATGCAATGAAGGAAGCAACCCAACATCCGGAAGCAGCGGCAGAAACATTATCACTGAGTGAGGACAAGGGCTTGAACTGGGTCCACCCAATGGTTGGTGTGAGAAAGGATACCGACCGCCGTAAGCGTTCTTAAAGAAGTGGTCCTTGGAGCTCCGAAATCCTTTCATCCCATTCAATTTGAACTCATGGAGCTCTGTTCATGTATAGTCGATATGTGCCAACGACGTCACTAAATCATGTATTCAGGCCTGCAGACCAGACCAGAGCGCTGCATGAAGGGTGGTACTATGTGTAGGCAGAATCACGATGTTCGCTGTTCGCACCCGGGCGACCAAGGACAAAGCGGAGTGCAGTGGAGCTAAGGCTACTCGGACTTGGCGTGGTGCTCTGCGAGGTGCTCTCTGTGGACTAGTACGGGAACATCTTCGACTACGGAGTGCCACTAGTACTTACGTAGTACCAGCAGAAGGGGTAGCTAAAGATATAAGCTAAGCGCCGTTAGTGAAAATGACAATTACTACGTATTCTTTCAAACGACGACCATACTAATATGATAAAAGATCCATATTTGGACTATACTATGACTATATCTTCAGCAGAATACGCTGTAAATAATAAGAATTTACGATCACAGACGACTAAGCGGCGTATCCTGGTACTCTCAACGTAGTAAGCAATCTTACATTTAGGCTTAGTCTAAGTGCACTTTGATGGCTCCCCTAGCATGATTTTAAGAGGGCCTCTTCCTGTGAAGTACTAACTAGTAGTACTAGTTAGTAGTACTAGGAGGAATCAGATACCGCAGTGATAAGAAAAAACATTAATGGTTATCCTGCTCTCTTTGAGCTTCCCTTTCCAACCCTTCCCTTGCTCTTTTCTCTCCCGTCCTCAGCTTCCGTTACATGACCTCCCCAAAAGGACAGTGAATTATTGCTATGAGCCACCATCCTGAAGATCATCATTCCCAAGACACCATCCTACAATCTTTCATCCTCTATGTACAGGCACAGGCGATCCAGGTGCATCCTTCGATCGAACCATATCACTCTTTGCGCCATGGCTCAGGCATACGCGCTCTCAGTGTGCTTGAGGTACGTAAGAACACGCCCCCTCTCTGTTCTCTTTGCCTCCTGTGTCCTTTTGGCCTGCTTGGGTCTTCCTGACGCCAACCACTCGTCCTAACCCCAGCCATTCCAGGCCATCAGGTCGACACACGCCTGGTTTGCGCCCCCAAATCCGCTCTTCTGACTCCGTTGTCTATCCCTGAAAACTTTTGCGCCAAATCAGCTAGGAATTCATTATCAGCCCATGGGCTATTAGCAGCATACATCGCCTTTAACGAAGCATTCACTAACCAAAACGGGCCATCTGCCGCCTGGACAGCAACGTGGCCAGTGTTTGAAAACTTTAGAGCCTCCATGCCATTACTCTGGCCTGCTCGATGTCGAGGTGAGTGGAGCCTGCGGAGCAATGAGGCTCCTCACTTCAGTACCCAATCAAGCCTGAACAGCCCAAGAACTCGCCGTGATGATTGGTACCGGGATGGGACCTTCAGCGTCCTCCCTGCCAGCATCGTCAGTGTGCTCGAGGCACAAGTCGCCAGATTTCGCCAAGACCTCGAAACAGCGTTATCCCTGATCCCCACAGCGAAAGATGCGTACCGGCAGTCCAGTCTACGTGCTGAAGACAGCTTCAAATACGCGTGGTGCATTGTCAACACGAGATGTCTCTACTTTGACCCCTCGCCTCCGAAATCCGGTCATCGCTCTCCTCAGAATCAACTTGAAATTCCAGTCTTGGCTGATGATGTAGAATCGCCAGCACAGCGAAACCGGTTCCAAGAGAGCAACCAATACATGGTCCTCTGCCCCCTAATCGACCTCTTCAACCATACCTCCAACCCCACCTCCGCATGCAAAGTAACCCACAACAGCTCCGGCTTTACCATCACCTCTCCTGAAATCTCAACCGGTGCCAAAGGAGAGGAAGAAGAGCTCTTTGTATCCTACGGACCCCATTCAAACGATTTCCTATTCGTCGAGTACGGTTTCCTCCTCCGAGGCACCGAGAATACCCATGACGCCGTCAGTCTCGATTCAGCGATCCTGCCTGCGTTGAACACAAAGCAGAAGAGGAGGTTAGACACCAAGGGTTATTCGGGTGAATATACACTTCTCTCGCCGCAGGCTAACGGAGGGGAAGCGGCGGTTTGTTGGAGGACTGAGGTTGTCGCTAAGATTGGATTGCTTTCTGCGCAGCAGTGGGAGGGGTTTGTGGATGGTCTTGTGGACGAGGATGACTTGGGAGATGAGGTGAAAGAAAAGGCGAGAACTACAATTCGGACTTGGGTCGAGACCACGAGGCAACACGCGGAAAGAAGTGTCAGTGGTCTAGAAGTGTTAGCCAAAGACCCTAACGGGATCCTAAAGCTCTTCGCGGACGACTTTGAGAATCCCGAGCAGGCGCAGGTAATGACCATGTCGACCGATCAACGGGGCGATAATAATAAGATCACCGAACGTGAAGCACGAATAGCGCGCCGCAGATACGACCTCGTCCTCGAGAGGTGGAGACAGATCTTGCATATCTGTGATGCTTATTTACACCAAGACCAGATTTAACTACGGGGAATGATATCGGAATGACTTTTCGCGTAAAATGCGCGAGGAGCTTGTCTTCCTGGCCGATTTCAATTGACACAATGTTGAAACTTCTGAAGACACGTCGCAGCCGCTGATGAAGCATTTCCGCCCAAGAGACGCAATTCCTACGCTGATGCATACAGGTCTCCACCTCATCTGGAAGAAAAAAGGAGGTAAGTCATCTGGCTGGCCAAGACATCATTCATTCCGACTCATAGTAGCCATGTCCTTGATACGCCCTCAGCCACCCACATAAATAATCTCATCATTAGTTAGGCGCCTATCCGTCCACCCATCCCTTCACTGCTTCACCAAGCCAAAAATTGCCCACTCTTCACTTGACCATCCTCCCAACCAACCCATTAGTATCTACCCCCTTCTTATACTTCTTCCTACAAGCCGGGCTGTACCACTTGACCGTCCGGGCCGGCAACTCCACCATGCCCACACACCCGAGATGGAACCACTGCCCGTCCTCACACTTCTCGTCCATCTCGCAGCAGATCATCTCACCCCAGCTGACGTCGCCACAGACGCAGAAACGCTCTTCATCGGGGTCGATGACCTCTTTGTTACCGTCAATATCGACGCGGATCTGTGGGGCGTCGGATTTGTTGTGGTCGGTTGTGGATGAGGATCCTGCTGCGGCGGCAGCGCTGGTATTCGAAGTGGAGGTGCCTCGCGGTTTGGGGCCGGGCTTGTTTTTGCGTTTGCTGATGCTGACTGCGGCGCCGCCGTCGGCGGAGGATTGTGTTATCTGGCCCGGTGCTTCCCGTTTAGTGCGCTTTGGGTGTTGGATCGGGAGGTGCAGGGGTCGACTTGTTGGCGGGTGTGGATGTGCGGCGCGATGAGCGAGCAGGGACTGTTGTGGTGACAGAATTGGGTTCGAGTGAATGCCGCGTGGAGTGGCGTGATGGAGGGCGAGAAAGAGCGGGTGGCGTGGTCTCTGGCTTGAAAGTGATGGATGTCCGGCGAGTTGAGGAGGCTCTAGCGGGCAGAGAAACAGGGGTAGAGAGTGGTGACAGTGTTGAGGATGGCGCTGGCAAGCTGATTTTGAGCGGTATCTTTGTAGTTTCGGTTTGCGAACTGGGTAACGGAGTTGGCTTAGGGCCAGGTTTTGGTTTCTTCTTCGGCGAGGTTGATGTTTCTGCCGAAGGTGACAATGCTGTATTTGTTTCATCAAGCTTTCTCTTTCTACTAGGTTTCTTCCCTATTGATTTAGTACCGTTAGCAATTGGCGAGCCGATAGAACCATTCAAATTCGCAAGAGCGCTTCCAAGCGGGCTAAAAAGGTTTTTGAAGGCTGATCCAATATCGCCGAGTCTCCTGGCCGCCGCTTCAGCTTCGGCGGCAGCAAGGGCTGCTTGTTCCCGGGCCAAAGCTTCTCGCTTCAATTTCTTGGCTTCATTCAGTTTCATTCCCCGGTTGCGTACAGCGGCCACATCCACACTTGGCGTGTCCCCTTTGCCAACTAGTTCTCCGTTCTCGCGTGACTTATCCAGGTTGTCTACATCCGCAAATTCTGCTCCATTTGCTTGCGCCTCGGCTTTGACTTTATAATAGTTGTCCCACCCTCGGCCTTTCTCGGCAAGCTCCCGCTGAATCATAATCTCGCTGGGTTCCCAGTTGATGTTCTTTTTCATCTTCTTCCTGAGCTTCCACATTTCCCAATCTGTCAGCCTGATCCACGGTTTGTGTTCTCCGCCTATCTTAGCATCCTCGGGTGGTGGTGTTGGCATTTTGTACGGGGCTGTAGTCTCACGCGGCATGCGTGGCACTTTTGGGATTTTGATCTTCTTCGAGTTGGGAGAGGCCGGTCTCTTTCGCGGTTTGCTCGGGGCAGGTCTGGTAGGGGATCCCGGTTCCGTTTCCCAGTCGGACTGCTCAGTGCTTGCGATAGGGGAATCCGGGTTGAACGGAGGGAGAACATCGCCAGGGATAGTTACACGGCGGTTGCGCGATTTTTCAACGAGATGTGGTGGAATGCCTGGCACTCGAGGAGGATTCAAAGTCAATCGCTGTGTGGACGTACCGTCATCTAGTTTTCGACCGCTTCGCGATCGCTTGGTTTCCGGCGACGCTGGTGCTGGCGTTGGGTCTCGCGACGGAGGCTTTGGTAGAGCTCTGAGCTTGTTAACGATACTGCTTAAACGATTGTGATGGCGATCTGCAACGTCAAATAATCGTATGGCTTCTGCATGTGAAGCTTGACGAGCACTTAAAGCCTGGTCAAGATGGGTAGAAATTGACGAGCGAAGAGTTTGTGGATCGGGTCGAGACGCAGCCGGAAGTTTAGGTAATGCGCCATACTGTCGTGTGTGCTCATGGACTGCATGGGCATTGTTGAAAAAGGTCTCATCAAGGCCCCGAAGGAGGGTGAGAGATCGAATGATATCGGAAGGAAGATACTCGGTGTAGTCGAGGAAATCTGTGACTGTTGCTTGCGCATCTGGGTCTGTTGAAGGCTCAGACACCATGTCGACCATTGTTGCCATGCTGTTGGGCGCGACGGCTGGGAACAAGGTCAGAGCCGTGAAAGGTTTCGATGATGGCGAAGGGGAAAGTAATCATTGGGAGGTTTGCGCTGAGAGCAGAGCGCACACCCGACCATTACAGTTATGGGGGGGGATAACCGCGTGTGTTCACCTTCTGCCCTGTGCATATCTAAAGCGCAACCTAATCAGGAGTCGCGATTGACCCTGCAGTGGTCGCAGCCTGCAGGCCCAGCGGCATGCCAAGACCACCCGCTACTAGTGCCTTGGCATTTAAACATCCCACAATCATTTTGCTCAGCGGGTATCAATGTCAAACGCGGCTTCACTGTGCACTTGTCTCTCTTACTATTCCCCCCAAATCAAAAGCAGTCGACTCGGTGAAACCAGCCACTAACCATGGCTACAGCTCAAGGCGCCATTTCCAAGCGCCGGAAGTTCGTCGCTGACGGTGTCTTCTATGCTGAACTGAACGAGTTCTTCCAGAGAGAGCTGGCCGAAGAAGGCTACTCTGGCGTTGAAGTTAGAGTCACTCCTACTGTCACCGACATCAGTGAGTTATATGAGATCTCCCATCGCTGGTCAGGAATCAGGATGATCTGACCACCTTTCACTCAACAGTCATCCGTGCAACTCATACGCAAGAAGTCCTGGGCGAACAAGGCCGAAGAATCCGAGAACTTACATCCCTCATCCAAAAGCGCTTCAAATTTCCCGAGAACAGCGTCTCGCTCTATGCCGCCAAAGTCCAGAACAGAGGTCTATCTGCCGTCGCACAATGCGAATCCTTACGCTACAAACTGCTCAACGGGCTGGCTGTTCGAAGAGCTTGCTATGGTGTGCTGCGATTCATTATGGAAAGCGGTGCAAAGGGCTGTGAAGTGGTTGTCAGTGGAAAGTTGAGGGCTGCTAGAGCGAAGAGCATGAAGTTTACAGTATGCGAAGATCACCTCTGAATGGCAATAATGGGAGAAGAAATACTGATCCTTCACTCCGGTAACAGGACGGGTTCATGATCCACTCAGGTCAACCAGCCAAAGAATTCATCGATTCCGCCACTCGACACGTTCTCCTCCGGCAAGGCGTCCTCGGTATCAAGGTTAAGATCATGCGTGGTAGTGATCCAGAAGGGAAGTCCGGGCCACAGAAATCCTTACCAGACTCTGTTACCATCATCGAGCCAAAGGAAGAGCAACCGGTTGTACAGCCCATGTCACAGGACTATGGTGCCAAAGCATTGGCGGCTCAACAGGCTGCACAGGACGCCAGGGCTGAGGAAGGTGGAGAAGAAGGTGCCGCGCCAGAGGAGGGTGGTTATGCGCAGGAGTAGAACGTAACGATCAGAAAGATAGTATGGCAGTGACAGGAGTGCTGTTCGCCTCCGCTCTGAATTTTATGGTGCAGCGAGTTGCTCAAATTTTATGGTCGTGCGGTTCCATAAACATTTCCTCTATTCTCTACATTTGTCCCTGCCTATCAGCACTGATGATCTACTCCTTTTAGTCTCTTCTGGACGTGACCATACATTTGACTCTCACAGGAAGACCTCGACGTTCACCTCCAGGGCACTAATCGGATATTTCAGCTCAAACTTCTCCAGCACCGTCGGATGCAAGATGCCAAAAACACCCACCACACTCTCTTTATCCGCAATTTTGACATGAATCTTCGCAGCATGACCCTCAAAGAAGGTCGGATTATCTGCATCTTCCTCGATCCAATACTCCATAGCCTGGTCCTGTAGGCCCTCCTCCTGGGTACGGAAAGCAGTCTTGAGCATCAACATGATGCGGTCGAGCAGTCCATGAACAATCTCGAATCCAGACGTCTTGCCATACCATGCCGCGGCGAAGTGTCGTTCGTTTCTGCTCTTTCGTTCCAGGTCGGGCGCTTTGAAGGCAACGTCGCTCACTTCGAAGATCTTGATCGGAATGCTGTGCTTCTTGTTTTCTCGGATCGTCTTGAGTAAGCCGGGTAGTAATGATGTTCGGATGACTTGGTATTCTGCTGTTTTCGGGTTGGCGAGCCGAACGGCAGTGGTGCCATCATCTTTTCGGTTCAGCCAGCCAAAGTTTTCATCATGCGAGCAGAGGATGAGCGGTAGAACTTCGGTCCAACCGGCCATTGCTGCTTCGAGGCGGACGATATCTGATAACTTGTTCAGAGCTAGCGGTTGGGCCACTGTGCCGGATTTGCTGGGGAAAGATCTGGGGAGCTCGTTGAAGCCGTAAGCAATTGCCACGTCCTCCATTATGTCAGCCTGATGCAGAACGTCTGCTCTTGTAGGAGGGACGTCAACATCAATTAGGTTTGGATCTGTTTTCGAGGGAGTTGCGTGATATGACATTCGTGTAAGCATTTTGCAAATATCCGTAGGAGACAGCTCGAGTCCACAGCATTCATTGATATATTGGAGCTCTGCTTGGGTCGCTCGAGGAGTAAGGTCTGGTACTTGGCGGGTTTGGGAGTTATGAGGAGAGACGATCTTTACAGGTTCAACACTATGACCTGTCAGCCTGAATGTTCCATAAAGCGGTATAAATCTGCATGACGAACGTGAAAGGCTCATCGGTGTATCGGGAGAACATTGCGACGAGAATATTGTTAACTATCTCAACCTTGGTCTTATCTAGTGCAGTGATCTCGATGAAAACATTCCTCGTGCTTGCAGAGATCTTGGAGTGATTGCCATTGATGACTGGTGGTAGGGAGCAGACGGTTCTCTGAGAGTCGTAGATTACAGGGTACACAGGCGAGTCACGGATAATATGCAAGTACCGACCAAGACTTTTGTCTTTCTGGGAAGAGTCAGTACTGGGACGTATTGAATCCTATGATAGGGAATGTCCCTATACCTCATAGAACTGGATGAGCTCTTCACCATTCATGGATTTAGTTTGGTTCAAGGGCACGAAGTTGATGTCTGTTGGCGGCAACGCTTCGTATGTGAATGGTCCTTGTAAGGTATCAAGATCATGCGTGCCAATCGCACACAATGTACGTTGCCGGGCAAGGTTCTGATGTAGCTTGTCCTGCAAAGCGATGAAGGACTCATATCTCGCCTGTGTAAGATTGATATTTCTCAAGATGGCGCCAGAGATATACGGGCGTATCCTCGATGTCTAGTTCCATCGTTAGCATCACCTGTACATCCACATTTACCGCGTTTCGTCGAACCTCTTCTTTGACTGTGATCGTTTGCACTTTGCCGTCCGGTGGTGCAACTAGTCTGTAATTTGGCGATTCTGTTTGACCTTGGAATATCTTAAGCATGAGAGAGATGCCCTCGAAGCACAGCATATCATATCTGCGCAGATTGTTAGACATAGATTACAATCTGAACCCTGCTTTTGCTACCTGTTCGCCGGTATCTCGATCTTCAACTGAGGTGCTTCTTGTTTGCCATTGACAACTGGCCGGTCTTGTGTGGAAGTCTGATGTGTATCAGCCACATGCATAGATGCATTGTTTATCCAAGGATGGCCGTCCTTACATCCTCATCAAGTTCAATCCCTGCCAGATTTCAGTGGTTGAAGAGTATCGGTCGAAGACTGGCGCATACCGAACTCGAAACATAGTTCGTCGAACTCTTGGGTCGTGTATCTGGACCTTTCATCAGTCTGGGTCCAATTAAACGCGTTTGGTGACTGGTACGAACTCCTTTCCAAGCTCCTCGAATAATGCTGCTTTGTCCACAGCTATTGTAGGCATCTCTTACGGATGAAGCTATCACCATAGACGGCGACGACGAGCAGTGGGTGATTTTGTCAGACCCAAATCCTATGCTTTAACTTTAGTGCCGTTCAAGTGTGGCAACATGGACATCAGTCAGGTTTTGTTTCTTGTCAAGTCCAAAGAGTCATAAATCTCCAACTCTAGTTTCTGCAATCAGCATGGGCGGAAATAAATGATCGACCCTAGAACACGGCCACACGAGCCACTACTGTAAAGCGTAAGCCACAAGTGCAGCTCACGTTCAAACAACAGCGCCTTGCAATAATGCAAAAATCAAATGCTGATATTGAGATACAATCCCGGCGTATTGCTTCTCATTTGCATAGAGACTGAGCGCCAATTGAGGTAGGAGCTTCTGTCATTCCTATCCCACTACAAGTTGTTATTACTCCGAGTGAGAGCGACTGTCCTTCTGGCGGAAACACTCTGTACCTAATGGTGCGAAGCCTCATTTACTGACTAACATTATAGATACTCTCCTTTATTGATCCCGCTGTGATCGCGATCGACACCGCGTATTACCTCTTGACGAGACCCGTCCTCCATTTCAGCCCGTTCGGTGTAAATTCGCAACTTAGACCCTGCTCCAAAACATCCATATCTAAGTGACGAGGCCGCTCTATTCACCAGCAATTGTGAAGACATCATGGAGGGCCAGGGCGAGAATGAGGAGCTTTACCCTATCGCGGTGCTGATCGACGAGCTGAAGGTGATTACTTTACAAGCAAAATGAAGTTGGACCTCAAGCTTACCTCTCCTTGCAGCATGACGAGGTGCTCCTGAGACTGAACGCAATCCATCGACTCTCCACAATTGCCCTTGCTCTGGGTCCAGAGCGTACAAGGGATGAACTTATACCATTCCTCGACGGTAGGTCTGCATGTCTCGCACAATGAGCTAGGAAGCTAACAATCGGCCAGACTCCGTGGAGGATGAAGATGAAGTCCTTACAGCGCTAAGCGAGGAGCTCGGTAACTTTGTAGAATATGTCGGTGGGCCAGAATATGGCCACGTATTACTGTCTCCATTGGAAAATCTGGCTGCGATAGAAGAGCCGCTTGTGAGGGACAAGGTACAAAGCTAAAGATCTGATCCATTTGCGGTTGCTAAACATGACCAGGCTGTCGAGTCTCTCAACAAAATATGTGACCAACTCTCCTCAACTCAGGTCGAAGAATATTTCATCCCTCTTATAGTTCGCCTATCCAAAGCCGATTGGTTCACTTCCAAAATCTCAGCTACCGGACTGTACAACGTTCCTTACAAGAAAGCGTCTCCGAACCAGCAACAAGGCTTGCGATCTCAATTTGGGCATCTTGTACATGACGAAACACCTATGGTTCGTCGACAAGCTGCTAACAATCTTGCCAAATTCGTGAAAGAAGTTACGGTATCGATCGTCATTGATGAAATGATCCCTCTTTTCCAACACCTTGCAGGTGATGATCAGGACAGTGTCCGCCTGTTGACCGTAGACATATTAATCTCCATAGCTGAAGAGATACCCAAAGAACAGCAATCAAGTCACGGAGTACTATTGACTGCGTTGAGAAGTCTGTTCGAAGATAAAAGCTGGAGAGTCAGGTATATGGTGGCAGATCGATTCGAAAGAATTGCGAAAGCCGTTGATGAGGAGGTCGTCAATCGCGATCTGGTGCCAGCATTTGTCAAGCTACTCAAAGATAGCGAGGCAGAAGTTCGAACGGCGATTACAGGCCAAATTCCAGGCTTCTGTGGTTTGTTGGATCGAGAAACCCTCCTCAACGAGATCATGACCAGCATCGAAGATCTAGTCTCCGATCCTTCTCAACATGTTCGCGCAGCGCTGGGAACCCAGATCAGTGGCTTGGCCCCAATTCTGGGCAAAGACGAAACGATTGCTCATCTGCTACCGATGTTCTTGCAAATGCTCAAAGATGAGTTCCCGGATGTCCGTCTCCATATCATCTCAAAGCTTGAACTCGTCAATAACGTTATCGGTATCGACCTGCTATCTCAGTCACTGCTTCCTGCTATTGTACAATTGGCGGAAGATAAGCAGTGGCGTGTCCGACTCGCCATCATTGAATACATTCCTCTTCTAGCCAGTCAGTTAGGCGTCAAGTTCTTCGATGAGCAGTTGAGTACTTTATGCATGAGCTGGCTTGGCGATACCGTCTTCTCGATCAGAGAGGCTGCGACACAGAACTTGAAGAAGCTTACAGAAGTCTTTGGTGTTCAATGGGCGAATGAAGCAATTGTTCCCAAAGTTATGGTGATGGGTCAACATCCAAACTATCTGTACCGCATGACAACTTGCTTTGCAATATCGGTGAGTCTGAACTGTAACTTCTATGCTTGTCAATCGCCGCTAATCACCGGGTCAAGACCTTAGCACCTGTCTTGACCATGGACATCATCAAAGACTCAATCCTTCCAATGCTAGACAGACTCGTCGCCGACCCAATACCTAATATCCGCTTCAACGTCGCCAAGTCATACGCAGTCCTAATCAGCACTCTTTCCCGCCTTCCAGCCGAAGGCAGCTTGACAGATCTTGAGAAGTCAGGGAAGCCATTCAACCCCTCACCAGAAGGCCAAGACTTGGTTCAGTCCCAAATCATGCCAAATCTCCAAAAACTCCAGCAGGATGAGGATGTGGATGTGAGGTACTTTGCCACTACGGCAGCAGGCAGCACGGGTGAGAGAATGGAGACGTCGCCATGAATTATGATGATTTTCTCATGATACGCGCTGGCTGGATCACAGGAACCCGATGATGTGCCTGAACGATATGCTAGAGGTGGGTCGGACGAATACGCAGGTCCTCCATGGGATCTGAGGCCTGCTTTCTTGGGAGAGAGATGTTGGTGTGCTTTTCGAGAAGGCGAACATCTTGTCATTGGGGGAGGGGGAGCAAGGAGATGGTGAGAAGCGTCAAGCCCCATACATGCTGTAGAGTAGATCCGATCGTGAGAACAGTTAATGAACCGGAGAAATGTCTTTAGGGGTTCCTCCGTGGTGCTCTTTGATGAAATAAGAGCCCCATTCTCATAAGCTTCGTACCTGCATCCTACTCTCTGGTTCTAACACTCCATCGGCGTTGCACTTTTTTTCAGTATCTTCCCTTTCGAATACTCGTCTAAGTGGCACATTCGATGGATTACCGCTTGTCACGATGGTGCTTAGGGGATGCCATCTGGTGCCCCCCAGACATAACCCACAACTCCTAAGTACCCTGCAGAAATGCCTTCCTTGGACCGACAATTCCGCCGACCGCCGCCGTATCCTCCTCCTCCTCCTCCTCCGTGGCCCCGCCCGCGCTGCTACAATCCAAGTCATCTCATGCAACCGCCTCCCTTCTCGCACCCAGTCCACAATATCCTGACATGAAATGCGCAAAACCGCGATCCATTTCAGCGCCGGGCTAGAGCCGCTTGAGCATCTAGTTGTGGGCCCGAAATCTCTGGGTTGGAGGTGGAGGGAGCTAGGGACGACTTCGCCGCGGTTGTTTGGAGAGGAGAATGTTGTTCGTGGGAGGTTTTCGTAGTCGACATCAGTATTAGTAGCGATGATGTTGTACCACCTTGAAATGACTAGAAGATTTGGGGTGTCAGGTCATTGGGCTGATATGGGATGTCGCCTCCTCCACGGTTAGGAACGATGACTAGTCGCACTTCGCCGTCGAGCTCTGTGACGTAGTCCCTCGCGGCGCTGGCGATCTGCTTGCTTCTCACCTTGGGATGGGGAATGTGTTGTCTTGATGACGACACGGGGAAGGGGAGGTGGAGAAGTTCAGATTATTGGGCGGGACTGCAGTGCCAGGTCCCGGTGGAGAAGATGGATGCGGAACGGAGACAGTGGAGGTCGGTGAGTAAGTCTTTGGTGGTATGCTGAAGGAGTGTTGTTTTATGGTCTCCAGGCCATTTTGCATGGTGTTGCTGATTTGGTCGGCGACGAAGTCCTGGAGGATGGTTGCTTTCCGTACGATGATCAGCTAGTCCTCGACCAAGTCGGATCCATCACTCCTGAATAATTGGGTTAGAGTTCACTACATGATACAGCTCACCTTGCTTTGTCCTCGATGTAGCCCTAAAGGTCTGATTCGGATTTTCGAAGATGGTCGACCATGTGATTGAATACAGAAGGCTGAACTCTGAAAGTGAGACTGTTGCCTTCAATCGGCTCTGCATTCAATGCTCGTAGGAACTTGAGGCGCGGGTCGCTGTTTTGGGGGTATTCATATCCATCCTCATCCATGATAGAAGGGATGGAGGTTGTTGGATGAGGGCCTCTGGAGGGTGTCAGAGGGTGGAGATAGGTTTTAGACATGAAGTTTCGCGAAGGAGAGCATCTTCTGTGCTCAATGAGGGCTCTCGAGGGCAAGGAGTCAAAGCTCAACCATCTCCGATGTACTCCATCGAATAATATCTTACATGATGGGAGTGGCCGTCAATTTCTGGAGAAAACAGCACTCTTCTATTCCATTCTCCCGACCTGGGAAGAAAGAGGCTTGTGTAATGCAAACACATTAGCGTGAGTAATCATGATCAGTGTTAAAACTCGTTATGCTTCGAAATATTTAGTCATCCTGCAAACAACGGCAATAATTATCAACACCCCAAGTTGAATCATACTTGACCTTGATTGTACTGATTAACGTAGTAATCACACTCAATCGAAGTGACACTGATGTACCCATGTTCAATGCTGTTTCATTTTTGGCTCCTGAGCGGCTGGGCCCATGTTGCTTGCAGCCCATCTAGATACAGCATACCCAGCATCACTCAGATTCCTCATCGATTGTTCCACGAGAAGTTGATGTCATGTCCAGAATTTTGATCCCCTTGTATGATAGGTCCGCCTCCTGAATTAACGTTTCCGCTCCACACGCGACTGCCGTAACTTTGCTTGGGAGGAGCAACGGAACTGGTGTGGTTGGCTTCACTGGCTTCACCAGTTGTCGTAGCAGCTCCTGAGCCCGATAGGGTTGGTTCGTCGACGACCTTGTTGGCCGGGACCACGGACAGGAGATCTTTGGCATAAGCAGCGGCTATTGCAGCAGCGTAGCTTTGCCAGCGCTTGTTCTTGTGACTGTCACAGTAATCACAGATGCCACGAATATTCAAGCTCCGGAAGCTGTTCATCAACCCGGCCCCTTCCATTTCAAAACACAGCACTCCACCCAGCTCGTTGGATATTCGATCTCTTGTAATACCGTCTTTCATAACTTGGTCTCCAGACGCTATGTTGCCATAATGGATACCAGGAACCGTGCTTGGACGAGGATCGCGCTCAATAGCATGTGCCTTGTCGCATCTTGCGCACGTCGGCTGTCCTTTGACATGAAGGTATTCTGCGTCATACAAGATATCATTCTCTGCACCTTGATACTCACTTTCCTTCAAGTCATACTCTTCAACCATCTTCTTATGGTAACCCATCAGATCTTCCAGCTTTCTCTTCCGTATATGCTTTGCCTTCAGTGCTGCCAATGCCGTAAGAATGACATCCGGTGGTTGATTTAGCTGATTATTCCGTGTAAGGTGACCTCCTGGGCCTGTCTTCCCAAGATCGTATTGAATGACGCCTCCGAAACCGTTGCTTGGCTGGCTAACAACAACATCTCCAAGCCGGACATCGTGATCTTCGTCTGGTACACCGCCACCGACACCAACCATCAGCCCGAATCTGATATTGGGAAACGTCATTTTGATCTGGTCCGCACGCACAGCCGCGCTGACTTTACCATAAGCACCCGCGCCCAGGACAGCCATGACCACGTTGTGCTTGCCTATCCTCCCGAGTGTACAAGTGTTTTCGTCGAAATCGGCCACTTCCAGTGCCTCATGTTCCTCGTCGAGCATGCACTGAGCTGCTGACAGCTCATGAGGCAACGCACTGATCCAGGCGATTGTGTAATCTTTGTGTTGCAGCTTCTTTCTTTCTGACATTGTGATGTAACCAGAAGGACGGAAAACTTAGAATATGGATCGGATCGTCTGGAAACAATTGCAGTATCGCGGAGTTGGTAGAAATGCTTATCTACCCCCTCATTGAGGCGACTTGACAGTCAGACACAATAACCGGGACACTATCTCTGAAAAGCGGTATGCTCAAGCATGGAGAGTAGGAACTTCCTGGTGACAACCAAGAAAAAAGGTGATATCGCACATCAGCACATCTTGTCACGAGCAAGCCCGACAAGGCTGGCCAGAGCCTGACCCAGGCTGAGGGGCAGTGCTCAGCCACAGCCCAATGTAAGCACATTGCAGGGGACTTTACGCTGCTTATGCACAGCTCTTCACAGAATGCGGAGTAGAAGAGGCTTCATTCCTATCATTGGTAAGCCTCGTACTCAATGAGAGGTGTGTTGGAGCTTGAAACATCACCATTAGGCAACATCAAAGAGATCTGGAGAGGCAAGAGAAGCATTCGTGAGCGCCATCAGTAGATGCTAGTAATCAATAAGTTACTACGTTACTGAATCAATCTGTAATACTTTGATGGCGCCTGACTCGACTTGGATCGATGTGACACCCCAGCGGGTTTTTCTATAACCAAATCTGCCTTGGGCTGGAAGCCAAGACTGGTGGCATCCAACCAAAACGAATTACTAGTACCAGGGAGAGCCACGCAAATGTTCTCGTAAATATTCTGGTACTGCAAGACGGAGCCGAACTCTGTCCTGGCAGGCAGTTTGTCCAAAACGCACGACATTCAACAGCCCAGTTGTCTCGAATCGAATTGCCTCGACCTACCATTGCTCAATGCTTGTATGCACCTTTCCAGAAACCACGTGGATGATTCACGCTCTTCCAAGCGAGCTCGGACAGTAACAACGTTCATACAAGGTCCAACGACCCTTGAGATACAAGATATTTCGCTCTCAGCACGGCCAGCGACTAAATAGCCACAGACAACGTCATTTTGTCCAATGTATGAGGCCATCACGGCCGCTCAGCTGGTAGTCAGAGCAATGGCGGCAGCCCTTGGGCAGCAGCCCTGTGTACTTCATACAGCCGTTGGTCCGTAGAGGATTGATTGCAGGCATGTGAAGAATGAGAGTTTGTTGAAGCTATTGACTTGCATCATCAATGGTCCTGATAGTATGGCGTCCCCCAGTATCGCAGACCTGGTTCTTGAATGGCAATTGCGTGCTTGATGAACAATGCAATAGACTCGGAATGCGGCAACGGGAACCTAAATAAGCGAATGCTAATGAATTTATCATTGGGTCAAGACTGAATCTATCGTACCGAGGGTGAAACAAGCGAGCAATCATTCGACTCTTCTCCTGCCCGGGCGTCCCTCATGAGCATGACTTCAAGAGAGTTGACAGCCGAATTTGCGTCTGTCGTTGCGTGTCATTGTGGCAGATTGTTTTGGAGGCAGACAAAGGTTAACGTGATCATGTCTTTTTGCATGTTCATCCGAAGTGCCGCCTGCTCCACTGCTTTCACGGTAGCTTCCTCACATGTCTTGTTTCACGACTCCAGCTGCTGATGACGCTCCTCGCTCTCTCCAAGATATTCTGTTGCTCTTTTGGTTGTGAGGGCACGTGTTTCGATAGACACGTCGTCCAAGGTAGTTATAGCTAGAAGTAAAGAATACATCTCCCACAAAGGTGAAAACCCTAGGCAGGTATTATCTGTACCCGGAGCGAGACGGGCTTTCAATTATGTCTTGATGAAGCTTGACGGCGGTAGAATCCGAGAAGTGTGATAGTGATTCAGAAGCTGCAGGAATTTGCCAGATCTGTCTGGTCGAGGGACTAACGCCGGCACGGGATTCGCAGGCTGCTGAAAGACATCTTGCAGAGAATAGGACGCTGTCGAGACCCAATTCCCTGATGCTTACGATTTCCCTGGCGAATGGCAGGAGCTCTGGGTATCTAAAAACTGAACGAGCTCTCCACAATACGCAGCTAGGCTGGCCCACATAGTTTTGCTTTCAACGGTATTTGGTCCATCGAGCGCCCGGTTTTTGAGTGCGCCGTGCATCATTATGTGGGACAAAAGTTTGAAGGTGCTGCGGTCGCACCATGTCTCTTCGATCTGTTCATACCCGGGCTCTAGTCATTCAAGAGAATCAGGCATCGAAGACTCTCCACCACAGAATTGACTGCTGCCTCTTGTCCTGAGGCATACCAGGAGCTTAGCCAACCAATTCCTGTCTTGTTCCTAAGCAGCCTGTAAACTGTTTAGTGCCTCGACAAAGTGACCACCAGCAGGAGGATTGCTTGATGTCCGTGCCTTTCGAAAATTGACTGTGCTAGGGCTGGCTCCGAGTCAAGTGGGACTAATTGACTGGATATGGAATAATCGATACGTGTGGCTCTGGCACAGGAATATCTTGCTCGCGAAGGACTTATTAGCATATTTCGGGCAGACGATGAGTCGCGGCAGTGGGGGGGCACCCACCTGATCAGTAGAGCAGCGGTGAGGTGGCTAAAGGTTGTATGGGTCTTCTGGGCAGCAGAATCGCGAGGCACTGCATTAGCTTTCACGTTCCAGGTCGTTGGCTGCATCACTTTCGTGTCGTTTATCGGCTGAGGCTTTGAGCTTGCCCAGATCATCCATCTTGTCGGTTTGTACGAAGGTCTGTAAATCGGACGCTGGAGAGGCCAGTACTTATAAGTGTGCCCAGCGCAATGTGATGGTATGGGATTCTGGCAGCTGTCAGGGTGTACGCAGTATGTGTCTTGCTCGGCCGATGATATTATTGTGCATTGCCATTGCGAAAGTGTTGCAATTTTTGGTGGTTGTGCGGAGTTGCTGGCGCCGCGTCATCAAACGGAACGTCAAACAGAAACAGCTCCTGAAGGCCATCCGTACATTTATATTATGTAAATAGTATATCGAAATGATGCTGAGCTTCTTCTGATTCTTTTAGTATAGATTTCAGATACAAGAGACTCTTTTTGAAGAAGTAAGATTTACTATGTAAAGAATGAGCTTTATCAATTGAGGTCTACATTATCATTAATCTATATCATTAGAGTCAGAAGAAGCCCAGCATCATTTTGATATACATAGATGGCCCTCAAGAGGTGTTTCACAACGTGGCGCCAACAATTCTCAAAGACAATGCCAAGGAATTACAACACTTTCGCATTGTCAACAACAATCAAAATCGATAATCTTCTACACCTCAACATTTCTCTTTAGGCTTCTACATCTAGTCTACTCAATCTGGCCGTTCATGTTTTCTGCGCTCGGCGACAGTCTGTTTGTGGTCATATCCACGTCTGATCTGCTGGACAGAGCGCCCATGCAGAAATACCACAAGGACACATCTGACTCTTGTAAGGGATGAGCCGCACTCGAGCTTTATCATGCAATCGTCGATGGTCTCTGCCTAGCTCTCCTGGTTACGAGGCATGCTTGTCGGTCGGGTCCATATGGAAATGCTTCTTGAAATGAGATGTATATCAGTGGCCTTCATGGGATGACTGATGCTGCCGCCAAATGGCATAGAAAAGAGCAAATGTCACAACAAGATCATATGTCCGAATGGCAACAGCCATGTCTTTTCCAACAAGAAGTAATATCTACAAAATGATACTTCAAGCCCTGTACATGCCGAAGGAGTTATCGGCGCCTGGAGTCGCTGTGATTTGTGGAGGAGGTTCCCATTTGACGGCAATCTCACTATGATCTTTACTTTTTCTTCCATTTTTCCCCCATAACTGGAACCTTACATCGGCCGCACCAATGAGGACCTTGACGTCGAACTCGGCCCTGTTATATTCTGGGCCGAAATTGTACCAATGTCTGTTCTTCCGCTTCATATCTGCTGGGTCCAGTACTGATTCCACGTCACATCTGCGAACAATGATCAGCCTTGATACAAGCGACAGAAAAAAAGAGGCCGAGGCTCACAAAGTCTTCACACCAGAATGCTTCATGCTCCGTGGTAGTTGGCCAGCTGGCAACGTCGACGTGACTATTTGCGTCTTCCAGGGAACCTGCTCCTTGCCAAGGTCGATCTTCAGCCGATAATGGTGTTTTATGCCTTCCTTGACGTGTATTACATGGCCCTAGTTGGGCATGAGGAGTAAGCTATGACGTGCTTTCTGAATCTACTCACCTGTTCAATAAACCAATGGATTTGTCGTTCAGCCCATTTCTGCTTATCACGCGGATCTATCACAACATCCTCTCCTTGATGCTTGCTTGCATCATACACTTGACGGCAGACAATTCCATAGCTGGTTCGGCAGCATCGCCGGGAATACACCACAATGTTTTGACTGATCTCTTGGATCCGATCCATGACTAGGCCGTGTACAACAGCAAGTTGCCTGCAAATGAAGTCAGCTCCGATACCGTTGTACAGGCGGGGAATGCGTACGGTTCTTCGGCCACCAGGACTGTCATATCTTGAGCATTCGGGAAAAAGCCACCGGCACCGCTCTCATATCGCGCTTTGAGGCACTTTCGGACATATGGTGAGCTTCCCAACCCGCCAGACAACACAAGGTAAGACTGCAATGTATCTATAAGTCACGTATCTCTTTTCTGGTCTTGGTAACGTACGATGGTTTCTCGCGCATGACTCATCTGCAGTCTTTTCAATTGCTCATCAATCAGCCTGTACATCTTTTCGATTTGTTCGTCAAATATCCGCTGTAGTTCTTCTCTATCCGGTTATTAGCGCGTGTCGTCCTGCCAGATTTGGAAGTTTCTCACTTCGTTATGATCATCTTAGAATCCGCAACACGAGCCTGTGGAAAGTCTTGACCTGGAGCCAGGCCAGGTACCGGCAGCGGCAGCGTTGGGACATTGGACGCCTCGACACCAAAGGAGCATTTGAATGTCTCGAACCTCCCTCTCATCATTTTCTCTGCCACGTCTCTCGGTTCCCCTTGAATATGATGGCGGATTGTTTCGAGCCTTTCGGCGATCAACTTGGCTATGCGAAAATCGATCAAGGTCGAGCCGATGGACTGGCCCTCGACCCAGCTAAGTGGTTCGAGCTCAGTCTTGCCTCGTCCTGAGCTCGACAGCTTAAGCACATTCAAATCTGTCGTCCCACCGCCAGCGTCACAAACCAAGAACACATCTCCTTTCTCGTATGACGACTTTGAAGCATACACAGCAGCTGCTTCAGCTTCAGTGAGCGATATCCTGACAATATGATTAGATTTCTCGCCAAAGCCTGCGTCTTTGATCAGTCTTTCAGTAGCGGCGATCATGGCTGGGTTCTTCCATGTTGTTGGCACGCTGAACAGGAATTCGATGTTCTTGTTCTGCCATCGTGGCATGGAATCCGAGAAGACTCGCTTGATCTGCTCATATATGCAGTGTAGATAATCTTTGAACCATTGCCTAGCTTCATCAATCGTTGGAGCTTGACGAAAAGTGTCCTGATGAGCTGGATCTAGGTATAGCTTGAAAAGTTCCTCAATCCGAAGCTCGTGGTTCTCCGGATCGCAAAGAAACCCCCAGGTGGTTGGATAACCAGTTCGGTCATCATAGGCAATCGCGGTGCTGACTTTGTTGACGAGCTCACTTCCAAACTTTCCTGGCCAATGCTGAATTGTTTTCGGTACTGGCCAATCTGGTGCCATGGAGTAGGCCACACCGGTACTTGATCGAGAGTCAGTAGGGGATTTTACATTCTTAGAAGGAGCCAGAGGCTACCAGGTCATTCCAAAATCAATGCCGACCACGATTTCTGGCACCATGCCTTCGGAGCCCATCCTACAATCCTTTCCACTTCCTGCGACCGGTCAAGGCCCAATACAAGTCAACAATGGGTGAACATGGTGCGTGATGACCCTTCACGACTCTACAATAACAACTGGCACTGTGGAGTGGGGTTCAAATGCGGCTCTTGTCGATCGACCCTCAATTTCGGACTTCATAATACCATTGCAGCAAATTATTTCAAGCCAATCTCGGCATGGGCTGGTTCGCAACGCCTGATGCAGATAGTTCATACTACGGTATTCAGCTGAATTATGGTGGCTGCTCTAAGTAACATCTAACTAAGCTAACTAGCATGGTCAGGGGCCAAAGGTTGACTTTGGAACTATCCTTGGATTTGGCGTGCCGGGTTTGTGGAGACTTGTGGTGGCTTGGTCTGGCCTCGCTATTCCGGCCTCGCTGTTCTGGCGCTAGTCTCGCCTCGTCAAAACTTTCCCTGTTGCTTGCCATGCAGGGCCTGACCAAGAGGACAGGATGGAGATAGAGAAGAACACCATGCAAGCCTCATCCTTTTAGATCTTCTCCCCTCAGCGACCTCCACCTCTACGACCACAAGACAACTGAATACGTCTGTTGTATCCACACGCGCTGGCTTCATCCTCGCATGATGGTTGCGCAAACACCCAGCGGTTCAGGAGCACAACCAACAGTGCCTGGCGTACAAATTCCGTCCGGTCAAGGGCCTCCTGCTGCAACACCATCTGTTGTAGCGCCCTCTGCTATACCAACACCACCTGTTGTACAGGCTCCAGCCGACTCAGCTCCGTCTCCTGAGGCATCATCAAGTACCAGCCAGCCAGCCGTGTCAAATTCCAACGGCTCCGGTGCAGGTAGCAATCCGGCCAGCAGTACCGCTTCAGTCAGTGCATCGCCTGCTCCGGTTGCTGGTAATTCTGGGACAAACGCCGCGGCACTCGCAGGAGCAGCTGTTGGGGCAGCTGTCGGAGCCGCGATTCTTACCTTCTTAATCACATTTATGTTTCTTAGAAAGAAGAACCAGAATCATCGCCAACACAGGAAGCATAGGTCCGGCAGTGGTGGCCTTTCCACGTATACTGAAAAGGCTCTCCCAAAGGATCCATCGCAGGGTGGTGATACGGTGTCAGCAGTATCTACATTGCAGAAGCATCTCCCCCAATCAGCAGATGACACAACCATTCGGTCTTCTGTAAAGACACTTTTTGATCAGGTTGAGCTTCACGTCGAGAACTTCTACCGAGATGTGGCTGTTCAGATAACCGAGACTCTGCAGGCGCAATTGCTCAGAGTTGATTCTCCTCACCTGACTGAATCAATTGTTGATCTTTTGCCTCGTGCAAGATCCCAGACCGCTTTGATCAAGCATTGTCTGCTATCCTATATTGTTGCCTCCATCTCGGTTGATGACAATTCCGTTACATCCTTACTACCAACCGAGTATGCCACGTTGCCCCACGTTGTTCGAGCCGCTGGACAGAAGAAGCCTGGTGAGTATCGATATTGGATTCCCTGGCTCCAACATGCTAACTTCGACTCAGGTTTCGACCAAGCCCTCTCACAGTGGCGGGTCCTGAGCGCCTACCTCCGTCCGCCACCCAAAAACGACCAAAGCTACCTCTCTCAACGTGACGCCAATGTCTCCGCCGCCGCAGCCGCTTTCACCAATGCCTTCTCGGCGTGGGCAAGCAGCGCCTACAGCGACAGTGTCCGACGTCAAAACGTGGCCGAGATCTTCAAGAGTGCCGCTGATGTTGGCATCTTGATCTTCTCGCAGCCATCTTCGTTCACGTATCAGTGGGGCACGTCACAGGATAATCGGGGTGGTGTTGTAGTTGTGACACCGGCGTTTTTGAAGGTGAGCGATGAGAATGCGAGGGTATTGGAGAGGCCGCAGGTTATGATTCAGATGGTTACGCAGAGCATCTGAAACATGTTGATCTTGACTGATCTTGATTACAATGGACTGATTTATGGAGTGGGTTGGCGCCATGGTTTCGTGCTTTGCCTGGATGCAAAAATCGAGTACTCGAAGAAGTGTCGTTTGACTTGTTCTACATAGTAGTTCTGGAACATGATGCAAGATTGTTATGAGCTCTAGCCTGACCAACCGACAAACACCCCTCTTTGACTTGTTTTGACAATGCGTGCCCTTTATCTATTGAGGGAGACGCCCGTGCAGCAGTTGCCCCCGCTGGCACAAAGGCCTGACTTGAGCTGGTGGTCGGCCACAGCGGTTCCCCCTCCTCCTTCCCCACCCCTTTTTGTTCTGCACTTGTACATGAATACCTAATTCACGAAAAATGGAGCATGAGCATGTGCATGGGCATGGATCGCCCGCTTCTACGACAGAACATCGTCCCGCCTATTAGTGTCTCATACCTCGGTATCCATTTACGTAGTGTAGTGCGTAGTGTGTGCCCCCGGGTGCGTGTTCCTTGGGATTCGGATCAATTGGGGGAAAGAATAATATTTCCATGGTTAGGTTGTAGTTATGGCTGGATCTGGATCTAGATCTAGCACGAGACGTGGGATATATATGTATCTCCGTGTGTATGTATATGTAAAATGACTTCTCATTGAGACTACGGAGTACACCCCGATATCGTTCTCCTAATTAGGTATCCCAGCCACGGTGCCTGCCTGCTAACTTAATAATGACTCAGGAGAGTCATTATTCCTGTCTCTTCTTTTCCAGTAAAAAAACGCCTATTTCTTTTTATTTCTCTTCTGTCCTCGTGCCCACCCAATACAACACTTCCCCATCGATGGGAGAGGAGGTTTCAAACAGATTCTCATCAGCAGAGTTGCCCGGTCCTACCAAGCAGCTTTCACGCTTTGGTTCTGGATGTTTGCCTACACGCCAACGCCAACGTTCACGCACACAAAGCAAGAGATCCTGACGCCAATGGAAACCCCCAGCTGAGCTGAAGATTTCGCTCTACTTACCCTCATGTCATGGCTCATTGTTTCGATTTGATGCTCCTACCAATCCAACCCCCTCCCCAAACAACCGCACGACCCCTTTGGACATGGTTCCTAATAGCATCTGCGGAAGAGGGATCGGTTTAGTTCCCGTTTCTTCCGTGGTTCATCGTAGGCGTGACAAGCTGGGCTTGGCTTATGGCTGTCGCGGAATTTGACAGATGGGGGAAAGACGAACGACTCTATCGTTCTAACTGGTGCTCTAGCCAGGCTCGGCCACGTGCTCGGCCTCTTTGTCGTGGTGCTGTTTGTTGCTGTGCCTGTTGGTGTTGGTGTTGCTGGGGGGTTATGGTGGAGAGTTCTTCGGTTTGGATGGAGGAGCGTGAGAGGGGCCGGGGGTAGAGATTGAGATTTGAGGTTGGGTTGGGGTCTGAGGAACAGGCTGTTAGGTTTGGTGAGGGGTGGTATGACATCGGTGATGTTGTTATGGATGCGGGTGGGGGTAAATTGTAAATATTGGGATTGTAGTTGGCGTTATGGATTTGGGCGTTTGGTTGGGGGGCATTGAAGGAGTATGGCGGTTGAGGGGAGGGTGGACCTGGTGGTCTGTACTGTGAACGTAAGGTTGAAACTGATGGTGATGTTGACAATGGTGGAGGGTGATTGTAGACTGTTTGCTGTTGCCAGGAATTTGGTGGTGGTGGTGGTGGTGGTGGTGGTGTGTAGGGAAAATAATTGGTGTTCGGATTCAATGTCTGACACGATGGAGAGCGAGAGCTGGAGACAGGATGTTGGTAGTAAGCTGGGGGAAGTGATGTTGTTGACGGGCTTGAATATAAGGACACGGGCGGACTTCTGGAAGACGGATCTGGTCTGCTTGGGTAATTGTCGACCACCTGCAAGCCGTCGGCACCTGTGCCTGGTTTACTCCACTGATTCTCGACCACTTGCATGCCATCGGCTCCAGGAATAGGTTGACTCCATTGATTCTCAACCACCTGCAAGCCGTCTGATCCAGCGTATTTGTCATGATCCGGTTGAGGAGATGTCATGGGTGTTGGCTGTACTTCCGTCACATTGACGTTGACCATTGGGTCGGAAATTGGATCCCCGTCCGACATTGCAGCTTTGTTCATCTCTTCGTCGTTGTTCATGGGCAACTTCGATGCTCGTCGCTTTAGTAGACTCTCTCGCCGTCTATCCAGCAGCTCGACCACTTCGTAGCTCGGAGGAGGTTTGAGTTCATTCTCACTGGCACCGCTGTCGGCTTTCTTGAGAGCGCCGCCCTCAGTTGGAGTCTTGACTGATGATACAGACCCATCTCGATGGCACAGCACTCCCATGGCAGTGTTGAGACCCTGCGCTGCAATTCCCAGTCGACCCAATTGGACTTGCACTTTCGGCGAGTCTCGCAAGATGAATTGCGAGCGAGTGAGCAGCTTGATCTTACTGAAATTGGTTTGCATGTCAACCCGCGCCGGTTCAATCAGCGCTGCGACGTTGCCCACCGCCCTTTCACTCGCTTGCAAAACATCATCGATCCACTTCTTCTCCGTACTGTTCAACAGACCTGATCGCTGTCGTCGCAGCACCTGGGCGTGCTGTAGCGTTGAACTGACTTGGCTGGTGGTGTCGAGCAGATCTCGTGTTTGTTCTCCCACCGCCTTGAGTTCGTAGACCACCGTTGCGATCTTCCATGATGCGTTGAAGATGGAGCCAAATGCTGATACACCTCCGTCCATTGCCATTGGATTTTCTTCTTGGTTGAATGTCCAGCAATCAGTTTCCCTCGGTAGGACTCATCCCACACGATGGTGTTACAATGGTTCCGTTATGACATCAAACAGAGTTCTAGTGCCTGTTTACCTGCTACTGCTGGCCATGCACTGGAGAGCAGAACATGCAGATCCAGATCTCGAACAAGTCTCATACCAGGACAGACACTCAGGCTGTGTGCTTACCAAGAGTGAGCGGTATCAGGCCGGAGACGAGCCATTCTGAGTTCGAGTGAAGTCTGAACTCTGCATCCATGGCCCCGTCACGGCAATACTTTCCATCTCGTCTTCATCTCGTCTTCATAACGCCCGGTCCTAGAAATCCCACTGACCAGGGCGGAATCTGTCACGACCCCCGCAACCACGCTGCTTGAAAGTCTAAAGCGGTCCTCGCGCTGCGACCCAGCGAATGGCAGATGTCTAACCATGGCTGAAGCTAGCTTACTACGTAGTGTTGATTCATCGACCGGCTCAGGGCTCAGCGCGTGGCTTTGGGCCGATGCGCCCTCGCTTACGGAGTACTACTATGGTATAAGGCAAACGTAGTAAGTATTGTTGGTGTGAGCTAGTGATAGCTAGTTTTTGATACAAGAGTCCGGCGTCCTCCGGGGTTATTGTAAATCTTGACCTTCATTCATCATGGTGATTGGCTCTGCTTTATGAATCATACAAACTAAACGTCGTTTCAGTAAAGTGCAACTTCGTCAAGCGATGTAAAATACAGAATTTCGAGCTTGAAGCCAACAATACTTATGCCTCCTACCGTAGTACTAGTAAGTACCAGAGCGGAAGCCATGGCGCTGTAGGCTTGGGTCGTACCACCTCACACGAGATGGAATACGAGCAATCTCCTTTTTCATGCAGCCATCCCATGTTCCATGCCCGGGTTGGACATCCCGCTCCCTTGCTATTGTTGCTATTGTTGCTGTTGTTGCTATTATTGCTATTATTGCTACTGCTGCTACTACGTCGTACTGCTACTGCTGCTGCTGTACTACGTAGTATGCGCCCACTCGGGCCTGTCATACGACTGTTCCCTGCCAACATGTCAAGGCCCGATTGCGGCTGCATCAATCGAGTCGGAATTGCAATCAAGCACACGCATCAGCTCGCAAGGCAGACTGTCAAGAGCTGAGTCGAGACCTCCCGGTAGCGAGGAGCTTATACGATTATGGCTTTGGTGAGTTCGATACCTAATTTCGGGGGAACTAACCTCGAGATGGCCATCGAGGCACGCCCACTGAGCTACCAATCTACTACGTTAGGGAAATGTTACTTCCTAACCCCGTAGTCGTCGAATCAGGCATGTGTGCATCGTCCATGGGGAAAAAGGCGTCCCTCCCCAACCCACCCAGCCACTACTCTCCGTGGTGTTGCGACTCTCTTTTCCCTCTCCAGTCCACGACAGCGAGATTGACCGGAGTGACAGGGTGACAAGCTAACAACAGCATCGACAAAGACCCCCAAAAACAGCCATGATGCACCACTGCAGCAGCCCCACAATCGCATTCCTCACCTTCCTCCTTCCCCTCCTCCCTCAGACAGCACAATCCCTCCAATGGCGCGGGCCCCACGCAACTCCCACCCAATTCCTACCCGACGCAGATGGATGGACGCCCAAACCCACCGCGGCGCCTCCATCTCAGCACGTCGTCGCAGCCGCAATGGGCAACACGAACCTCGAGCTCAAGCTCTTTCGTCGACAGACGGGCGGCTTGTCCAAACTACCCAACACGTGCGGCTACGTGGACGGGAACGGCGCGTACGCCTTCACCTGCTCGGGGTATGGTTATGTGTGCGCGTATAACACAAGGGAAAATGCTTTTGGGTGTACGTTTTCCAGTATCCTTCCTATCTACTCTACCACCGGACCCCGTGTTTGAATTTGGACGAGTGAAAAGAGTATATGGTGCTAACTTTGCCTTGCCGTTTTTGCTTATTCTAGGCTGCTCCGGGACCTCTGTCGCAAGCGATGGAAGAATCTATTTCACCGACTCATGCTACATTGACACCATGACGACGGGCTGCTACGCCTCGACCGAAGCGGATCTCTGCACCGGTCTCTGCAGCTCCACTGCTGCGGTGTGGTATGTTATCATAATCCCTCAATCTCCACCTGCCCCTCCCAAACAGCACCCTAGCTAATGAAGCCCCACCCCCAAAAAACAGCTTACAATCCACCGCCCCGATCTGCCGCACCGTTCTTCAATTCGGCACCGATGCTTTTGACCCAGCAACCTACACCCAATACGACTGCATCCCCCTCGGCGTCAGCACGCGGATCTCGCTTCAGAACCTCTTCAGCGTCTCCATCTCCGTAGAACCCGACCCCCTATTCGACCCAAGCTACACCTGGGACGGCACGACATTTATTCCCACCAGCGCTACTACTACCAGGTCGACCAGCGTGCCGGTGACCGGGAGCGGAAGTTCGACGGTGACGCCGGTGCCGACGACGCCGGGACCGGTGCGGCCGCCGAGGAATAATACGGGCGCAATTGCTGGGGGGGTAGTGGGCGGCTTGGCGCTGTTGGGGCTGGTGGCGGGTGGGGCGATTTGGGGATTGATGAGAAGGAAACAGAAGGCTAGGCGCCAGGCGAGCGCGGTGAATGAAGTCAGTCATGTTACTTATGTGCATGACGCGAAATGAAGGCTAGTAAATTGTTATAGGAGAGACAGAGAAGCTGGAGGGTAGAAAGAAGACGGATACGGTGGCATTTTGGAATATCGAGCCTGGAGTGGGACGTGGGCGTAAGCGAGGAGTTTGAGAGCTACTACTACTACTACTACTACTACTACTACTACTACTACTACTACTACTACTACTACTACTACTACTACTACTACTACTACTACTACTACTACTACTACTACTACTACTACTACTACTACTACTACTACTACTACTACTACTACTACTACTACTACTACTACTACTACTACTACTACTACTACTACTACTACTACTACTACTACTACTACTACTACTACTACTACTACTACTACTACTACTACTACTACTACTACTACTACTACTACTACTACTACTACTACTACTACTACTACTACTACTACTACTACGACTATGCGTCTCTGGAACTCTGTCCTTGGAGTTTCCGTTGTAAGGGCCGTTTTCTTGTTCCTGGATAACGATGGGTATACTACGGGGGGAGCCTGAAGTAATGTTAGTCAGGTGCTAGTAGCGGCTGGTTCTCGTTACCGGATTCCAGTACTATGATTCGTCAGTGTGAAGCTTGTTTTATACTTAGCCATTCTGACGAGCTAATTTATTACATCTAACTTCATTTAGATGTAACTGTTTTGTGCAAAGGACGTTTATCAGTCAAGATACTAGCGCTGAGCTAGCATTACTTCAGGCCTATCCGTAGTAATATGCTAAGAAGCAACAAGATAGTCTTCACACGATTACCATGTACAGAGTTGTGCCCCTACTTAGCAGGAAGAAGCCCACTTTAAAAATGGTAAGAGAGCCGGCAAAGTGCGCTTAGAGTTAGCCTAACCGTAACATTGCTTAGAGTAGACCAGGATATGTAGCTAAGGCATCCGTAATCTAATGAGATTTCACCATTTACAACGTTATTTGCTAAAAATATGATCCTACTATAGTCAAAATATTGTTATGACCGCCAAGCAGGGCACACGGTATGAGGGCCAGGAGGACTCTGGTAGATCATTCTCTTGTTTGGCAGTTTGGCAGCTACCAAGGGGTTCTACGTTCTTCTATGGCACAAAGGCCTCTTAGTATTTAGATCTCTCTTCTCTCTAGATAGATTCTAGTTCTCTGCGCTCAATAAGTCATTCTACTGACACCCTGCTGTTCTATTGCCCTTGCACTCCCCTGAGATCCTAACAATATGCCTCCCTGATCATACTAATATGGTCCTTATTTGACAGAATAGTTGCCATTCCTACTAACGGCACTTAGCCCACATTTTTATAAGCCCTTCTCCTGGTAAGTAATGAAGTAGTTGAAATACGCCAAGAGATAGCTTGCCAAGATAAAGAAATGAATTTGTCTTGACATTTCGTAGTATTCTGGCTAGGAGGGCTACCCAAATGTTATGCGCACCAAGCATGCTAAGTGCACGTTAAGAGGGCCAGGAGGACTCTAGTGGATTCTGCGTCATTCTACGCATCTTCTTCGTTGTTTTGCGCATCAAAGGACTCAAGAGGATATCCTACTGCTTATATCCTTTTTCTTGTACATAGATTCTAGTTCTTCGCGCTCAATAAGTCATTCCATTGACCCTCTACTGTTCTATTGCCCTTACACTCCCCCGGGATTCTAACACCAAAGCCCTGATGTTTAGGGCGTCCGCAGGCCCAAAGCTGATGAAGGAGGAGTCAAATGAACATACTTAGTAGTAACTGGCAAGAGTGCACCTCTTGGCACGTGTATCCTTAGCGTACTTCAAATACTTTTGGGCAACACTCTGTACTGAATTGTTCATGCCAGGATTCGTAGCCCTCTCCCAAAGAGCGGGACAAAAGCCCCAACTCACTCCGTACATGCTGTCCTCCGCACTGCGGGGGAGGTTTCTATCGAGCTGGCCATGCCGTGTGCCACAGGGAGACGGGGTGCAAATTTATCTGGGATTCGGTGCAACAAAATATGGTGCAGGGTCAGGGACATGAAGCAACGATGTACTGATAGACTGCAAGAAGATGGGACGGATGACGCAAAGCTGGATAGGAAGACCGGGACAGAATACAGAAATTGGAGGGACAGAGGAAGGGAGAGGAGCAAGGAAAAGGAAAAGGTCAGGCTGAGATGTGCTCTGATGGGAGAAGATGATTGGTACAGGAAGGGAAGAGGTGGACTGCCACGAGCCATGTGAGCAGTGGTAGCAACATGCCCCAAAAGCATCGAAAATCGGCTTTCTAAGGCCTACCCCTTGGAAGTTGGATTTTGCCATACAAATCGCCAAAACCTGGCCGATTTGCTGAAGGGTCCGTATCACAGGCAGAGTTGAAATTCCTGTGTACGCCTGAGCCCTCCTATACCTTCCTTTCTGCAGACCTTGATGTCGCTGGCCAGAGTATGGCCCGAAGCCCGACGCAAGATGGATTATTGGTTCACTAACTGTCGAATCTCTTGTTTTGGCATCTTGCGCCATTGATGGCAGGATATCTATCAACCAGAAGTTTCTTAAAACATTTCGTTCCGACGAAATGCTCCGTGGTCGACACTAAAGATTGGATACTGCGTTCGGACCCGGTGCTGCAGACCGGTAGTGGACGACATGATGTTCCAGCGAACCCTGGTATTATCTGTTTAGCTAGATAGACCAAGTCATGGACTGAGACAGCGGGCAGCCACTTCAAAGTCCGCCTGCATTCGACTCAAAAAATCAGCAGATCGCAGTTGCCGAGTCTCGGACAGGCGGTTCATCACCTAGCCTTGTAGCCGCAGATGAGATTGAGCATTAGGTTGGGCTCGCGCGTCGCTCCTTCTTCCTGCGACTTGCGGGGTGTACGTCTGAACCTTCGCCGCTTCCTTTATAATTGACCTCTCACTTTTTCATGATCCTAGAATCAGAAACGTACGCCATCAATAACACTGGATTGCCGTCGCCAGCTCAATATATTTAAGGCGCGCCCAACTCGATTGCATTGACGAGAGCAACCTCCATGAAGTCGGAATGACGAGCTCTGGTGAAAAATGACCACGCCATTCGGTCCCTATACGATACGAACTCGAGATGGCCGCTGCCAGAGGCCTGCTCGATGAGATTCATGAAGGCATCCAGGAGCAGGATGCGTATGACCAGCTCAAAATGGAGAACTTGGTAATGCACTATGAGGGGCATCATATACATATGCTCAGCATCCATCTTCATCTGGCCGCGGCAGAAATCTCAACATTAAAGAAACGTAAGTGCAAAATTCAGAGGAGATGCATCATGCAAGGCGAGCTCCTGGGCCAGACATATAGTGACGCCACAGAGACACTCTTACTATGAGGGCCAAAACAAGGTGACAACACAGGAAAACCTCATATAAGTGAGCCTGAAAGAAGACCAAGGACATCAGACACATCAGAGTCATCGATCCAGCAGCCTAGGCGTTGTTTGATTCAAGCAGATCTTCCCTTGCCAATTACTTATTGAAAGAAAAAGTCAGCTTGTCGTGGCTGAAATGCCTCCCTCTGTATCAATCCTCATCCGCAACCGAATCATTTTGTAGCACGTTAGAGCATCTGCGTTCATGAAGGATCAATCTAACACGTTTAGTCCTTTCGTCGACACGTATAAGGATTGATGGGTTGTCATAACCAAGAGAGACATGTACCTCTTTTTCTTCACTTATAGGATTCAACACAATCACCAAATTCTTTTTTATCATCAACAAATCATCTAATCCCACAATGCTTACGGAGTAATACATAATCAAATCCTAATTCTATACCAAACTCAAACCAAGACGAGGAAGATGGAAGACAAGACGATACCTTCTACTTTGCAAGCCACTGATACCACAACGAAACACCATCGACATCGCAAGTAGCATCGCTTACTATCACTGCCGATCCGTGTACTGAGTGAGTGGGAACTGCACATGAAAATGTCGAACCATCCCACCATTCCTCTCCCAGGGCCACCCTATCAAGGCCCCGCCATCAAACCATATTGACGGCTGGACGTCAGGGCCTCGACCTCCAGAATCAAACGCCGCACCAGGCATATCCGGACCGGAAAAAGGGGGGCATGTTGTAAACATGTAACTCTGGCATTGATGCTGGCGTGGGAAAGGGAGCTTCACCGTTCTTTTGAGGCGTTAGCATAGAAGTAGAAGTGTCGGGGTCTGAAGATGTTGTAGAGACGAGACGAGACGAGACGAGACAAGATCGAGTGGATGGCATGGAACCCATTGAGGAAAGACATACGCACAGGAAGGTAGAGTAAGGGATTCATATATGCGGTCCTAACTCAGTAGTAAGAGGAAGTATAGTACTAGGCGAAGAAAAGAGACTAACTACTTTTGGGCGCACCGAGACAGAGGAGGCTAATCAAGCATCCGAATTCGACTTGGCACAACAACAGAATGTACGTAGTAAATTGCTTCACCAAAGGCCAGATGCGATCGTATTTTCAACAGGTTTGGAAGAATTAACTATGCTGCCAAAAGAGTCCTCACATCATTTCACATCGATACCAACACACACACACACACGCTCGTAAGCAACATCCGTTTAGAGTGTAACCCATCCAGTCAGTGTCCCCTATTATTTTCCTTCCCCCCCCCCCCCCAAACGCCAGTGTCTCCCTTGCAGACCAATGCGGGCTGAAACCAGTACGTGCCAGCGTTGGCCAAAGAAATAAAAAAATACAAAGATTGTGGGAATAGAGCGTAAGCCAACCTCGGGGCTGGAGATTGTTTTCAGTCTTTCCAGTCCCATACTTGGCGCAGGAATGTCGACATGGAGACCTTCTTGCTCTTCATTTCGACCATCCACGGATGTTCCAGCATCCGCCATGGTGTTGCTCGACGGGGAGGCTCCTTTTCCAGACTGTGGACTGTTAGCACATTAACCGAAACTGCATCAGCAGAACAACATAGGCATACCAGCACTCGATGAAATATTTGAAGCTCTCGCTCCATTTGATGCCATGATCGGGTTCATCCTTCAACTTTGGGATCGGTTGGCGAACGATGTAGGTGAGCAGATCGATCAGACCGGCTCTTGGCTGCCGCTCGGTACCATCGGCAGGGAACGGGAATCGGTGCTGTGCAACTTCGAGCAGAGTGACACCTAGCGACCAGACGTCGGAAGTGATGGTGTACGACTGGCCCTGTATCCTCTCTGGTGCCATGTAGTACGATGTTCCGATAAAGGTGTTGGCGTCGCCTTTCGTGCCAAACTCACCGCTGACCCCGAAGTCGCAGAGTTTGACTTGACCATCTCGGCATAGGAGAATATTCGAAGGCTTGATGTCTGGCAAACCCCGTTAGATCGGTCTCGTGTTTAACCCTGATGTAGCCTCACCTCTATGGATAATTTTGCGGCTATTCAGGTATGTCAGACCGTGTAGAACACCCTCCGCAACCTTGCCCAAGACCTTTTCGCCGGTCCTGCCTCCCAACTTCTTGACCTCTTTGTAAACACTATCGAGACTGCCGCCTTCGCAGAATTCCATAGCTATCGAAATCGTGCTGGATGACTTATCCATGAATGCACCATAGTACTGGCATATATGGGCCGAGGCGCAGTTTTTGTTGAAATTCAGCTCTCGAAGTATCTGTTTCTTCACATCTGGGTTTGGGTCGGTTGTAATTATCTTTTTGGTCAGTATTGCTTGAAAAATAACCCCTAGGGTGGTAAAGGACATACCTTCAATGCGAATACCGTTTTCCCACCCTTGAGAATGCATCTAGTGACCGCACCACCCGCACCTTCTCCAAGACTGCCAAGCTCCATGATTTTGTCCTGCTCGCTTGCGGCACGCCAACCTTCATCGTCCAGATCATCCACGTCCAATGGCCGTCCCTTTTCGATGCTCAGTTGCTCCAGGTCGACCAGCAACCCGTTCATGCTCCCCTCCCGCTCCATTGATGTGCCTCCTCCAGCCTCTGAGTAGACTGAGCTGATAGCTGAAGATGGATCTGGTGTACCCATCTGGCCCTGTCTCAAGCCCATTGCAAAGGATAGCGCTGAATACGTCGAAGACGATGCGGATTCAGGTCTACTTGCTCGGCCATCGCCCACTGTGAAACTGCCCGATCTTGAATGATTGCTTGCATCGCTCGATCCTGTTACTGCAGAAATGTTCAACGGTTGTACTTGTGGTCTTAGATTGGACCCAATTTCTTGCGGAGCACCATAGCTTCCCATGGGAGTTGCCAGTGACAATTTGGGAGCGGTAGGACGTGAGGACGGTCGTGGTTCTTGCGGAACACCTGAACCCCCATGGGTAGCTAATGACAGTTTCGGAGCTGTAGGGCGTGACGAAGGTCGGATCTGAGGCAATTCAGGCACTGGTGGTTGTCCTTCACCCGCAACAGGCTTGCCGCTCGGTGAGGGCGGTATTCCGAGCGTCAAGCGAGGCGTCCTCGAACCACTCTGACTCCTCGCACCAGGAATTGGAGGACGGAGAAGAGTCGCGGGCGAGGACATGTTGAGAGGGAAGGCTGTCCGACAATGTTGGCGAGTTGGGCTGTGGCCCCAAGAGCACGGCTATCGGAGCCCACTCTGTGCGCTGGTGCCTGGTGCAGTAATCTTATGCCAGAGTGTCGAGCAATGCAGCTGCAGGATTTATCAGACCGGAGAGACAAGAAGCTGAGCGCTCAAGAGACTCGATTGAAAGTGGCCGACGAAGTCAGAGACTTTGGGTGCCAGGTCAGGCTGGGGGCTGAATGTTGTTCTGGTTATAACGGTGGTCTTTCAGTGATGAAATCGCGGGTGGGAGACCCCTGCAAACTCAAATCCTTGACCAGTTTTCAGGCACCGTGATCGTCGATTGTACTCCGTACTTTGACTTCTTCACGACCCGGAACTAGTAATACTAGCACAAGAAGCTTAGTAGGAGAGGAGATCTATGTCGCGAAGAATTCAGGGCTGTTGTTAGAAGTGTGGCGTGGTGGTTGAGAAAGGAATTATCATTCATCTCAGCTCGCAGCTCTCCATCAAATACTAGTAACTAGTAGCAGCGGACAAGGTGGTCTGGGCGCCTGTGGTGGTGGTTATAGGCGCCCGCAGTCGTCTGAAACGCAAGCTACACAACTCCAACGACTTTTACATTGATGTCAGCCAGGGATGAAACAATAATTTGGACATGATCATTGAACTGGTGATTATTGCAATCACGCTACAATCCCCCTTCTGGATCCATTACCCGTCGTTCCCATCCACAGCACGTACTCGTTTAGGGCAACGACGGAGATCACGCGGAGCCAACACATGCGGACACATGCGGAAACAAAAAGATGGTGTGCTGACCTGTCATCTGGATTACGGGGAAAGCTTGAGGAGAACTAGGAGCTCAGCTACTCGAGTGCTTACCAGCATACCGGATATGTATGGATGTGGACGGTTTAGGCATCTACCCAACAGAGTTACGGGGCCAATTGTGCATGAAGAAGGCGTAGGGCCGGTTTCTGGGAACAACTCAGGTGCAGCAAATTTGCCACGAATCACGTTGTGGGTGGATGTTGCAACGGGTGAGGTAACGGAGGGGGTTCATTGAGCTAGATAGAGTAAAGAAGTCATCACTTTGTTGGGTTGTCATCTTTGATTTGACCTGCTTGAACATGATTTGCTGCCTCTGCCTTTGGTAAATGGCTAAACTGGTCAAACACATGCATGCGCTTCTGCGTCATGTTCGAGCTGACTGTCCGATAGCACCACCGAAGTGCTTCGTGGATGTTGTTCACTTCGATCAACACAAAAACGTGGGATCGAGCTTTGGAATGCGCTGGGATGGCCGGAGGGTCGGTTTGCAGAGAAGGGAATGGAAAACATGTCGATTTCATAAAAGTTGAGTTGCCCGTCAGGCTCGGAATGAAGGTTAGGTAGTGCAGAGTAGTCTCTGACTTCGAGGAGAGTGTTCGTCAGTCGTCAGCTCGTTTGCCGGAATTAGCAGGTGTGGTATCACATCGTCATCGTGGAAAAATCGCGTCGAGCGAAGCACTTCGTCTATTTTCGACGCCGAAAGAACATCAAGGATTCGACAAGTCAGATCAAGACGACATTCTGCGTGGTAGTCATGGAGTGATGTAAGAAGGCTTCCGCCATGCAAGCATTGCCAGGACCCTTACTCCTGCGGTTGCTGGCTTCGGCGCATCTTCTCGGCTTCGAGGTTCTCGTACAACAAATATAGAGCCTTCTCGTTTGCAGATGCGCTTCCCATGATCGTGAACATTCGTTCGCCTGTCTCATCATGTGGTGCCTTTGCAATCGAGATGCGGGCACCAGAGCTTTTCCGGATCTCACTGATTTTAGTCCCACCTCGTCCAATAATGCAACCAACCATGTCCGATGGTATGCTGATGTTCTGAGTCTGGACCTCCTCACCATCTTCCGTCACCATGGGGATGCCGCTGCCTCGCGCAGCTGCATCACTGGCGTTACGATTGAAGCCCCTTGCCTCGCTAAAGTCAGCTCCGTTTCCCGTGCGATTGTATGATCGTCCTCCACTTCCGCTGTACCCGCCGCCGCCTGCATTCTGTGAAGGCACACCACCAACTGCATTGTTCATAGGGCCAGTGCCAGCCTGAGCTCTAACAGCAGGGTTGTATAAGACTGTACCAGTACCACGTTGCCAATCATCAATGAGGCATTTGCCGATCTCCCAAATGGCCTTCTCGATGCCTTCAGGAGTTCCCTGGACTTCAACAATCCTCTCGGTAGACTGAGGTAGCATTTCCTTCTGCGCAACCATTCGAACGCCTGACACATCTTGAATATGCTTGATCTTCAGACCTTGCCGACCAATGATCGTCCCCATCTGGTTGTGAGAGATCAACAGACGGATAGCTGTGCCAGGTAATGATTAGCATAGACCTAACAGAGCGAGACAAGCCTGAGAGGTAACACTTGTAGCACCAGGGATTGAAAGGCTTACGATGAGTGCCGTTATTTGAGATGATCCCTCCCATTCCCATCTGTGGTGCCCCTTCAAGCAAACCTTTTGCGACAATGGAGTAAGCCTTAGCCGTTCCTTGCAAAGCTCCGGTGACGCTTAGGACACGATCGTGAACCCCTGTAACAACTTTGCTGACGCCAGCTTTGACCCCAGTTTCGTCACGAAGATCTGCAACATTCTTCCCCTGCTTGCCGATGATTACACCGGCTTCTTTGGAAGAAACAATGGCACGAAGAGTGAGCTGGGACTCAGCATACTCCTCTTCAGTCTTCTGAGGTGCATCTTCATGGTCCCCTACATTCATTCGGTTCATTGACTCTGCAAGACCAGAATCCTCGCCATGATCAGGTGCGTGTTGAGTATCAGCGGCGGCCATGGTAAGAGGTACTCTGCAAAAACGCGGCGGAATTGGCGGCTCGGGAAGGAAAATTGATTGACCAGTAAAAATTGAGTGGGGAGTATAACGACGATGGACACTCAATTAAGAGAGCGAAGAATGCTACAAAACATTAGCACTGTGGTTGTCTTGTGCCACCTTGAACAGTACTCGCCTAATTAACGCAGGAAACGTGGTCAGAGCTTGTGGTAAGGGTGGTAAGGGTGGTGGAGCAGGTGAGGGGAAGTTGTGGGAGAACGATGTCGAGAAGAGGTGAGAAGGGGTGAGAGAGTAGAATGGAGGTAGGGGACAGGGACGAGAGCGAAGGTGAAGGTGAGGGTGAGGAAGAGAGTCACTGTTGTCTGAATATGCAAAGGTACATGATTTCGATAGAAAATTTTGGTAGAAAATCAGGATGGGAAGCTTGAAAACGTAGTGGGGCTGATTTCACGCCTCCCAGCCATCACACCGCGTTCATCTCTGACCCCAAATTACATACACCATCTGACACGTCTCCAAAACCTGTCGTCACTGCCAATGCTCCACAAACAGAAATCAAAGCAACAAGTGGCATATCATGCATGACCTATTCACGAACGATCCATGGCCTGAGGCTGGCTCTTCCGCTGACAGACCTGGGCCGGCCTCGACTGTTGAGTGGCCAAATCACTATCCTGCTTTAAGGCTACGCCATGATTGAATGAAAAGGTAATACATCACTCGACTTTCAAAGACGGTGATCAGATGTTAGCAGGCGAGATCGTCCATTGATTTCCTATTTGTCTGCTTCGAAAACAACCTTCTGTGCTTTCATGTTATTGAATATTTCATATCCGTCAACTGCCTGGGTCAGAGGCATGATTTTGTCTGCCATAAAACTAGAAACCAAGTCAGTTTCATGCAGTCTACCAAGACGCTATAGACTTACTCCAGCAGGTGTTGCTTCTGTTGCAACTTCTCCAAAGCTTGCGGGAAAATGCCTGTGTTCCACTCGTTAGCAAACCGCACAGAAGGTCTTCTTCTTGGGCTTGAACGCACTTCGGACTGGACACCTTCCCATCTGAACTCTCAAGTTCTTTCCGTATGCCTGATTACCCGTCCATGGTATTTCCCCATTGTGTACACCAACACTTGAGATGTTGCCCCAAGGTCTAAGCAATTCGAAAGCTGTCTGCAGAGCCGCACTCAAACCTACCACCTCGATCACAGTATCTGCGCCCCGTCCATTTGTTAGCTCCTTGACTCTCCTATCCAAGCCTTCTCTATCGGTCTGGAAATTCCATGGCTCAGCTCCTAGGCTCTTTGCCAGATCCAGCCTACTCTGTACGCTGTCCACAGCGAGCAGGTGCTTGGGCTTATAATCCAGAGCGTTGATCAAAGCGCAAAGGCCCACTGGTCCGCATCCGATCACAACAACAGTACTTTTACCGACCTTCTCGGCTTCGATCCCTTTAAAGGCATTAGCAGCAGCAAAATAACCAGTTGGCCAGATATCGGCCATCAAACACAGCATAACGTCGTCAATCCCTTCTGGTGCTTTGACCACTGTACTATCAGCCAATGGAATCCTAACATACTCCGCCTGTCCTCCACTCAGAATCGTGGAGCCGTATACTTGAGACTTTTCGCATCGTGATGAGAACCCAGCCTCACAATAAAAGCATTTGCCGCAGGAAACGGTGAATGGCGAAACGATCATATCCCCATTCTTTACAGTGCTGACTGAAGAGCCTGTTTCGCATACTGTCCCGGTGAACTCGTGGCCCATGATGATGTCTGTGGGCGATGGTTGATGGCCGCGGAAGACGTGGAGCTCACTGAGTAAAGTGTCAGCTGTGGTGCTGATGGGACCCTTCGAAGGGTAATAACATTGATTTACCTTCCGCATAAGGCAGTATATTTAACTTTCACGATGACGTCCGTTGGCTCCTGAATCTGTGGTATTGGCCTCTCTTCCAGCTCGACTTTATAAGGTCCCTTGAACACAACAGCTCGCATCGTGGTTTTTCCCATACTTTTATAGATGTGAAGCCTCAATCCCAAAGCTTTCAAATTTCGGTCGCACCGGTGCGGAGTACTTGTACCGGAGGAGAAATTATCTTCGCTATTTTCTTAAAGAGTCCTGTTCTCATATGACTAGATAGTTACAACCAGAGATCGGTATTATTACCCAAGCATTCAGTGTAATTTTCTGCCCTTGCCCACGCCATGCATCTTTTATGACGATCAGGTCCAATTGCCCCTCCAAGCTGGCCATGCCGAGGTGACTGCCCCGCCCCCGCAATGTGGAGTTGCACAGGTAACCCTGTAGTTACGGACGGCTCCTCCGTTTCTTACTGCTTGAAAGCCAAAAGGCTCAGAGTCAATATGGGAGGAATAGCAGGCGTGGCACATCTTTAATGGCAGGCCTCGTGTCATACTACTACCTGCGTATTTTATAGCATCGAATGTACAGTTGAAGGTAGAAATTCTATCGCATGTTACCAATCAAACTTTGGATCAGCTCCAATTCATCTCACGTTACTCTCACCAGTTGACACCTAGAACACCAACCGAAAACCCCAATAATCCTATGCAATATCTAGCAAAATTGGCTTTCGTAGTCCCATCCCGCGCTTCAATAAGCTGGTGGAGCTCACAGGGGTCTACAAGGAGATCTCTGAATGCATCCCCTCCTCATCTCAGTACACGACCTGCAGCAACTCCGCCTCCAGTATAAATTTCCCTTCTTTGTACTTTTCGTTCGCCTCATAGGCTTTATCATATTTCCACCCAACCGTCTCATTGCACTGTCGGCATATAATGTCCCTTACGACATGTCTCCCCGTGGTCATGTTCCGTTCCATGGCTTCGGCGGCTTTGATGTTGACGACGCTGGAGAAGAGGAAGGCTTTGCCGTGTTGACCGCGGAAGTTCTGTGGTTGAGAGGATTATATTCAGTTGGGTTCCATAGGTAGGGGATCAAGGTTTGGCAATGGAGTATGGAAGGAAGGGGAAGATAGAGGAGGGAATAGATGCGTACTCGGCTTATGATATCATCGTAATTGGCAAGATGTGTCTTGCAGTTCTTGCAGCCGAAGATCTTGGTCGAGTCGAGGTAGACGTTGTATGCTAGGCCCATCTTTGGTCCGCCTCCACCCGGCCTTCTGGCAGGATCTCAGTACTTATCGCTCGTCAGTTTTGGTAAGAATGCCCAAGAGTGCTTCGAAGGGATGCGTGGGGGAGCGGTTATTGAAGAGGCGTTATATAAACTGCGTGTTTGCGTGTCTTGTCGTCCTTTGTTTGTCAGGATCTGTCCAGCTGCTACTGGCGGCACGCGAGGCAGTCGAACCACGCTACCGGGGGATGTATATAAATGGAGCTGATCGGGTCACAGGACTTTCTTGAGTAACACCGAGAGCAGATGGTGTCCGTCAAAGCCACGCCAGGTCACCGGATTTGACTTTATTTTCTGAGATCAGTGGCACGGGCCTAGATGAGCCTGAAATTGATGGGTGAATTTAATTCTCAAGCGCAGTTTCTGAGGCTCTTGTACACGATCAGGGCCACTTCATCAAGGATCACCTGCTAAAACACTTGCAGCGACGGGATAATGTGAAGTCGAAAGAGTGTTTGGAGTGCACTTTAAGGCTTCCACCATGTATAAATACCAAAGTGACTGAAGTGGAGGCCCGAGCCGAGACCTCCGTCCTCCGCCCGTCTCGCAGAATATGCAGAGCCAGCGATTCAAGTGCTTCCAACCACTATATGGCTCTTGAAAAGGCTGGTCACAAGATCCAAGTTAATGCCCAAGCTTGCTCAAACGGTTGATGCCTCATAGCTGTGCACAGTGTTCACCCGGAAAGACTGTGGTGTGGTGCAGACCAGTCGATGTGCTCATATGCAGGGACTGACCAGGTGGGCCATAAACGCATGGACGGCGTGTTGCAAGTTATGGCCCCCAAAGTAGAAAATGGCCACCACGCTGCACCTTGGGTATATCAGCTTTCGTGATCAAATCTTGTACTCGGACCTGGAGTCAGTGGCACCCTGACAGCTCTTCCATTATGTAAAGTACTTCAGACCACTGCTCATGGGGCTGAGCTGCAATTGGGACCCTTTGGTTAAAAACCTTGCTAACATAACCGACATTGAATTAACAATCTGCCAGTTTGTTAATCATGAGCAAGAACGAAGCTGATGCTCGCCTTCGCGAGATCGTCCTTGATCCCATCGGGGCGTCCCTCAAAGCTACCAATGCTACCGACGACAGCAGAGCGTTTCAAGACCCTGTCAAAGAGGATATATACTCTCTCTATGATGCTCGGACACTGGATGTTTGGGAGAACCACAATGGGGCTGCTACGAGGCTCGAGGAGCATCCCTTGTCAAGAACGCTACCAGCGCGACTCTTTGAGCCAGACAGTCCTCGGGCTTCAAGGACCGAGAAGCTTGTATTTCGTCTGCTGGTCACGCGTCCGGCAATGGATGCGAATCAGGAAGCCTGGCATGATGACTTGAGTGAAGGGGGAAAGAAACAGATCAATTACCTGCCGTTTGCACCAGAGGCCGTACAGGAGCTCATCACCAAATACTATCTTCCGGAGCATTGGATGTACCTGCGGATGCAAGCTAGGGAAGTAGGCAATTTTCACAGAGAGACAAGCTGGGATTTCTCAAAGAAAGAGCCAATTGCGATCCGTCTTGGTAGGTATAAACGGGTTCAGCTCAACGCGAATGGAGCGCAGAATCATGCTAATACAATCGCTGCAGGTATGATAATACATTTTCCGTTTGTCCTTAGACCTGCAAGACAGCTCCATTTCTTGCAACAAGAGGCTCAAGATAAGAAGGGACGAGCTGTAGATTACAGGAGACAATACCCAGGAAAATGGAGGAACGAATACTATCCTCATCGCGACGACCCTTTCATCTGGTCTTTTGCCATGTCACATAATCTTCAAGATGGTAAGACTCGAGGGATATTGGATGGCCTGACGGACGCTGGTCTCCGCAACCTCCGAGATCAGCTGTCACCGCCGGACAAGCAAGGATGGTACGAGCATCCCCTAGATCTTCCAACGATTCTTCTGAAGATATACTCTCGTCACACCCAGTGGGAGATCAATCGACTAGCAGATGATGTTGCAAGCTTCGAAGACGCAGCAAAGAAAGAGAAGTACAAAGAGATAGACCAATTTGACGACATCACGACCCAGCTTGCATATTTGGAAAGGTCACTGAATTTCGAACAGAACCTCACACAGTCACTGCTCGATACTCTGCAGTATCTCGAGGACAAGATATTCCCCAAAGCACTCGAGGTTGGATCGACTAGCCATACCACATTCATCCAGAGAACGAACCCACAAGTTCAGGAGAAGCTCACCAATATAGCGAGCATGATTCAGAACAATCTTCATACTTGTACCTACTTCCAGACACGGACCAAGGATGCTCTTGAATATGTACGTCAATTATACTATATGTACATCGAAAAGTGTGCTGACACATGTCACAGATCAACGCATTGATGAATCGAGATGATGCGGAATTCAACCAGCAATCGGTCGAATATCAGAATATGGGCATGAAATCCCAGCTCAAGGATGCACAAGCCAACAAAACCATCAGTATCGTCACCATGACGTTCCTGCCGGCAACTGCGGTAGCGGCCATCTGCAGTATGGGTGTGTTTGATTGGCAACAGCCCGACAAAGTGCATGTCAGCCGCCATTTCTGGATATTCTGGGTGGTCGCCATCACTCTGACCGCTCTGGTACTGGGGATCTTCCTGATCTGGAAACGAAGGCTTCATGTTCGAGCGCGCCAGTTGAACCGCGATAAAGAGGAAGAAAAGGCGAAGGAGGCCGAAGACAGCGACAACGACTCCGTGATACCGGATGAGCCGAAGTATGGAGCTTCCAAACAACAGCAAGACAGCAAGACGAAAAGGCAACATATTCGACCTGTTGCCGAAGAGAAGCAATCCCAGATCTATCAAGACGACGAGCGGGAGGAGCAGGTCAGATCTTCCCGTCGTAGGAGTCGCCATCGATCTCACAGTAGAAGATCTCGTACCACAAGTCGTAATGGGGTGGCTCGGCCTGGTTTCGGTCGAACAGCATCCGGGTTGAGCTTTAGAGGCGAGTCAGAAATTGTATAGAAATCCTTCATGGTGGACGTCAATCTGTGGTTCTATCCACGAATCTAATTCAGCAATTCAGGCTGTCAACCCGCAAGGGTTGCACCCATAATGCTCAGCTCCATCCGCCCAACCATCGAGCCGAGTAGTATTCTCGAGACTGAGTACAGAGTCATGGAGCTTCAAATAGTCTGACCCAGAAGCCCACATAGTCCCTAGGTCTTCTTCTTCCTGCCTCTCTTGGATTTTGGTGTTTTAGGCTCCTCCTTAGGAGGATCCACTACGATGGTGTCGTTCACATCGGGCCTGGCATCAATCGTCTTCTTCGACCTCGACCTCGACCTCAACTTCGACTTCTTACTATCCAATCCAACTCCAGCGAGGAAGCTGATCCGAATACTCGCGCCACAGTAGACAAACCCCAGATTACCCCAGTCGATCGCATTCCACTTTAACACATCATAATAGACCCCGGTACCAAGAGGGAGACATGTGTACAGGTGCCCGAAATCTGCAATCAGCAGGACGAGCAGGAAGTGGCGCCAGACGCGCAGGTCAGCTGTCGACCGAAGAACTAGTGCCTCACTCAGCGCGAAGGCCAAGTACAGATTTCCCAGTTGGCGGAGTGCAATATGGGTGGCAGTAGGCAGCCCGAGAAGGCCCGGTGTGGATCCCTTGTCGGTCAATTGCAGATATGTCTCAGGCATGGACCAAGCATAGAATGCTCCCACCAATGTTGCCGCAGGCTCGATCCAGAGAAAGAATGCCTGGTAGGGAATCGGGATGTCCACCATGGCCGCGGGCAGTTGACAGGGTGACAGCCAGAAATCCGACACGTTGATCAATGCAACACAGTCATACTACGTATGTCTGCTGTCTCATGTGGTCAGATTGGTGAGAATAGAGCGTGGCCTAGCTGTAAGGGAGTTCAGAAACCTGGGCGGATCAGAGTTGCATGTCAGATGGGATCGGTAAATAATGCTCCGCGGGATGTGATGCACCGGCATGACCTCTTGAACTGCTGTGCTTTGTTGTGCTTGAGGCACGGGAGCCGCCAAGGTCCTGGTGGGGTCGGAGGCATGAGATTGAGTTATTTTAGGGGGGAGCTGCTCAGCTGATTGGGCTGCCAACCCACTGTTTCGACTAACGACACCCTGGATCTGCGTCCTGCAGGCCGGTGGTTACAGTACTACGTACCTAGTAACCTAGCAATTGTAAACACTCATCTTGTTCCTATCAAACATGCACATCTGGCTGCCATATTCCGGAGGTCCCCTCTTTTGTATCGTCAATCTGTCTCTCGTTCGTCCTGTCGACTTATCATATTAGAGCCTTCACCATCGTTCATGGCAATTTCTGCTAAGCTTTATGACTGACGACTTTTCCATTCCCTGTCGATCATGCTGCGTCACCTTACATAGAACAACCCTTGCAGCTTGATTTTGGATCTGGAATTCAAAAAAATCTCTTCCACCAATGCAGTCAGCTTCTGGTTAAGAAGACCACAATCGTTTCAAAAAGGCTTCAGACTGACCACATCTCGCACCTGGGCCTTCCAATCATCATGTCCCCTTCCGAGTCTTCAGCGTTCCTCGCGCCCCGCAGGCAGACTTCCCTCATGTGCAAACGACGCCCAATTACCTCGCACGACAATGATGCCTACTGCGATCCAGATGTTCCAGATGCTTTACCACAAATTAAGCTGGAATACAAGAGAACAAAGTGGAAAGAGCGGCCTATCAGCCAATACTTGGACTGCGACCAGATGGAAACCCGGGCCTACTTGGAGACCACAACAAACAATCCATTCATGGCCCATATACAAACAACACCCCCACGTCGGTCGCCTAGTCTCCATCTTTGTTCATTTAAACAGGGTCTCCAGTCGCTTGGTCGCCGAATGTCTGTATCATTGCGTCCGAGGTGTGGCAGAAATAAAGTGAATGCATCGAACGTGTCACACGCCGCTACCATGTCATCAGACCCTTCACCTCTGCACACATTGCAGGGCAAAGAGAAGCCTTCAAAATGGTTTCGGAGTCACTCGGCCGTGAGACGACGCCCGTCCCTTCCAGTGTTCAATCTGTATCCTGAGGTTGACCCTCCCAGCTACAGCTTCACGCCACCTCTTCCTGTTCCCACCCGAGGTCCCCCGTTGTTGCCATTCGATATGCACACGGGTGCTGCTGCAAGAGCTGCAGCTGCAGCACAGAATGAAGCTCTACATTACTACCAAAAACAGTTACCGGGCTTCCATCCAGAAATGCCCCGACTGTCGGATCTCAAGTTGACGCGTGACTCAGAGAGCGGTATTGGCATTGACGTACAGGATCGGCGAGAATCGGTCCATAGTGGTGTTGATGTCATTCGTCTAGACCCTGCGAGGGTGCTGCCCTTGGAAATTATAGAACAGATATTCTGCTACCTTGATCCGCAAACCCTTCTCCGAGCCGAACGGGTGTCTCGGGAATGGAGGTACAAAGCTAAGTCACGCCATGTATGGCGCTATGTATTCCATCGGGAGTACAATACAGCAGGATGGAAACATTACCCAGCTCGGCATTGCCCTCAGTCAGCGAAAGGTGTGGGTAAGGGGGTGTCTGATCAGGATTGGCAAAAAATGTATGTCGTTCGACGCAAAATCGACCAGCGATGGGCGCAAGGGGAAGCTGCTGCGATCTATCTCAATGGCCATAAGGACAGTGTGTATTGTGTGCAGTTCGATGAGCACAAGATCATCACTGGTTCAAGGGATCGCACGATCCGCGTCTGGGACACTCATAGCTTCCAGTGCATCCGAAAGATTGGGCCGCCTAGCCAGGCATCAAGGAGTGCCTCGATCTCTGACACAGCATCTCTTTCACCACCCGGTGCCTTCCATATTCTGAACACTAGCTCTATGGATCCTTCTGGTGGATTTGCACCGCATGACTACCACGATGCATCCATCCTCTGTCTGCAATTTGACGAAGACATCATGGTGACCGGCTCGTCCGACCACACAGCCATTATCTGGTCCATCAGAGAGAACTACAAGCCTTTGTGTAGACTTCGAGGTCACAAGGCAGGCGTTCTGGATGTCTGCATTGATGAACAGCATATTGTGACTTGCTCGAAGGATACCACTATCTGCGTTTGGGACAGGCACTCTGGTGAATTGATCAAGAAACTCACAGGTCATCGTGGCCCGGTGAACGCGGTGCAGATGCGCGGTAACCTGTTAGCCAGTGCTTCAGGAGATGGTATGGCGAAACTATGGAACTTGACGGATGGGTTGTGTGTCAAAGAGTTCTCATCCAAAGATCGAGGTCTTGCTTGTGTCGAATTCTCCGAGGACGGACGTTCCATACTCGCAGGAGGAAACGATCAGGTCATCTACGAATACGACACCAGTACTGGCGATCTGGTGCGGGAACTTATTGGTCACAAGGGTCTTGTTCGATCCCTTCATCTTGACTCCAGCAACAATCGCGTTGTAAGTGGCAGCTATGACATGTCTGTCAAAGTGTGGGATAGCCGGAGGGGCAGAGACACGGGTGACGGAGGGCTCAAGATCAACTTCCAAGGATGGACGACAAGCTGGATGTTGGCGGCCAAGAGTGACTACCGGAAGATCGTTTGCACGAGTCAGGATGGAAGGGTTGTAATTATGGATTTTGGGCATGGGTTGGATGGTGTTGAGATGCTGGAGGCATAATGATTGCCCGGCGCAGGTATGGCTTATGTGCTTCCTATACATTGTGGATCAGATTCAAGCGATATTAGAGCAAGGCGTCCAGAGCATGGTGTATCATCTAGAGTTACAGGCAATGTCTTCCTCGATAGTGTTGGTCAATAGCGCGCGCGCTTGTGGTGGTGGGCTTTACAGACAAATTAGAACAATGGGGTGGATAGAAAGTCGAGATCTGAAACTGAGAACGTTTTCGAAGCAGTTGAGCTCCCACTTGGTGATGCCAATAGATGATGTACACGTGCATGCGTACAATATATCTCAGGAGCCTATGCAAAAAATTGCTCCCGTCAAACTCTATCAAGTAGGGTCCGATGCATCGAGCTTGCTGTTACATCGAACTTGACCCTCACGTTCGATCTCGACTTCAGACCAGAAGAACCTTTGACGCAACACGGCATACATAGGTCACCCGTCGGCAAGCTTCTTTCATCCGAATGTCTCTGGACGAATATCGACTCCCAAAGACGCCACTCTAAACCTTTTCCTGTGAATTGTGGGCGAAGACTGCGAACCCACCGTCTTTGTGCAAAAGCAGGCTTCACATCGGAGGGGCGTCCCTGGATCCGCCCCTTCTAAAAGAACCATGACAATATGTGAAGAAGGGAAAGATCTCCAGAGGAGATTGGACAAGGAAGGGTACGAGTGCAGCTTTCAGACATGTGCTCGTGGATTCTTGAAAGAAGACCCAGCTGCATTACTAGAAAGGGGAAGTTCTGTCTTGGGAACTATACGTGATGAGATTAATGGCCGCCTGCGAACCGCCAACCGCCAACTGCTAATCGGAAAGATTGGCAGCATGGACTGTTCGGAACCGCAGGCTCAATGCGCGACGGTTCGGGCTTGTGCTCAGAGAATACTGGGACGGCCACACTGTAAAGGTTAAATCTAGAGGAAACATTCGAATTTCTTTTTCTTTGGATCGGCTCACGTTGCCACCGGAGAAAGGCCACAATATTTTCCTTGCAGTACAGGCATCTTAAAAACCTACCATTATTCAGTTTTCAGAACTAGGTCCAGTACTCAAGGTTGGTGAGCAAATCGTATATGAGAAGCCCAGGGAGGCATTATCTCGCCTAAAACACGGGCTTGGATGGATTGAACAACGGGATAAAGAAGTTTACAGGAACAAAATGGCTAAATAGCACAACGGGATCAGGGGCAAATTGGTACTGAAGTGCAGATATCTATATAAATTTGTAGTAATACAAACATAAAACACAAAAAAATGCGGCTAATGTGGATCGAACACATGACCTTCAGATTAAATGGCTGACTTGAACTTCAGTCTGTTTAATTATTAGTGAATGGAGAATTCAAGTGATCAGTGCTAAGTACCTGACGCTCTCCCTACCCAAGATTAGCTGGGATTTCTCAAAATTATAATTGAGATGATTTACCAACTGAGCTATACCCGCTGATCACAGTAAGTTTCTGGTAAAAATTATTTATACTTTTACGCAAGCAGCCGAGTTAAACTTTCGAAAGAAACAGCAACAGCTCGTCCGACTTCAATGTACATTAAGAATATACGGAAAGTAGCTAGCTATCTATTAATCTTGTAATTGTGCACTAACTTAGGGGCGTCTTCGAAGTGGTTATGTTCCATCGACTATTCTATTAGAGTGGCCTACCCTCCGTAGTGAAGATCCTTCTGCACCACTACTTGAGGAGGATCGGGTGTCGTCATCCTTCAGCTTCTTCGGATTTTTTAGATGAGTATCCACTCGCCAGTGTCTGAATTGTCAATCTGGTCTACAGCATCAGAAACCATACTTCAATTGCAGCGAACTTCTCAACTCTCAGGCGGTGGTCTCTTGTCCGGCAAACGCGTGAAATGTAGCGATAACCAGGCACGCGAATATTCCGTATTTACTCCGTACTGCCTAAAGCGTTTGCAAGCCACCAAATCACCTTCGATCCGCAGATCTCTTGCCTTATCGACAATCAAACATGCGGCCATAGCTTACCTCTTTTTCGCAATCTGTGTTCGCTGAACAAGGCATTGCGCGAATCTGCTACGAAGTGTACCTTATTTCGCAAGGTCAGTCACCACTGTAATCTGCAAATTTATGCCGCATGAAGTCACAGCGATTGGAGGTTTCGAGTGGCGATCTTGTTATTGATATCTACCTTCCGCGTCTTCCGCCTGCATATGCAATGCGCTGATTTTCCTCTTCTAGGTGTTTGAGTACATTCGCGCTCTGCGCAGCACAAAGTCATGGCGCCGGGGAAGCGAAAACCTCGTCGGAGAGGACCGAATGAAACATCTGAATTAGACCCGCCAGATTCTTCACCAACAGGGCCTTCTGCGAAAAAGAGAAGAGTACAACCTTATCCGGAACGCTTGGTTTGAAAGTACTGACGCATGAATAGACCAACGGGACTCGTGTGTCTCAGAGGCAGCCCAGGATCTCACCAGAGCCAATTCTTCCAAACGACCAGTCCGATATTTCCACAGGCGAAGGTGAAAATGTGGGCGACAAAGACCTCATTGATTCAGTCATCTCATATCTTCAAGTCGCGTCTCATCCGGTGGCGGTAGTGAGCGATCATGCCAACGAAAAGATCGACGAAGAAAAAAAGGTGACAGCATACGCAAAGATAGCCGGGAGAGACTGGACGTACTTCGTGCTTGGACAGAATGTCAACATAGGGAGACCTCCTGACAAGGATGCTGATGCGCCACCTATAGCTCCGTCGAGCCCTCTGGCGGACATGAAAGACTCCTTACCTATTCATATCGATCTAGGACCCAGCAAATACGTGTCGCGACATCATGCTTGTGTCTTTTATGACGCCGATTATCCTGAAAATGGAGGATGGCATCTAAGGGTTGACGGAAGGAATGGTGTTAGGGTCAACCATAATCTGCTTAAGCGTGGTGAGAGTCATCAGCTTACTTCAGGAGACATTATGGAGATCGCGGGCACACAGATGATGTGGGTCACCCCGGGTGACAAAGCCATCATCGAGCCATCTTTTGTCGAGAAAGCTAAAATGGCGGCTTCGGGTGGTGAGGATTGGGCTGCATCACAGCATGCTCATCCTCCGGCTCAGTCTACCAACCTTCCAGCTGGAAGCCTCTACCCCATGACTGCCAATCACCAACCATTGGCGCCGGCTCCTCCATACTTCAAAAGAGCGGTAACTCCCCCACCGACACAGAAGGACGGTCGAGGACAGAGAGGTGTCTTTGATAGCAGGCCACCTCAATCGCCAATGTACAACCGAGGAATGATGATGGAGAGCACTCAAGATATCGACTACAGCCAGGACGCGGCTAAGGATTTGAAGCCGCCATTCAGTTATGCTACAATGATTGCGCAGGCCATCTTTTCGAATGAGGAGGAAAAGTTGACTTTAAGCAACATATACGCCTGGATTTCAGATAAATATGCTTTCTATCGTCACTCAAATAGTGGCTGGCAAGTAAGTTCGAGTGTTTCGCCCTTTCTGGCTATGACTGACAACATGTAGAACTCTATTCGCCATAACCTTTCTTTGAACAAAGCTTTTCAGAAAGTCCCACGCCGCACAGACGAACCTGGCAAAGGCATGAAGTGGCAGATTGCACCAGAGTTTCGACAAGAATACCTCAGGAAGCAGGCCAAGAAGGGGTTTCCGTCATCTTCATCTGCGCCAACTTCACCTGCAGCTCCAGGATCCTCCAAAGGTGTAGCGCCTGAATTTCGAGGTGCAAATGGCCAGAATCTTGGTTACGATAGTAGCTATGTCTCGCAATTTCCCGCTGTCAACACAAATCAACAGGTCCATGCAATGACCCCCGAACGTCGACCACGAACAAATACACAAACCACTGCACCAGACCCTGACCTTGACACCATCGACTCTCCTCTCCCGCTTCGTCATAACACTGTAGTGTCACCACCCAAGCAACCACATTACAGCCTTCCTCCCACAATATCCATGTCACATCCACAACAGTCTCAGCACTCTCCATCTAGGACCGCAAGCAACAATGAAGCACACCCACCAAGCAATCCTACTTTATCCTCTTCCTATCTCGATACTCCATTTCACCCAAACCACACCAATATTATCACTCCAGCCCCCCGCAAACTGCAAAATATTCGTCTTGCCCCTCCGTCCACTTTGGTCGCCCCGAGTAAATTCATGCCGCCCGACTCCAGTCCCGCAGGTCCTCACGGTATCTTCTGGCGTGGGCTCATGTCATCTGGTGGACCGGCATTTCTAGGCAGCACGCCTGCTGGCCCCACTGTTCTTGATATGAGTCCTGTCAAGCATCATCAATCTGGTGGTGGGGATGGTGATGTAGACGACGACAGAGACGTGATGAGCTCGAGTCCACCGCCTATGGACGGACCCGGCGCGAGTCCGAGTAAAAGGATCTCAAATTCTGCCACAAGACTCGGTAGTGGTGGTATTATAGGTGCTGGAGGAGTGAAGCGCGAGCACGAGGCCAGTATGAACACGAACATAAATAGCGACAGTGTGAATGGTCTTGGTATCGCCAGTACTAGTCATAGTGGTCATCACATTATAGGCGCAGACCACGAATACCTTGACAACGACAGAGAAGATGATGACGAAGGAGAAATCGGGGGTGCCGGGGTTGGAGTTGGATTCGATCTCGCCAAGGGTTTTCAACCAATTGGCAGTTTCAATTCTTTGTCGAGCTTCAGTCAGCCGAGACAGCAACAGCAACAGCAGCAGCGGCGGCGGCGGCAGCAATCGCTGCAGGGGCAGTCACAGGGGTTTACGCAGCGGCAGGAAAGCCATATCGGGGCCGGGAGTGGTGCGGCAGCGGCTGCAAGAGCGAGTTCTTGATTGAGCCAGGAACGTTGTTTGCAATGGGAAAGTTGTTCGGCTTTGAACGAACGCGTGTTGGGTGTAGATGACACAGTTGTCTGATCAGATGAGAGTCTGAATGAAATACCAGAGATGTGGTTGAACCCGTTGTTTTTCTTGGTGCAGCAGCTCTATCCACAGGCACTTCGGTCTCACTGTCAGAGTCAGAATCAGACGCAAATCTAACGGATAAATGAATGGAGGGATTGCTGTACCGAGCACACAAAAACACTTGGACGGGAGGAGGAGATTGAGCCAATCCCATCTGTCGATGTACTGGCTATAGATTATGAATTGCTACGGAGAACGGCTTGATGCGGCATGGCCTGCGAAGCTGACAGAGGCTGACAGTACACACACAAACATACGTGTACGACCAGACCAGACCAGATCAGTCAGAAAGCTAGCTGTCCAGTACATAGGCCCAGATTAATCTCAGGTGCTAAGTTAATAGTTAGGCTGGTGGTACTACCGAGAATCCATGAAAGCTGGTAAAAAGGAAGAGGAACTAGGTGCTATTTGATGCTGCTTTCAGCATCTTCTTAACTCTTCTTCGTAATTAACGTATGTCATGTTACGTATCTTTTAGCAGCCAACCTCCTTGGTGCCCAAAAAGCCTTACATAACCCCCGATTAACACCGTCGAGCGATAGGTGTAGCGGCTCCCGGCCTTGAGCGCAAGGATGCAAAATAAATGCTAAGACGAGCAAGATGGAATTTTTTGGAGGCCTGTATTTCCGACGTTTTTCATGGATCCACTATCAGTCACAGTGTCCGTTTCGTCACTGCTGGTCATTGCGGCCAGGGTGGTTAAGGTCATACACGACATCCGAGGCGACTACAAAGATGCGGAATTCATTCTCTGTTCTATTGCCTCTGAGTGCACTGTGGTCCACACATCGCTCGCTCATCTACAGAGCATGATGCTCGCCGATGTTCAAACACTAGGATCGAGATTGACCACAGGTGACGGAGGCCTTCGATACGGCCCTCCTTGGATGTGCTCTGACACTGTCCGTCCTCGATGAAGAGCTCAGAAAACTTGTGCAGGGAGGATTTATCGATACTAACGCTCTTGAGCCGAGAAAGCTCAAATATCTGGTTGAAAACGAGAGACTGAAAGAATTGTTGCAGCAGATTCGGGGCCAACTACTTGCCATCACTCTGTTACTAAATACATATCAGACGTGAGTCTTTTATCAATTTTTCTCTTCCCAGGATTCCTTCCTACTCATCAGCATCAAATATTCTCTCGTACAATCAGCCACTCTTCCTATCCAACGGCTTTCAATCTTTTGCTTTTTAATATCAGGCCAGAACTTGGCAAGCACAACGGGGTGGCCCTCGGTAGTCTTTGACATATCTTAGTGAATCAATATCAGATCTCAAAAAAGCCGTGCAAGAGAACCATAACATTCTCAAGCAAATTGCAAGCAGAGCGCGATCACTATGGCAGGAAAGCCAACACGGCGATCCAGCACAACGTCCGCCTGAGGTCGTCTGCGGCGAACAGGACTCTGTCTTCGAGCTTTCATCCATCATCACAGATACGCGTTTTGATTTCGATGATGAAATACTGGACTCTCGGGCGTATCGGAGGGCATTAACCAATATCTATTGGTCGACAAGCGGGGTGAGCTCCAGTAAACGCCACGCTGCAGTGGCTAATGCCTGCCTGGTGTTACCAGAGGAGGAAGCTTCGTTGACCACAGGCGAAGTCAGCGAGTATCGCAAACGCGCTGATTTAGAAAAGCTTGGGGAAAGATCAGAGCACGTTATCACTGCTACAAAGGGCACGGACAACGTAGGCAAATCCGCATTACGGGAGGAGCCTAAAACGGCGCGCAGCTGGGATCAGGACAAAGGGTCTACCCGTACCATACAAGAGATTACTGGCAGCAATGCAGAGAACACTACAGCTCCGACAACTCTTAGTGAACATAGTGCAACCTACCCTCAGGATGGAGAGATCGTGGCTCAAGAAGACGATGAAGATAATGGAGATGCAAAACCTAAGGGTCTCTCACATACAACATCACGTGAAGAAATAGGTAATTCACATCATGTCAAACCCACAGTCAGCGTAATGGATCTTCTACAAGCTGCATGTAAGACCTGGGAGGTCACCAAGCATTCTCGTCTCAGTACCTGGGATGCACCAGGCGAGGCCAGACACCTCATGAACGAAGTCAGCTCACTACAAAAGGTCTTCTCCATCTTACAGGATAACACTAATATTCGAGAAGCTACAATCCCTAGAGTTCTTCGAGCCGACTGTGGGACCACAATGGTCTTCTTGCATAGCACAGTTTTAAATATCCTGGCACAACTCAATTTGGTGGATTCAGATGGCTTACGTACTTTTTGGGAGTCCAGTCAGGGCACATTTGAAAGAGCAACGATGTCCGATCTTCAGAATGAACTGGCGGTGCACAGGCGCCGGTTTCAGCAATATTTGAACGATTCACGAGAGCCTCCGTATTCGCCCACCCATACCAACAAGGCAAGCCAGCTGCCAACATTGAATAAACGAGACTGCGAACCGCAAACGTCGGTGATCCGACCAGACCAGCGAGAATCTAATCCCGTGAACTTCGAAAATCCATGAGAGTCAGGCTCTCAGTTATTGACTCAGCCACCAATTCACAGTAGTCACGATATAGGGCAGGACTCGGGTCACGGTACTGTAACCACCGAACCAGGGAAGCCCCAAAGCATCCCAGCGGCTCTAGTACTTCCTATTAAAGTGGTCCTGCTCGGAGATAGCGCCAGCGGGAAAACATGCATAATTCAACGGAAATGCACTGGGAAACGCCATGACGACTATTCTTGCACCATCCACGACAGCTTCTCGATTGAGATGCCAGGCATTTTCGAAAACCTCGAAGGTACTAAACTGCCGTGCCGACTAGAGATTAATGATACTTCTGGTATGGAAGATTACGACCGACTGCGGCCCTTTTCTTATCATGGCGTCCATGTAGTCCTCTTATGTTTTTCAATCTGGAACTCAGACAGTCTCAGTAACATATTCTCCAAGGTGAGTTCGCCGCGTCTACAAATCCGTGGAAAGTTAAGCTCACGTATATGATAGTGGCTCGCAGAGGCGCGGCAATACATGCCTCAACAACCGATTATTCTCGTGGGTGCTCAGGCTGATCGTCGGTCTGGTCCCATCAAAATTAGGAAAGTCAAGGACCCTTCACAACATGTTATTTCGAAAGATGAGGCACAAAAAGCATGCCAAAAACTGGGTGCAGTGGAATACATTGAATGCTCAGCATGGACAGGTGAGGGCATAGACGAATTATGGAGGGAAGTTGCAAGAATTGGCTGGAACGAGCGAGAGCGAAATCCTCAAGGAGCATCAAAGACTCGGAGACGTTTCTGGCATTTTGGTGTTTGAAGCATTGGGTTACCTTTTTCAGCAGAAAGTCCATGGCGTCACCGCCAGTCAATGCAAAACTCAACAAGCAATCCTTCGTCACTAAGCGGCATTGGGAGAATGCGAGGGCTCTCGAAAATGACTGCAAATGTTGCCCCTCCAGTAATTCGAGAAGATGATGAGCAGACGACAACCGTCTTACAGAAGTCTTCGTCTGACACTGCCAAACGGCATGACCCCCAACCTACCGGCACATATTATGTAGACGGCGTGGTTTAGGATGAAATTTGTGATCCCCACCCCGGGACACTGCCAGCATTACAAGTCAGACTTACCTGCGCCTGATCTACCATCACCATGCGCTGTCCTCACGATATCCCTTGATGGGCGTTTGCAAAGAGCGACAGGTTGGTATGACACGTTCGACACGAGGAACCTGTCGTACCACACCTTCCCGATATCGCTTTCGCTGTACGATATAGAAGGGAGAGGGGGGACGGAGGAGGGGAGGGGGGGTGTGAGGTCGAATTCGCCAGGCCGCGGAGACCAAGAATGCTGTATGAACTTCCCGCCCATTTCTTGCTGTTTGGTGCGCTTAACACTCCATTTTCTATTGGGCTAATAATTTTCATTCATAATCTCCCACAGAAACCCGGCCTCACAAAAGACACGAGTTCTACGTGAAAGTTCAGCAAGAACATGCCATGCCATGCCTTGCCTTGCCTTGCCTTGCCTCGGCGCACGCGGCCTTCCAGCTTCAAGGCTGGTCCTGCTCAGACAATCTTTCCTTGTGGTTGTAAGTATGTACCCAGGAGCTTGTGGATGTCCCGAATGGAGCTTTTCCGGCAGCGCAGCGACTGTTGCTTAACTTACCCATGCGCAACGAAAGAAAAGCAGGCATACATCAGCGGGCTCCCCGTAGCGCCATCATCACCAACCCTTAGAAGTATTGTGCCACCAGGACCCGCTGTCATCACAATAATATCCACGAGAATCACCCCGTACTTGGTTGCTGATTGTCTCCACAACTTTTGGGGGTGGGGGGGAGAAGAAAAAAAAAGAAAAGAAAAGGTCCAGGCAGCAGCGCACACCCCCCGGTAGCTTTATATACAGTAAAATAGCTGTTGTACCAAAAGACTACGGCCCTTGGAGGACCTCCGGACCGATAAATAGCTTATGTTGGACAGTAGTAGCAGATAGCCTATACCCGGGGTTCAACCTCCCCTTTACTTATCATCAGCATTCTACCTAAGTTGTAGTTCACTTCGCTAGTCTGCTACTATAGCAGCTAATGTAGCGTAGTATAGTGCCGCGCAGTGCCGTGCAATGCAGTGCGCATGCGGGCATGATGGGTGGGTCGATACGCGTACTGTATTTCTGCATGGAGACACTACATACGTAGCCAGCCGCTTGATGGGGCGCGATGAGCGCTAACTAGTTATGATGGATAGGAAATCGGTATGGTTGACTGGTGCTGGTGCATGTGGGTACTTGGTAAACGGGTTCGCGAAGGACTGGTAGTTGGCTGGAGCTGGAGTGGGAGGTTTCAGGGAATAGGGTTGGTCTGGAAGAGGCCAGACTTGCCTCCCTCTCACTCTCTGTGGGATTGAGTATGATGTTATGTAGTGCTATATATGCTATGACATGTCAATCGTGCGTCGTTTCTCGTGGGTTTTATACTGTTGGCAATATGTAGCCCTCTTTCCCAGGGGTGAGCTACTCCATAGCTCGAGCGAGGCATCTCATCATATTTCTTCCCGTCCACACGCTGATTCTCCGCGAAGCAGCAGCAGCAGTAAGCAATGAGCACATCGTCCCCCTTCGCGCCAAGTCTCCCCTGTTTCCGACCTCAATCAACAACCGACTCTCGAGATTCTCACCACCCATCCCGGCCACCAACACCCCAATCACAAGGAGGCCCGATCTCCCCTTCGCCTTGTAACCTCAACAGCTCCTCCCTCCGCCGCGTAGAAGGCTTCCATTTCTCGCCTTTCGGTACTGGCATCTCAAAGCCCCGCGGCTCGCCACCATCGCGACTTGCTTGAGGGCAGGATGACCAGGGGTATGCTTCTCCAATCTCATGAGAAGTGTGAATTGCATAAGCTGACGCTGACGCTGACGCTGATGCTGATGCTGATACATTGCCTGGGATATATTGATCAGCGGCGGAGTGCACTGCGAGATTTGGGTCTCTTGTCCCATCAAGCTGAGCGGACTGGTAAGGATCCGGCAATATCTTTTCATCAACCTCTTCTCCGTACGGCCCAATAGCATGTCTCCACAACGCGGCATTTTCTCTCTCTTCCTTCTCAACAGCCTCTTGTCTCTCGCGTATCGTGCGAGCGAGTTTCTCTTCTTCTGCTTGTATTTCTCCTGAGTGCTTACCACCTTTACCATTGCCGCTCTTGCAGTCTGATGAAGCCACCTTGCTTACGTCTCCCTCCTCCACTCGACTCCTCACCAGAACTCCAACCAAGACCTCCATAGTATACCTCGCATCATTCCCGCCATTGTGCAATTCCCACCCCGTCCTCTCCACCCCTACCAGTGCTTTAGCTAGGCTCGTGATGTTGGTTTCGCGTTTCCAAACTTGGTAGAGGAGGGCGGTGTCGAGGCTCTCGAGAATGTGTTGGCGAAGGCGGGATTCGCGTTCGAGGGGTTGTGGGTAAGTGGGGATGGGAGGTTTGTGGAAGATGCTGGATTGGAGAGTGGAGAGGTATTGGAGGTCGGAGTCTAGGTCGTGGCCGACGAGGACTATGTTGCGGTACTTCGTCTTTTGTCGAGGAGAGGTCGGGGTTGGGGAGATGATAGCATCTTCTGTTGGACCCGTCCTTACAGAAGTCGTGTCCAGATCATATTCTGAGGCCTCTCGATCCTCGGGAGATGTAATAATGCCAGAAGAAGTCGCTTTTTTGGCCAGCTTTTGTTCTGCATTCGCTGTGCCTTGCCCATCAACAGCATTGCTCGAAGTCTGCTGGCCCGGCACACGCTCTTGAGCAGATTTGTCTGCCTCTAGTGAGACGCTTTGCAGCTGGTCAAGAAGTGGCATGCTTTGCACACGGGTACTGTCTTGGGGCTTAAACTTCCCATCATGAACGAAATCAGTTGAATATGGTGGCGCAAAGCACGAGTCCACCAGTTGCCCAACCTCCTTCATGCTGACAAACTCGCTACGACCGAACTGAAACTTCTCTGGGTTACCAGTGCAGAAGGTCGTGTTCCTCAAATGCTCATGGTCTGTGATGCGAAAATGCCGGGATCTGATATGCTCCATCCAATTGGCGCCACCCTGGCTAGGAGCAAGAGATTTGATATCGGCAGTGTCCAGGGTGCTAATGCCCACTTCAGTGATGAGACTATGGTCTCTTTCGAATGCTTCAACATCAATCGAGACGAAGACAACGTCCCGATCGAAAGGATGCGGTGCCGGGTTCTCGATGTCTAGTGGTTCGAGAATGTGTCCATGTTTGATCTTCTGCTCTCTCTCGAATTTTTGCTGTTCGTCCCATGAGAGGGAAGGGTCAGGTAGGGGCAATCCGCCCTTGCGATCAACTGGGCGAAGACCTAGATACCGCTGGCCTCGCCTGAGCGCTTCACAGGATCTTACATGCGCTGCTAATCGGTCCTTGGTTTTGGCCTTCTTAATGGCAGCGTTCTTCTTCTTGGCTACAGCCGCAGCACGCTCCATCTTCTTTTTGAAACGCTCAAAAGATCGCTCTATTTGCGGGCTGGCGGCAGGAGGAGACTCGCCATGGTTCTCGGCAGGAGGAGGAATCTCCTGTTCCATCTTCCCAACAGCGTCGCGACTTTGGGAGGTACCTAAAAGTGTCGGAGCTGGTGTTCCGTCTTGATAGAATGCTAGCAGAAACGGATCTCGTGGTAGCTTGATGGAGATGCGGAACGTGGAATTTATCTCGTCAAGTAACGCCTGTACCTGTACCTCTGGCACTAAAAGAAGGGGCTTCGCAAAGAGTGAAGCGGGCGGATATATGTAATATCTAGAAGTATTGAATGGGTAAGTATTGAAGATGCTCGCTGCAGGTTGGAGCGACGGCGGCACGGGTAGAGAACTGTCCAAGAAAGTGCTACATGAACACATTTCATCATCCACACAGCCAACCATGGCCACAAGCTATAGATGATCATAAACACTGCTAGGAGTGTCCAATTGGGGCGTTCCGCAGAAGGATGGAAACACTCAGTGGGGAGATTCATGGGATGGATGGAAGGAGCAATGGAGTACTCACATATCCCATGTCCTATTCCAGATCTTCCCGGACGCGAAGAAATGTCTTGAGACACGGTCATTCGGATCATCCATATACTTATAGCAGAACTTTGTAACAAGCATCAGTGGGCAGAATCGTCCGACAAGCGGGTGCCCCTCTCTGTCGGCCTTCGAGACACCATCATCCTTTCCATCATTGGCGTCACTACTAGATTTCGCTCTGTTCTTAGCCCTTGGTTGCTCATTGAAGTGGTAGCCGCTCAAACTGCTGGTCTTCTTGCTGGATTTTGCAGTGGTCTCCGGTTTGATGGCTGGTGGTTTTTTGAAAGCACGAACGTATTCATCGTCATCGGAGCTGGTAAGCTGATCGAGATCTCTTCCCGTACGGGGCGGAGATCTTGTGATCTTTCTCAGGGTTTGAGCCACCTTGGGCACTTTCCATGGTTGGTGTGCTGGCTGCATTTTGGAGATGATCTCGGTGTCAGCAATATGCGAAGTGGTGGGGTCTGGTAGAGGTGGAAGTGAGTCTCCTTCAAAAAGCCTGTTGAGCCGATCTGCTTTTGGCGTGGGCATTACCACTGCTAGGGCGATTAGGCAGATGTATATCTCGACATGATTGCCAAAGTTCAACAAAGGTTTGGAGCAGAAAACTGTAAAGCCGGCACAAGTGAGTTGATTGTCATGTGCAGCAAGCTGGTGAAAACAGGAGCACAATGCAATCACTGGAATCAGCACACGCCAGTTGCGTTAGCTGATCAGGTGATTTCAAGGAGAACGACCTGGTGACTTTCAAAACCAGATTTGTTAAGGGATAACTCAGGACTGTGAAGGTGAAGAGTCCCTGGTGTAGGCGTAAAATGGATTTTCTGCTTGAAAGTCCCAGACACTGCTTCCTGCCGGTCAATGCATCTACCTACATTGACTCTTGAGTTGTGTTGAACAGTGCTGTCTTATCTTCTGGTGTAGCATACCACAGTTGACCAAGACGTTGACCAAGATGATAACGTGGAAGGTGTAAGCTTGGAGCACTGAAGCAGAAATTAGAATCTCAAGTGTGTGGCTTGGTCAGGAGCAATCATGGTAAATACAATACTATTTGGAGACGAAACAAGGTCAATGCAGAAGTTGAATCATGATTTCACAGGAACTTCTCATCACTGTCATCTGCATTAACTTGACCAGTGTGTCCATGGGCATGGCTGATCTGGGGAGTCAATGCTAAGATGATTCTTTCAAGCTGGAACACAGGCTAGACATTTGGTCGAAGCTAAATACTTAAATGCAGCAATAAATACTACGGAGTATTGACAAGCACCCTATGCAGCACAGACGTAACTACTCCGTACAGTAGTCACCTATAGTGCCACCACTACAGCAAACTATTTTCCAGCATCCAGCACCCAGCATCCAGATGCTTTTTGTCCAATGATGGTACTCCACTCCAATGGAAGTCCTCCTTGCTTGGTCTGGCTTTCCCTTCCCGCTTCCATATCATGCAGAGGAAGTGCTAGAGTCTGCAGCAGATGGAAATCGTAGAAATGCCATGCAACAGAAGCTCCATTGTCTGACGTCTTCTCCATATCCTGAAGCCCAACTGGTCATCAATCACACTCAAGATAACCCCTGGCCTGTAGTTTTCTGTTGTCGCTGTGTCAGATGACATGATTCTGAGAACTTGACCGCTTGTACCAGAAACATTGTATCTTTGCCATCTAAAGGCTGAAGCCCTGTTCACTGATGGTCTCTATGAAGTTCTGCCCTTTTCCGATGCCTGTACGTTAGGATGAAGCTGAACGGTGGCCTCAAAGCCCCCCAGAGACCCGGAAAGCCGCTGCTTAGCAATGTACTCCGTACATTCCGCAGAGGTACAAGTCACAAAGCTCGGAACTGGCTTCATCTTCAAGGCGTAACATGAATGACGAATAGAGAAGCAGCGCCAATAGAGATTCCAATATCTGTGGACAGGAACCTGACCAAATGAAGCATGTTCAAGATGAAAGCGCTGCGAATATGGCTTTCAGAGGGTATACGGAGTACATACTTATATTTCATGTTCTCTCCGATTGAGTTGTGGCATCTGCGGCTAGGTGGCTGCCCCTCCAAATTCTACCGATTCCAGTCTTAAATACTCCGGATTATCGTAAATATTCATGTTGATATCCACGAATGACCGATTACCTCACAGACAGAACCAGACTCTATCAGCATTTTCGCAAATCTCAGCACCCTAGATACGAAACGTCAATTTCCGATCTGACCTTCACCTACTCACCTTCCCCACCTTCTCTTTGCGTCAGCCCCCCAACTCTACCTCCTCCTCGATCGAACCATCGCCTTTGCACGCTTGTCGTCATACCTCTATCATCATGGCGACTACAGTGGACAAGATCAAGGAAATTGAAAGTGAAATGGCAAAGACGCAGAAAAATAAGGCCACGTCATTTCACCTGGGACAACTCAAAGCAAAACTTGCAAAATTAAAACGAGAACTGCTCACCCCTACTTCTAGTGGAGGTGGAGGAGGATCTGGCTTTGATGTTGCCAGAACCGGTGTGGCCTCGGTGGGCTTCATCGGCTTTCCCTCTGTGGGAAAGAGTACGTTGATGAGCAAGCTGACCGGACAACACTCCGAAGCAGCGGCCTACGAGTTCACAACCTTGACCACAGTCCCAGGACAAGTCTTGTACAATGGAGCGGCTATACAAATGCTGGATCTGCCTGGTATTATTCAGGGCGCAAAAGACGGAAAAGGGCGAGGTCGTCAAGTCATCGCGGTAGCAAAGACATGTCATTTGATTTTTATTGTGTTGGACGTCAACAAACCTCTGACGGATAAGAAAGTCATCGAGAACGAACTTGAAGGTTTCGGCATCCGTATAAACAAAGAGCCGCCGAATATCGTGTTCAAGAAGAAGGACAAGGGCGGCTTAGCCATCACCAGCACTGTTCCCTTGACGCATATAGACCACGACGAAATCAAGGCAGTCATGAACGAGTATCGAATTGCCTCAGCCGATATTGCGATCAGATGTGATGCCACTATCGATGATCTCATAGACGTCCTCGAAGCGAAGAGTCGAAGCTACATCCCAGTGATATATGCTCTTAACAAGATCGACGCAATCTCCATCGAGGAGCTTGACCTCCTCTATCGCATTCCAAATGCCTGTCCGATTAGCTCTGAGCATGGGTGGAATATTGACGAGCTACTTGAGCAGATGTGGGAAAAGCTCAAACTGAAACGTGTTTACACCAAACCCAAGGGCAAGCAACCAGATTATACCGCGCCGGTGGTTCTCAGACAAAATGCGTGCACGGTTGAAGATTTCGTATGTGGACCAATTTTCTCGTAGGTGTTTGGAAGTGTCAGGATCGCTGACGAATGTGGCCAGTGCAATGCCATCCATAAGACCATTGTGGAGCAGTTCAAACAAGCCATCGTTTATGGACGCTCAGTGAAACATCAGCCTCAGAGAGTTGGATTGTCGCATGAGCTTGCAGACGAAGACATCAGTAAGTTTGACGAGATGGTGCTCCCTTATAAGTGAAGCTAACGGTGGGACGAGTTACTATTATTAAGAAGTGAAGCTCCAGCAGGAGAGTCATGTTATGGTTAGCAACCTGCGCTGCATGAGCAGGGAAGATGCCCACGCTTCCTACGTACGAGCATGCCTGAATCCTATGAAGGATGAGTGTTGAAGGCGTCAAGCGGGTACGTCAAGTGTTATGGTAGCTTGGACGCCACAGAAACGAAATAACGTAGTAAGCGCAGACGGTCCGATTCATCTTCCGCCATTCCCCCCGCTGCAGCCTTAATCGCAGCTTGCAGCGCTGATCCATTGTCCAGAGCGTTAGCATACACACCTCGATAGTTCTCACGTCGATTATAATCATAATGTCTGCAGGACGGCAAAAGACGGTTCATGCAAATCAACCAAGACACCAAAACACGAAAGTCACGTGTCCCAGCTGCCTTCTCGCTCACCGGGGCAGATCAACGAGATTGAACAACATAGTCGCATGCGGCGCGGCATTGTTGGCTGGCGGCTCTGTGTTGATCCGGACAAAAGATAAAGACCGTTCGTGTTGGAGTGAAAGTCATTCGGGGAAATACGAGACGGTTATCATTTACTGCGTAGTAGCTAGTTGCTAGTTACTAGTTCCGAGGAGGAGTGGAGACTTGATGAGTATTAATTATATTTTTCCCACCTGCCCAAACTCTCATTGGCGGGAAATTGGCGAATCATATATTTCCCGTTACAGGGACCACACCCCTATGCAGCCACCTCGGGGTGGAGCACTGCCGATAACGACCCTTTCCCCCTCTTTCCAATCATTAGCGTTCCAGCCGAGGAACATCTATTGAGCACGATCCTGAACCAAATTGACCGCAATGTGCAATGTGCACAAGACGGCACGATGAGTAAAGGGCTGTATGGGTGCCCAAATCTGCACCTGCCTCACCGAGGACGTCCGCTTACGAGAGGCTAAGCATCCAGCTTTCAGGCATAGCTAGTGCTTAGAAGAGGTGCGAATAGGAACCTGGTCTAACATTTGCAATTCCCCCAACCTTTCGCCAAGTTCTCCACAAAGACCGATCGAAGAGGCATGGGCCTATGCCTTATATAGCCGCCCGAGGCACCCACTCACAACCGCCAGATTTGTGCTCCAAGGTACTGTTGGCTCAACGAGATGGGTCCGTCTATCATGTCGTACCTGGCAGATGATGATCGGAAATGACGCAGGGAGCGGGACCACAGCAGCTCTAGGCTTACTACTCTCGATGGTACTGATTGACGCGTCATACCTGAAATAACCGCTGTGAAACGTACTGTCAGGACCGGTACGGCCATGGTACGGCCATGGTATGGCCATGGTACGGGCTGCTCCGGCGCGAAATGAGCGGATGATGCCATTTCTGCCGTATGAAGTGGACCATGGAATTGCCATCCCACTCCCAGCTAAGTGCAAAGTCACAAGTCAGCCTAAAATTGAACTGATGACCGGTTTCGCAACGAAACAGGCTCGGTATGACCAGCATTATCTTTGGCTGACAGCTATCACGCACTCGGCCTCTACGCTAGATGATGCTTTTGCTGCCCTATTGCTTCGACTATCTGCGGCAGAGGCAAAAGCTCTAAAATTACTACGTACTCTCGATCCGCACTCGAAGGCAGCTCCGTAGTCTTTTGGCTTTTCTAGGAGCTCTTCAACACTGAGGCAAGCTTCCCCTTTCGGGCGGATCGACAGCTGTTAAATCCGAAAAATGCTCCTCTGGCGACTTTGAGCTTCATTTCACACTGGATTGATGCTAGATGCCCAACCCGCCAATCAGGGCCTCCCTCATGAAGATCCATGGAGAGTGGCTTTAACGATAGTGGTGCTTTAGCTTTTACGGGCTAACCTTGTCCTCCACCTACCCCTTGGCCTCTAACGACCCTGACGATTGTTCGTTTGACTACCAGCTAGAGCGACCTGTTGAAGCTTGGTCTCGGAGTCTAAGTCGAGCCTAACTGTTGTGGTATTTTTTGCTGCAAACCTGGACTCTCTCGCGCCTACCCGCCCGAACCTATCCCACCCGTGCAGCGTCCAGACCACTAAAATCCTGCATGCACTCTCGGTAGCAGCAGCTGGTAGTACATCAAGCTCCTCCTCCGCATTATCGTCTGCAGATCCGCATATTCCTCCAGATTACTACACCTGCACGCATGCGGCGGTTCTTCACACCCTGCAGCTTGGGAGTCCGTTGTGCACGTCTCAGCTCGCCCATAATATGCAGCCCTTTGTCACGACGCTCTTTTAGTAACGGCACCTCAATTCGCCTTGCTGGGTAATGTGTCGGGGGGCGAATTCATGCGCCTTCGCCACCACACCCTCGTTCATTCATTGTCGGAGGGGATAGATCTTGGTAGCATCTCGTCACACAGCACATGGCCGTTTGCTTGCTCAGCATGGAATCTGAACAACATCATTCTCCCGACACTGAACATGGAGAATTCCAATGGATGTCAATGGCAGGATACCCGCCAAATGGACCCCAGAATACCTCACCAGTTATGCCTGAATATAATCCCTACACATATGGATCATCAGCTGTCATGCCTGTCGAGCCAGCTCCGTTCTATGGCATGGCAAGACCGCCGCCTTACAGTTCGCATCAGCAACTGCAACCGCTGCATCCATTGATCGTGCCACCTCAATGGCCGAGCATGTTAACATCACAATCCAACTACTCCACCCCGTCTATACCAAGCGCGTCAACGACAACGCCTTCATCCGCCGTTTCATCGACTTCTCAACCACTCCAAATTCGGCAGACTACCACCGGAGGCAATACCCCTCGCCGAACTCTGACTGACGAAGATCGACGGCGAATGTGTCAGTATGCTGAAGATAATCCCGGTGTCAAGCAAACCGATATTGGATGTGAGTTTTAGCATTCTTATTGTGGTGTTGGTATCGCTGACAATGCATAGTGAAGTTTGGCGTTGAGCGAAGGTTGGGCTTCGTTTTCAGACTCGCCTCGTCTTCCTGCTAACTTTCCCCACAGTACAGTTTCCAAGGTTTTACGACAGAAGGAGAAGTATCTCTTCCCTCATGATGGAAGTCAATCACCAGTGAAGAAGTCCAAAGGCAAATTTCCCGACATCGAACGAGCCCTTGCCAATTGGGCCAGGAATGAATCTAAAAGATATGCTTTGACTGATTCCATGATCCGAGAGAAGGCCAGATTTTTCGCCGCCACTGTAGGCAACAATGAAAGTCAATCGAAGCTCAATAGCACTAGTTGGCTGGAGAGATTCAAGCAGAAGAACAATCTTGGTGGAAGGAGATTGAAGAAGTCTCCAACTGAATCACGCCCTAATTTTCCCGAGGACGGTATAACTATTGTCGATTCGAGCACCACCTCTACGTCTCACACTTCAGTCGAGATGTCACCCATGTCACCTGAAGACATCTCACCTACCACCACTGATTCCAGTCACGGTACGGCAAGGAATGGGTTGCCTGATGGCTTCTTTGACTTTGCTGGAACAGGATACCGACACACCCATTCGCAGAGTACCGCATCACTCAACACCGGATACTCCGGCATGTCGATCGCTCCTTTACTCGTGTCAAACCCAACTTCGCCGCAGGTGACCGACGCCGCCGTCAGTCCATTTAGTCCTGATGGAGGCGCTCGACTGCCTCCTCTAGAGAGTAACTTCAGTCGCCCTCGAAGTCAGACCGTTCCGAATCTGAATCTTGAACCAGATGTAATGCACAAAACAGACGCGTCTGATGAGATTACACCCAAAATTTCTGATCCGTCAACCATGTCGAACATGCTTGAGTCACCCCGTGAGGAGAAGCCAATATTTACCAATCCATTCGATGCAATGAAGCGAACGAACAGTTTTCCGGGTCCACAGAACAACAGAGATACGTCCATGCAACCGCCGCCAGTCCCCAAATCAGAAACAGCTTCCCCAATTGCCTCTCCTGTAGTTTCACCAACCCAACAGGAGGCGAGACGAGCGCTGGAGGTGGTCATGACTTTTTTCCAAAGCCAACCGATGGGTGTCGTCGAACCCAACGAGTACATGACCATGGGAAAGTTGATGCAAAAACTCGAGCTTGCACAAAGCCCGGACGGAACCCCATCTTTACCTGGAGGGTTGCATCGTATTGATGAAGAGGAAGGTTTACGTGTCACGAAGAAGAGGAGTATTCGCTCTCTGTGACCTGACCCACCTCCCAGCCATGACATATTTCGATTCTTCACCACTCCTTTCTGCAGACTTTGTACATGTTTCAACTCTTTGCATCAACATCTTTCGGCAATCGCTTTAATGTCAGCACAACTGATTTTCGATTCGGTTCTAAAGGCCTATGCAAGCAAGAATTAGGTCTCGAACCCAAAACCGAGCGTTCGCCGCGGCAAACACGGAGCGGACTGAACGCTCAATCTTACACCAATCGAGCGCGAGCTCTTTAAGAAACCGTTACTAGACATACCCAAGCCCCACGGCTTTGAGCGAATTCCCTTTTCTGATCCGAGTTCTGTCCACTTGGAAAAATCTTTTATCTCCCCAACTTTTTGGCCTGTTCAGTCGCCAGCACCATGCAGTCAAAACAAAAACATCTACTCGGCTACAATCGGATCAATAACTAGTTTTTCCTTCAAGTATCATGGGAGGGGCATTTGAGCGCGTGTGCCACGTATGCATGTATCTATGGCTTTCTTTGGGCTATTGCTCGATCAGTATATTTTATCTAAGTCTGTGATTGCACGTTATTAACTCCTCCGCACGCTTCGGCCAGGGGATGATCTGACATGTCTTGCTAAGTATTGCGATGATATCTACATGTCATGTGTGTGTCTGCTTGCAGCAACAGCTACAATCATATTCTCACACTCATTCACACAATGCGAATTTCAGGACTCCAAGTCTCGGGCAACAGATGGCCCCCAAAGTATTTAGTGCTCCGCTATGGATGAAAGTTATGACATATCTTGATCTCTACATTTCTCTCAGCGAATCCAGGGCCTCGAGCCAAGGGCCTCGAGCCAACAGTAACACGCGGGCTTCCAAGTCTTCCTTCAATCAACAGCACTTTGATCAGAGCTGCGCCACATCCTTCCAGGCCTCTTCCCAACGCCAGAAAATACTAGTGACCGGCTTCACCTCATCTGTGTGCTCATCATCGTTGAGGGAAGAATTGACAAACTCACACAAGCTTACTAACAGACCCCTTCGACCTTTGGAAGGAAAGGTCTGTTTGTTAAAATTCACAGCTCATGTACAAAATCCCACCGCACCTCCAGTGGGAACAGGTACAGTTGACATCACCGGCCAAGCAAGCATGTGCTGTAACCGACGTTCCGTAGTGTAGCTGGGGGCAGCCGGAAGCCAGAAGGCAAAGGCAGAAGGCAAGAAGTTGGATTAATCAATCGCACCCCTGAATCACGTGAGAAAATTTATAACAGAATTTACCTGAGTAGGCTGAAGGGAGAGAGGGAGAGAGAGAGCGCAGTTCATTCCTTTCAATCTCATCTGCCCTTATACACCCCTATTCACACACTCTCTCTCAACCTGTCTCCATCTCCATCCCCAAAGTCTTAACCCACCCATAAGCCGCTTAACCTCCCTTCCCACCAAACCTCCAAACCCACAACACAGCAGCAGCTATAGCCATGCCAGCTCAGAACATCCACCATCCATCATCATCATCCAGCAGAAAAGGAAACGAAAAAAGAAGAAAGGGTTCGTGAAAAGCGAAAGTTCAAAAAGATCCTCAAAGAACAAACTAAGTGGGAAAAAAGAGATTTTCCTTCCCATCCATCTGAAAGCTGGAGTCTGGAACTGGAAAGTTAGGCTGAGGAGCTGGGTCGAATGGGGGGGAAGAGATAAGCTAAGCTATGTGGAGAGCGTGGGCACGAGCACGAGCACGGGCACGAGCACGGGCTTCAGTATCAGAATCAGAACGAGAACGAGGATGAGAATGAGAATGAGAGTTAGAGTTAGCAGCGAAGACAAAACCCACTCGGGAAAAGCCATGTTAGGTATGGCTTTCCACTCTCAAACTATGGGCTTCTTTCAGGAGAGAAAGACAAGTGTTCTTTCCAATCCACGGCTACCGGCTCCCATGGGCGATTCGAAGCAGAGTCACAAGACCCCCCAATTCCTTCTTCCTTTCAAGACCAAACCCGTCCTCCCTTTTTCATTCATTCGCCACCACCCAACCCCCGACCCAGACCCATTTCTCTCCCAATCAGAACCTTTCCACGCCTCTCTCCCTCAGCAGCTCCCCAGGTCCCCTCTCCGCCATCTCCGGGACCAAACGGGCCAACACCAATTCCAGCAGATTATAAACAAGGTGTTTATTCATGTACGCGTTCCCAAAAACATCCAGCATCTCTTCTAGCTGAGCAATCATCTCCTCCTGCTCCAATTCCGAGTCCGAATCGTATTCTCCACCTCCATTCTGCTTCTCAGCCCTGTTGTTGTTAGTGTGATTGCTCGCGAAGTACACCCGCGCTACAGGCTTGGGGATGAGGCTGAGCACAGATTCAGCGGCGCGTCGACGGATCTTGAGGCCTTCTTCTGCGCTTGGAGGGGGAGGGGCGGGGGGGCCGCGGGTATTGAAGGGGAACAGGGCGGTGCGGAGGTTGAGGAGAAGGGTTGGAAGGAGGGTTGGCCAGGGGGTGATGTGAGTGGTCAGCGTGTTGTGGAGGAACCTAGTTGTTTGTTATTGTTAGCAAGGCATCTCAAAAGACTCCTTCGTTATGTCTTTGGTAAGTCAACAAGCGATTCATGTTACAGCGACAAAAGGACGGGAAGACAGTGATAGGCTGGCCCTGAAGCGAGTGAAGCGAGTTAACAGCGCCGAGGATGTTGCTGTTTTGTAGCCCGCATAGCAGTCTAGTAGCACCTCGTCGACGCGGGATGAGTGATGAAGCAGAGCTCGAATCAAGCTATGCAGTCCAGCAAGCGAGCATCAAGAGCCTATCTTTGCATGCAGCCAGCGACTTGTGGAGGTCCGGAATGTAGTGCGCTAGATTAATGACCATCCACGGACGTCGTTCCAATTAACTCTAAGGCAGATCCAGGCCAAAGAATTCCCGAGTGGACATGATAGTTCAAGGGCTGCTTCTGCATTCGTGTATGTGAAACTCTCTCGCTTCGCAGACATGTCCATTTCAGTCTATATGGCACTTGCTCGTCAATACTATCTCAGAGACCGCCCCAGAGGTTACAGGCTCGAGCCTCGAGGCCGAGCTTCGTGATCGGAACAGACAATCAGTCCGAAAATGTGGTCGGATGGTAATCCACCAATGACAAGGAGCAAAATAGCAATTCAAGGAAATTCGGACGAGGGATTTTTATGATTGGCTCAGACCACAAAATCCTCAAGCAGACCGGTTGTTTTGACAAGCGAGGACGATTTGCCGAGACGTGACAGACTAACAAGCCAAACAATAGCTCTGGCGTTTGATGCTATTTGCGATGGAGAGGGAGAAGAGATCGTCCAAGCATGATTGGACAGAAGATCTGTTGATGTGATCGGAAACGGAAAATCACAGGGGCCGATCCATCAGCCGGGACTGCTCATCGAGATTGAAACTCGCTACCGGAGATCGATGACAGGTGCATGTTTCAGCGAGAGAATGGTTGTCGGCGAGAAGTAGGGTAGGGTGACAGTGCTTGAAGAACCTGGCGAAGAGTCCAAGGATTGCCGAGGTGGACAGAGTTCATGCGGAGCTCTCAGTTTCCGATGCAACGTGATCGATGGCCTGAGAATGGACGCTGTGGCACTGAAGCTAGGATGAAGAGCCAAATTGTTGTTTGATAGATTTTGTTTGGACAGTGGCCAGCGAATGAGTGGAAATACCCATACCAAACCATTACCATAGTGTCATGTATTGGTATCGTCACAGACATCATTGGCCTTGACCCACTCTTAGTTGGAGATTCGTGTGCACTTTCGTAGTCTGCTAGGTGCTAACTAGGTATCACGAGGGTTTTGTTGAATGTAGCACTTCCGCGCTTGGATTGGACGCCAGGATATGCATGACACGTCAGGTGACCCAGAGCTCCTGCGGGTTAAAACAGTTCGGTATAGCTGATGGTCCGGATCCAGGGTTTGGAGCCAGTCAAGGGTAAAAACCAGACAAGATCGAGCACCGAATAGGAATGGACGCGCAATAGGGAAGTAGGCAGCAGGAAGATTCTAACTTTACCTTTCGAGAAGACCATCAGCCGCCCCTAGCCGCCCAGACCCTGTCAGAAGGCCGTATTTGCACAAGGACAGCAAGCCCGTAAGCCAAGGCATGTGCGTCGACAAGTCGAGCAAAGTGGAGCAGAGAGCGAAGAAGCGATAGTCGAGGATAGGCCGCTGTGGTGGAGATGGTACGGTTGACCATGACTTCGATAGCGTCGCAGGACTGCTGCCGGTGTTGGCGATTGGGGAAGGGGTACTTGACTGTAACGAATGTCCTCGTGACGATAGTGATCGTGCCCGATTTAGACCAACAGCAACAAAGCGGATAACGAGGAAGAACAGATAGGCAAATTGTAGGACTCGCCAAAACAACGCCAATATTAGCGATTGGTCGTTGGTGGACAAATGGGGTCGTAAGTCGCCGTCTTTTGGAGATAATAGGCCAAATTTTTCGAGACGGCTTCTAGAGTTCTGCGCAGCCTCCTCGCCTTTTGTTTTTGGCTCGATGCGGGACTTGATCACTGCCACGACCTTGATGCATGTCTCGTGCAAGAACCAGCCTTCACAAGCCTTGTCGCCTATGCCTTGTCCAAGAATGAGGTCAGCAACGATGTCGGAAACGAGGGTACGGAGGCAAGCATTCTGTAGATCTTCCGTAGGCAACAAGACGGCCAATGCACCTTGCACGAGCAGCTGGCGGTAGACAGTCTCGTTCTGGGCTTGGACATGACATGATTCGATCTGGTCGGAGTTCGGGAATGGTGACAAGGCAGGATGCGGGTTGAGGGAGTGGTAGATCTCCACCGGTGCAGAGTGATAGGCGGAGGGCGATATGGTCTGATGAGCAGTCCTGTATGCTTTGGGGCTATCAGTTGACGCTCTTTCGACACCTACCATGATTTGCCAGATCCGGTTGATCCCTTACCGAGTATATGAGCTTCTACCAACGCTGGTATCTCGTCAAAGATCAACTCTTCAAGATCGATCCGCCGCAGTCTTTGTTCCACCGCTCGGCTGCAATGGGCAATGACTTGGACGACCTCTTCAATAAAGACATGATCAGGAGTGATCTTGGAGTACCAGACCTGGACAAAGTCCTTGACCACAATGGCAATGATGGCGTACAGTTGTAAGTCTATCTCGTTGCTACTGGTCAGGGGAGGTAGTATATCCTCAAGGGATCTTGGTGAACTAGTTTGATCGATGCCAGTCTGAGACCCAAGTACTCGTCGAATCAAGGCGGTTGTGGCCTTGTCGGAGGTGTATTCCAAGCTGTGCGCATTCTGTCGCGTCCTTGTCGGATGGACCTGCGAGGGAGATGCTGATGTGTTAGGAGTAGGGTTAGTCTTCGCGACAGCCGATAGCGTAGTGCTTTTTGCGGTGAAGGAGGCTTTGGAAGGAGGTTGCAGAGGAGGAGAGAGAGGCGGATGCGCTGTCATGGCAGGACTCGGACTACATCTCTGTTGTATCCTGCTGGTCTTTTCACCATCCACAGCTCACATGAACGCCTCTGAATTGCACTGCTGCACGTAGAAAACGTGGTGGGCCATGACTGGCTCCCTCACGCATTGGCGATGCCCAAAATCTGCGTCTTTGGAGGCTACTGTAGCCTAGTAGATTAAGCATCCGTTACCCGCAATACCCCAATTAGTAGTAGGATATCACGCCTCCAACACTCCTAATTTGGTAGTTAGTTAATCCGAGGAATTATCTGAACACCACTCAGCCATCATGTCCAGAATCCTGGAAACTGTTCTCCAGATGCCCCAATGGCCGAGGCGACTAGCAAGAAAGAAAAAATACCCCTATGGCTAGACTGTGATCCAGGTCAGTAGATCTGCCCAGCGCCCAGCTACCCGGGAGCAAGACATAACCATTGGACCAGGACATGATGTGAGAGTCGCCGCCTATCAATTTAACAAAGTATTGAAATACTCTTCTACAGGATGCTTTTGCTATCCTCTTTGCAGCCTATCACCCTGCCCTTCATCTTCTTGGTATCAGTACTGGCTATGGAAATGCATCATTGGATCGAACCACCAGCAATGCACTGAGCATACGAGAAGCCATTGGCCGTCCAGATATTCCAGTGATCCCTGGCACCAGAAAACCTTTCTCTCGCGAAGCTCACCATGCACCGGAGATTCATGGTACGTAGACGCTGATGACGCCGAGGTCTGTCAGCTAAATCTTTCCAGGCGAGAGTGGCCTTGATGGGACAGACTTTCTTCCCAGCCCAACGACAAGTGCACTGAGGTGTAATGCGATTGTGGACATGTATGAGGCGTTGATGGCCTGTCCACCCCATACCGCTTGGTTGGTTACAACTGGCCCCTTGACGAATGCTGCTTTACTCTTTACCACCTTTCCAAACATGGTAGATCACCTTGGTGGTCTCAGCATTATGGGCGGCGCAGTAGGAACCAATTTCACGCATGCAAATCTTGGAAGGCCATTTCGCGATGCTTCTGGCCAAACACGAGAACGAATTGGAAACCATACACCATATGCCGAATTCAATATCTGGTGTGATCCAGAATCTGCACAAAGTATATTCAGCAATCCTCGGTTGAGCAGCAAGACTACCCTGATCACGCTGGATCTTACGCATCAAGTCTTTGCTACAGAATCTGTGCGGCATCTAGTTCTATACTCAACCAAGGATGAGGACAGACAGAACAGCGGACGGTCGACCCGGTTGAGAAGGATGTTTTATGAGTTGCTGATATTCTTCGCCAGCACATATGCTGATGTGTTTGGATTAACTGATGGTCCGCCCTTGCATGATCCGCTTGCTGTGGCTGTTCTGCTGGCTGAGTACGGCGATGGGCAGACAAGGATTGGCTTCGATGACCGGGGAAGGGAACGATTCAGGATAGAAGTGGAGCTGACCGAGCCAGAGCTGGGGCGAACCAGAATCAGTGCAGCTTCTGAAGGTGTGAGGATCCCCAGGTCACTGGATACCCCGAGATTTTGGAAGATTCTGGAAGAATGCTTAGAGCGAGCTGATGCGCAGGTTGGTAGGATTCCTGTCCTCTGACAGCCTGTGCTTGAAGGAGATGATTCGATAAACAGTCTATCTCCACACTAGATATTGAAATGATCGCTGTAGAGTCATTCAAATTGCCTGGTACAAAGCTGCTTTTCCCTGGCCGGCTGGCTTCTTTTTGACCTGAGTGAGGTATTTCCAGATAAGGCAATGCACACTTGGGGTCGGATGTGGTGACACAATCAGTGAGACAGGACCACCAGAGACTGCAAGCCAATACACTCCCGCCGATTTCTTCATCGAGCTTTGTCCTCTCTTTCGACCTATTGATCAGCAGCCTGCTTTCCCAACATCGCTGCCTCCGTCTCCCATGCTGTCTTCTCTGTGCTTTGTGTATTATTCAGAGACTGAACACTGGTCGCGGTCAAGTTTCTGGTTGTCTTCCTGGCTGTCTTCGCTGTTGTCCGGTGCTCTGTGATCAACCTCGATGTCCAGGCACGCTCTGAGATTTATCTGCATCTCCTGCTCTCAGTCTCGGAAATACTTGGCTTCCTCGTGGCTTCTTGCATGCTGGCTGTTTCGTGTCAAACGTTTCATTGATTGGTACATCCCTAGAGATGGACTGGCCTTATCACTTTGTCAATCTTTCCCCTGAACAGATATCCGAAAGGAGAAAGTTGTTGGATCTCTATGGCTTCTATGCCTGGCTGTCGCCAATTGCTCTTGTCTGTTCAATCTACTTGTCGCGAGTACTCCTTGCTAGTATCTCCAGACGTTCTGGTAGTGTGTCTCCCAGCCAACCTCCAACGTTTTTTCGGGTTTATACCCGCCGCCTCTTATGGGTGTTGCATTCACCGCTCTCTTCCGACTTTGGCGACGTCAAAGTCCACTTGATCGGACTTCTTTACACCAGTTGGCTCCTCTTCCTCACCATTCACAACACCGGTACAGATTACATGCATTACACCAAACGTCTTGGTCATATCGCCGTCTCCCAACTGCCACTCCAATACTTGCTCTCAACCAAATCACCACTCTCTCCTATTCAAGCTGCAACTGGACTCAGCCATGAAACGCTCAATCCGTATCACCGTCTTACCGGCCGCATAATTCACCTCTTCCTCCTCGCACATGCAGTCCTTTATCTCAACTTTTTCTACGCCATCAATGCTTTGCCACGCCGTCTCTACGACCGCGACGTCCAACTCGGACTTCTCGCCATCACCCTTCTCACCGCCCTCGCCATTTCCGCCTCCCCATCCAACCGCAGAAAGTCTTACCACAAGTCCTTCTACGTCCCACACGCCCTCCTCTCCTTCCTCCTCATCCCGGTAATATCGGCCCACGTCCCCTACACCCGCAGGTACGTCCTTCAAATTCTGATCCTCTACCTCTTCAACATGGCCACAAGAACATTCAACACCACAACCCCACCTGCACCCGCCACCATCACTCCAGTAAAAGGCACAAACGGTGCACTCCTCCACCTATCCATCCCTACACCCCAACCCCCGCTCGGCTCCCCAATCCCAACCCATTTCCCAGGCCAACACATCTACCTCAAATCCGGCCACAACCCAATATCCCCTAGATCACCATTCACCATCGCTTCCGTCCCACCCATCCTCAATCTGTCCCCCAAGCCAGGGCAACAAGAAAACCCATACCACGGCGGCCCTCTCCCAGATCTGGAATTGATAGTACGCAATCTCGGTGGTCCCACCACAGCCTGGCTAGCCGGCTCGGACTTCAAGACCACCACCAAAAATAGATTGGAGACTGATCAAGACGGCGGCGCTGTTAGTCACTTAGACGCGAGTTTAAAGCCATCTCCTCCAGCAAGGAAGCTAGATGTCTTAGTTGAAGGGCCCTACGGCACCTCATCCTCCATCGTCCCATCTCTCCTAGCCTCATTCTCAAACTTACATGCTCAGGAGAACTGGGAGGATGAGGAAGAGGTCCTCCTGATAGCAGGCGGTGTGGGCGCGACATTCACACTACCGATCTATGTTTCTCTGTTGCGAGCTGCTCTTACGGCAGCACTCAGAGAGGCCGATATCGGCCAGGCGGAAGCACAGCAGCAGCATGAGCGGCAGAAGTGTCAAGGAAGAGACGGCGCGCTATCGGTAATTACGTCGCTGAACTCAATATCACAACGTATCCATTTCCGCTGGATTGTGCGATCGCGAGCGGAAGCGGAATGGGGGGTTGAGTATCTGGGCAGAGCGATCAGGCGATTGGAAGAGGAGATCGAGATGGCTGTTGGTCGGGAAGGATCTGTCGGTGGTGGAAGAAGTCATCAGAGTACACAACAAGAGCCAGAGCCAGAGCCGAAGTTAGAAGAGCTGCCAGGTGGTCGTAGTCGCAACAACGGGCTAAAAATGAATGTCAAGATCTACATCACCCGCGCCACGCCACCGGACCGTAGGTACGACGAAAACGACAGCGAAAAACTATCCCTGGACACCAAAGACCAGGAAGAGGAGGATATCATGACAGGTCCACCCGCCAGAATGGAGGGAACCACCAACATCACTGCTCTTCGCTCCTCTTCCCCCCTTCCAGCAGGGGTAGAGATCATCACTTCCGCCCCCAACACCACCACCACCACCACCAAAACAAGCATACACACCATCAGCAGCAACAAGAACAGACCCCCCCTCCCCACCCTAATCAACTCAATCCTCTCGCCCTCAAACCCGCACGAGCACGAGCACGAGCACGAGCACAGCCCCTTCCCAGCGAACAAGACGAAGCAGAAAAGCAAACACGACCGCATCACCATCCTGACCTGCGCACCACCCCGTCTCACCACCGCGCTCAGAGAACAGGTCGGTTGCCACGTCATGGGCGGCGGGAGGGATGTGCGGTGGTTCGAGGAGGGGTTCGGGATGGGTGTTTGACTTTGATTTTGCGCTGAGTGGGTTTGAGGAGGAGGGAATGGATGCATGGATGTGGGTGTGGATGGAAGATGAGAGAAAGGGGAGAAAGGAGATGGGGGAGGGGGGAATAGGGATGAAGGCGAGGCTTCGACATGGTTGAGTACTACTTCGTCCTCACTCCTCGTTACTTTTGGGTTGCGTAGCCGACACAAGCTTCGGATGGCGTATGTGGACTGGATTCTGAGGAAGAAGAGACGAGGGATGGAAATCGCGATGACATGGGATTGGGACGGACTGAGAGGGGTGAACGGCGTAGGAGTTAAGCCGATGAGGAGGAAAAGGAGGAGGAGAAATGAACATAACAGGGCAGCGTTCAAGAAACGACGCTGAATTTTGGTGGATACGAGCGCATTGTAGTGATGAGATTAGATGGGGAGGTCCGTAAGAAAGACTCTCTTGACGCCGCCTTCTACCTACGAGGTCAACAAAGGAGCAGACTTTAACTGGTAACAAGCGCATTCTCGATGGTAGCTTTTTCTGGTTCCGAATGAGCTCTGAATGGATGGATAGATATATGATACACGCTTATTGACGGGTTGAGCTCTTCTCTGGTATAAAAATTGCACAACAGGAATAAAGCTGGATTGACGGCGCTGAGTGGTATGGCGATGCGCAATCTGATGCAAGATATGACAGGACAGGTTGTATAACACCACTCGCTTGCTGCTTGAGACCAAAAACATCGTCTCGTGCTGATAGTACACAACTTCGACTAAAAAGACAAGGCTTCAAATTTGACTGGGACACCCAAGGAATTATAACGAAGAGCAAGCAAGCTGATTAGCTGAAAGTGAACCGAGAAGACAAGCAGCGTGCCACAATTAGCTTCCACAACGCCCAAAATATGCCAGTCACTCGCTCGTCAATTTAATGGTTTACCCAGGCGGAAGCGGAACCATTTGGCGACAATACTTCAGGCGCCACATCTTTGGAGGTCAACGAATCCTTCTCACTGCTTACTCCTCCAAGTTCGAAAGATGGCTCCTTCAATATCGGTTTGGGTTTCGCTGGCGAACGAGCATTCGCCACAGTCTTCGCCTCAATACCCATCATGTCAACGCTGGGATCAGACAACCTTTCTGTGGCTGGGTCTGTTGCTCTCGCTTTCTCTCCGGATAAAGCTTTTGCGGTAGCCTCTGCAGTCACTGCCGTTGTATCAACCGCCGAATCTGGCATTGCTCTGTTCGGTATTTCTTTAGGTCTAAGTTCTGGTCCAGTCTGTAGGACTTCAGTCTGTCGTTTTTGTAATTCTTCGAGTTTCTGAACTGGATTCTGTTTCCCACAATATTGGCATCTCCAAAACAAAACTGGCAACGCAGCAGAACGAGAAGGAGAATCAAACTCTGGCTGGAGATAGGATGAAAAGCGACTAACCCAGTCTTGTTGTTTTGGTACTCCTTCAGCTGCAGGCAGTTCCCCTTCTTCATCTCCTTCCTCACCCCAAAAGCTGGGATGTCTTGGTGCTGGTGTAACTGGCAAACTTGGTCTTTCCCACTCGGTCGGGAAATCTGTAATCTTCATACTCGGACGGCGTTCCGCGTCGACGGGAGGAGATAGTAATGATTGATCAGCTGTTTTGGAGTGTGCAGCTGCTTGATGGAGAACTTGAACTTTCCCTTTCCGCGACTGTACAAATGCCTGAACATATCGTTCGATTTCTGGCATAGCATCCCATGCATTTACTCGAGTATAGCTGTTCCAGGGATCACTTTCCGATGCAGAATTCGAGCTTGATCGACTTTCCCTCGTGAACACTGAACTTTCAGAAGCATCACTTGATGTTCTGGCTTCTGCAACTGGTTCAGGCTCGGGCTCGGGCTCGGGCTCGGGCTCGGGCTCAATATCAGACTCAGGCTCAGGCTCAGGCTCAGGACTTGGTGGTCGTTCCTCTGGAAACACCCGGGTTGGTTTAGGAGCATGTTCTTCCCAGGGAAATATTGGTTTCGGCTTTTCCGTTCTTTTTGGTTTGGATGGCACTTGATAATACATATCTCTAGGTGCCTCAGGATATTTGGGTGCCTGAAACAACGAGGTGTCCTGGTTGAATTCGTAAACTTGTGAGGGGAGGTTCTGAGCTTCTGGCTTCGAATCCGTAGGAGGTGGAGCACTATGTGCGTGTCAGATATTGTGAGACATAAAAATGATTGTACATACCGAGAGGCATCCCATTCCATTTGTGGGGCCGAGAAACGCCTTTGCTCGACAGTTGAGGTAGGTTCGAAGTCTTGCTTGTCTATCTGTTCTACCGGTTCTGGTTGATCACCCATAGCCTCCTCCGTTGTCGTTGCTGGAGCTTCGGGTGGAGGTTCGACACTGATCCAACGTGCCGGCTCGTGCTGAGGTTGTGGTTCTGAAAAGGAGTAACCTAGGTAGGAGGTGGTTTTCTCGCCTGTAACATACTTTTGCACTGTTGTTGGTGTGTCTCGGGTTCGTTCAGTTTGATAAGAGACCTATCAATAGAATCAGTTAGGAGCCATCATGAAAAGGGCAAGGTACGTACGTGCACCCTGTAGTGCTTGTCATATGTTGACCACCACCGTCCAAGGAGTTCACCATATACTCCCGAAGCGTTTTTGTGATCCCGTCCGATGGTCCAAGGCTTTTCTCGACCTATGAAGTGTAATAGACTGATGCTGCTCTGGAAATGCTTGTATGCTGGGATGTATTGATAGCTTCCGCTGGGGGTGCAATTGTAGGCAAAACTCAGTCTCTCCCAATCTTGAAAGTGCATATTCAGTAGCCCTTGATCTGCTCCATCAAAGCTGATCCCTCGTTGAGCGAGAGCAAGAAGTGAGTAATAGTCTCCCAAGTTCGGTCGGAGAACAAGAAGACCACTGTTGAAACAGTCTGGCCAACCAATGTCTGGCACGGCAGCAAAATTGGTGTTGTAATTGAGTAGCTCATTCGGCGCGCGGATCGCCACCATATCCGCATCGATGTACACGATTTGTCTGAATTGTGTCTGTCTCCATAGCTCGATTTTGGTAAAGGTAGATATTAGGTCGGGTCTATCCATTAGGTAGAGGTTGGCAGGGTGTTTATTGACGATTCGCTTGATGGGGATGATCTCGTCGTATACGGTCTAGCCCTCGTCAGCATATAGTGTCTTCGTCTAAAGATGAGACATACCCTCAACTCGGTAATAGTGGATGCGGAAAGGTTGTCAATTGTAGCCAGGACAACGAGTCTCGCTTTGGCGCCCTTGTCTTTCAATGAGTGACCAAGCACCATTGCACCTAGTACACCGTTCAGCTATTGTTCTCGTTCTATGTCGTCTGACTGACCCGGAAGGTATGAATCGTCCATCAAAAGCTATAGCTTTGTCAGTGCAGAACAACGAGGAGTGGGGCAGGCTGGGAGCATACAGTGGCATAGACTGCCTCCTTGATTGGCGCCATGCTGGCGACGAGTATTTGTACTCGACAACCAGATGGTCCAACCCTGTGTTAGGAATGATGCCGAACCCTAAGCACTCGGGGTAAAGTAAACCAAGGTAACAAGATGAAGCTCGTTGGGACCGTACCGCGTTGCTGGAGCTATGGAATTGGAGACGAGGGTCTTGCTGGACCCCGCAATGCAAATGACCAAATTATGCAGATTGGGGGAATCTGGATCTGCTGCGGAGAGCTAACTAGCACATGACCCTGCGGCTGTTTTCAATACCACGTCCACTCCATGCCTCGTACACGCGTGGGAAAGATTGATAGGATGAGGAAAATATAAATAAATAGATGAGGAGAAAGGATGCGGTCGGAGAGTAAAGCAGACGAGCATCTTTAGCATGGTTGTTGAATGCCTAAAAGCCCACAATTCACCTTTAATCTAACTAGTCAGTTAAACCACGCCCGCAAAGCTTAACCTCCCCGGCTGCATCGCTAGCTTGGACTTGGTGTCGTTCGAGCCCCTGTCAGCCATCAAGGTTCCGCTCAACATGCTTTTGACAATTGACACAAGGTGCCAATATTATTGTCATGTAACCCAATGTGTGTGAGCTCCTCTGACGCCTTTCTTTAGCGTGTGTAAAATATAGGCATGGACATATCTTGGACAGCAGTTAGAAACACCCAGGAAAGAGCATCAACCTGTGGAAAGACTCTCTGACTATCTTCTCAACGTATCCCAGCTGTATTTCCTAAAGTATCAACTTGACTTCAAAGTCAACTGAGAACGTCCAAAGTGAAGCTCATCGCTGAGACTCTGGGAGGCTGGAAACACCTCGAATGAGTACATCGCCCTCCGTCAGGGACTCATCGAAAGAACAAAGTTGCATTCTGTGTTGTCTACCTCAACAGTAAATTCTTCCAACTAGAGAACGGTAATGAACTTGTGCTCATTTTCGAGAAGCCGGGAATGTGTCTATTTCCGAGCGGGCGCAGCATTAATCATGCTAATGCATATCGTCCGCTATGTTACGAATCTTAATGGATTTTGGTGGCTATACGAAAAGACATTGAGTGCACAAAGCATGTCCACCTTGGGAAGCATTGATTGAGATATTCACCTCGACTCTGGAGGCAACATCCCAATTGCCCGACAGGAAAGACTGGCTAAACAATTTGTTGCATGTACTTCTCGGCCTGTAAGTGTGTAAAGAACGCATATCCCACAATGCACAAATGATCGTAATCATACAATGAATCGCTTTTAGCAAGCAATGCCGATGCCGTAAGTACAGAGCCACAAAGCTCATGTCAAGCTTCTAAAACAGCCCCGAGCACCCAGCTTGAGACGATAGAATCATTCACCCCCAGCTCCATGCAAATTTCACACACAGCTATGCCTTGCCCGTTCATGCATGCAAAATCAGCTAAGACTCCATCTCCCCATCCATTTCCCTCTGCACTCGAGCAGACCGTCGGATAGTCGTCTCTCCATCATCATCATCATCATCATCCTCATCTGTATCGTCGTACACAGCGCTTGTGGTTGGGTCTTCTCGGCTCCGTACACCATGACGTCCAGAAGCCGATCCCGAGCCTGTCGCTCCCATTGCAATCCGAGCAGCCTGTGGGGTAGTAAATTCTCCCCAATCTGATGCAGAAATCTCCTGGTCTCCATCAAAGAATTGAGCGGTATGAGCTTGGGGTGGCCAATGAGGGCGCGGCGGAAGAGGTCGACGGTTTTGCGGTTCAGCGGTGGTTGGGAAATAGTCATCAAAGGCAGGCACCTCGGATTGCACAAATCGAGATCTGCCGGACTGTGCTTCGGAATGCGTAAATCTAGGTCTGCTGGATGAGCCTTGGCCCTCGCTCACACTTCTAGACGCTTCTCTTCTGACATGCCTATCGAGGTAACCGCGAAGTTGAGGGGCGCCATCATGCTCGGCAAGTGATCCTGGTCCGCCTGGTCTTCGAAACAATTCACTCAATCTGGTATATCGGACTTGTGACAGTGGCACACCCTCATCATCGTCAGCTCCCTCGTCTTCAAATCCAGGCGAATTCGAACCACTTCCAGACACAACTTCTGCATATGATCTGTAACCAGTTGATCTTGGCCGCAGGGTAGGTCGTGTGGCTGGTCGTCTTTCAAGTGCCTCTTCGACAGCATCGATTGTCCCATCATCAGAAAGCGTTTCTCTGCTAGAATCAGCCTCTGCTTCCGAATATATCCCCGGTCTCTCCCTAGTAACTCTGCCCTCGCGCTCCTGATCTTCGGCTAGTCGTTTGAGATAATCTCTCAGTCTCGAAACACCCTCTCCAGAAAACACGCAGAAGACGTCGCGTTGAGGGTGTGTGAATTCAGGTGGTGCGTCGCGACAGAAACGTGTCAGATCCTCTCGGAGAAAAGCTTGTACCCCAGTCAAAGACAGATGTGTGAGTCGAGGACAATACTGTAGTAACTCGTGGATACCCTTCGTGACAGTCAGCATGAATTCATAGCTCACATTTCACGGCAGAGATATACCTGGAGCGTCAAGCTGACGCAATAGCTCAGATGGACTCTCTCAAGACATCCAGGACGTGGGTGAGGTGGCCCACCAGCCATTGCGCCTCTCGCTAGTGCCAGAATGCTTTCGTCGGTCAGCTGTTGGCACTTCACCAATCCAATCCTCCGTAATTTGGGTAGCTGCGCCAGATGTTGAACACTTTGATCGGTGAGTCGATTACAGCAAGCAAGATCGATGTATCGAATTCGGTTGCAAGCCTTGACAAGAGCGATAACAGCGTTATCCGTCAGGTTTATGCAATGTCCAAGGTGGATGTAGTGCAGATTCTTGCCCAAACGACAAATTGCCGCGACAGCACGATCTGTAATGTGTCTGCATTTGGCAAGTACGAGGTTTCTCAGTTTCGGAGTAGCGGGAATTATCCTACAAATGGCGTCGTCACGTACATCCTCACAACCTGTAAGGTCTAGTATGCGTAGGGAATCGAATGTGAGCTTCGGAAGCAGGTCCAGGAAGGCGTTGTCTGAGATTCCAGTGCAATGAGCTAGTCGTAATTCACGTAGGTGATAGAGATAGCTGAGAAGGGCTGTAACGGACTCGGAGGTGATTAGTGAGCAGGAATGAAGGTCTATTTCGAGTATTGAGGAACAATGTTCTGCAAAGGCGATGATGGATTCGTCGGTGATCAGCGGAAGATTGTTCAGTTTGAGCTGGTCGAGCGTTAGAGAATTCATTATGGAGATGTAGATATCTGCTTACCCTCTTGATTTGCCGGCATTTCTCAGCAACCCCTACTAGAGAGTCGTCTGTGATTTTGGAACAATTCGTGAGATTGAGCCCTTGCAATCGCGGACAGTGGCCTGCAACGGTCAATAGCGTGTGGTCAGTCAAAGACCGAATGTCGGTCACATCAAGAGCTTGAAGATGTTTGTTTCCTTCCACCAAGCCCGAGACACCAGAATCGGTCAACTTGGAGCAATTCGTGAGCGTAAGTCTTTCGATCCGCTTGCATTGCATGAACGGCTGGATAGTTCCGTCGTTGACTTTGTCGTGGAGCGTTGCAAGATTCAACCGTCGAACCATCTCATGGTACGGGAAGAGTGGGTTCTTGCTGAGTGATGCCGTCACGTTGATAACGTTCTTCCAGACATTGCACTGGGGCCGATGCCACAAGACTCCCACACAATGTATAGCCCAATTGTAGGAGACTAGCATACAGCTTCGAAGGTCTGCAGTCGAGCTAAGCTTGGCAAAGATTGCTATGAGAAGCTCCGGTGGTAGTCTGGATATTGGGGACAGTTTGTGTTGCTGCTCGAGGTCGATGCTCATGCTCATCTCTCGTAGGTTTGTCACCCCGATTGAGGATTGCGAATCGTTCGCTTGGGCCATGAAGAAATCGGTATCATCATCCACGATTCGCTCAGGTGAACTTGCCGAGTCGTCTGATTCCGAGGGAGCTTGACTTGACACCCTTGGTGGTGGTTGAGGTCTAGATGTTGTAGGACTCGTGTGCCGTCTATTTCTCAAGAACGAGCTGCCTGATTCGCATGGTCGTGCCATATTTCCACCTTAGAATTTTATTATGTGTTTGCGGGTGTGTTTGGCCGATCGCCTGCGCAGACAGAAACCACACAAGTATGCTAACACAGATGCTGCAGCAGGACGGCTCGAAGGTGTCTAAGTTCGTGAACCTTTCATCAATATTGTCATGGAACGGTAAGGCAGGCGAATGGGGATGTTACTCGCAATGTCGCTAATGCGGCCGGTTCTGCTTCGAATAGCACCTCACTAGGTGAAGGGCGAAGGTTCACTAATAGAAGAGGCTTGTAAATCTGTGGAGACCTTGAGCGCTCGGCTGGTTTCGAATCTCAGGATATATTGTGAAAAGAATGTAGGGAAAGGCGAAGTCAGGTCGCGTTGCAGTGGAGTAACGCCGAGAGAGTATTGTTGGTAACCAGGCAGGAGCAGACACTATTAGTCAACAGTATGCACCGTCAGGAGACGCCGAATGTGTTTACAGACAAGAAAGCGCCATATTCGTCAAGATTAGCAAGCAACTTGGAGTTCAGTTGAGTTGAGTTGTCGTGGGAAGCGAGATGGAGGCTCGAAAGATGGTAGGCTAAGCAGGGTAGAATTGGGCATCCCCTGGCCAGCGCTATACTACGTACGCTCTGCGCTATGCGCTATGCCACTGTGCGGCTCGGGTCTGGGTCTGCCTGAGTCTTTGATTGTCTCAGATGGCACTTATCAAGAGCTATCCGAAGACCATGCACATCGCACAAGGGGACAATTCATCCGACTTCCCTTAGCTGGTGTGTACCGACCACCAATGACACAGTTACTCGATTCCAATGTACGATATATTCTTACTGCTGATCGCTTGTGGCCCAAACGCCCACTCACCCAGAGCAAGGTCTGTACACGTCACACTTCCAGCAAAATTGGCCCCAGACGCGCCTCAGTGTAACCGCTCTGTCGATCCCCTCAAGCACAGATCATGTAAAGCCTCTCAGGAGCAGGGCGCGAGAAGCTCGGACAATGCTTCTTTAGACAGTATATACAACATCACTCAAGCCAGAAGACCACCCTTCATGGCCTTTATCGCCACTGAAAATCATGCATTTGTAATCCTTTCGGGCTTTCCGCCCCTTGCCCATTCTCTCAGTACATTCTTTTTGATCTTACCTGTACTTGTCTTCGGCAATTCTTCCACGACTTCGACTTCTTTCGGAACCATGAACCTGCTGATACTGCTGTTATTCTTCGCCCAATGAACCACATCCTCGCCTTTCATCTTTTTGCCGGCTTGAATTGTGACGAATGCCTTTGGTCTTTCTCCCCACTGCTCATCTTTGACTGCGACTACACCCGCTTCGAGGATGTCGGGATGTGTGACGAGCATTGATTCCAGAGCAAGAGAAGATATGTTCTCGCCGCCTGCACATAAATCAGGCCTCGTCTCGGTGAAATGTCTTACCTACTTACCACTGATGATAATATCTTTAGCTCTGTCCAGGATCTGAGCTGCTCCATCAGGATGCATAACGGCCAGGTCACCGGAGTGCAAAACACCTCCTGCAAATAGCTTCCTGGTTGCTTCTGGATCCTTGTAATACCCCTTTACACATATGTTACCGGCAAATACGATCTCCCCAATCTCCTCTCCATTTCGTTCCACGTCAACAATGTTCCCTTCGGGCACATCTGTTTTGATTACCCGAATTGGTAGACTGGACACGAATCCATGACCCTGACGAGCCATCTTCTGGTACCTCTCTTTATCAGGCAGATCATCCCAACCAGGCATGTGGTAACTCTTCGTTATAGGGCCATACGTTTCAGTTAAGCCGTATACATGTACTGGATGTAAGTTCAAACCCGTCATCTGCTCGAACAAATGTGCAGTCGGCGGGCTGGCAGCTACGGTCACTCTGACGGGATCAGGCAGGCGTTCAGCATTGTTATCATTGCACAGAAGTGTGTTGACTGTTGGAGCAGCATTGAAGTGAGTAATGTGTTCTTCCTTCAACAAGCGCCAGATCTCTGGATAGTCAATCTTCCTTAAACAATAGTGTGTGCCACGGACAGCCGTCACAGCCCAGGGGAATGTCCATCCTGCAAAACTCCGTCAGCAACTCACCGTCAGGTTATTCTAACAATACATACCCATAGCATGAAACATCGGCAACGTCCATAAATATCGACATCTTCCTTTGTGGTAATTTAGCCCCGACTCTATCACATTGCCCATAGTGGCCATATAAGCTCCTCGATGCGTGTATTCAACACCTTTCGGCCTGGCTGTGGTGCCACTTGTATATGCAAGAGCCATGACCGCGTTCTCATCAGGGGGAAGCGTCTCGAGGCCATCCCAGCCTTTACTACCAGTCTCTTTATCATACTCCAATCCCTCAAGCACAGCCTCATCGTACGGGCCAGCGAATGGGCCATGTGAAAATTCAGTATCGGTGTCGATCAAAAAGGGGATATTCGGATGGTCTTTTCGGAAGCCATCAAGTAATTGCTGAAACTCCACGTCCACAAGAATCGCATCGACGTCGGCATGGTCAAAGATGTATGTTATATCTTCAGATTTCAAGCGATAATTAACAGCTCCACGCGAGTCAGTTCGTTTGCTCTAAGACTGAAATTCTTCTACTCATACCAACGTTGACTGCACCAGCAGCTCCTATCCCAAAAATTGCTTCAAGAAAAGCAGGCGTGTTGGGACACAAGATCCCAACCTTGTTATATTCTCTCTTCTTAACAAAGTAGGCAAAGCCTCTCGCTCGATCAGCGGCCTGCAGATATGTCCGTCGCAGTATCTGATTGTTTGCGGTACGATGGTAAATTGCAATTGCCTGTATCCAAACTCAACACTTGGCGAAAACACCTGCTTGACTCAAAGCCAGACCTCAGGTTCAATCTGTGCTGCTCGGGGTAAGAAAAAGGTTGGCGACAACGTATGAATATGATGGCAATGCCTGAACTCAACATCAGGCGCATCAGCTACTTGCGGAGAAGATGCGGGGAGAAAATGCGACGCAAGTTTCGCAAGCCTGCTCTTTGCGGCAGACATGTTTGCGCCGTATAGTATGGGATTTAAAGATTTGAATGGCTAGGTACACATTTGGTAGATAATCACCAGTTACCACATATTTGGCTTGAAATGGTCAAGCAACAGTCCACCCATTCAATATTCTTGGGCTCGGCTAAGGCGGAGAAGTACAGGTGAGGGGAAGCTCTTCCATAAGTTAGGCACTTGTTAGGGGCAGCTTAGTGCTTTGCTTTGTGAGTCTGCTAGCACATTTTGGTCCACATCTAATCGGTAAGCCAACCCGAAAAAAAGTGGTAGCAGATTTCTAGAATCAGCCTTACAATGCTCGGGAGCACCGCTACAATGATAGGCAAAACCGGTAGACGAAGAATGTCTCCGCACGAATGTCCTAGACAGCAACCAGGAGTCTGCACCGAAGCTGAATATTGGGACATCAGACGACATGAGCCCACTGAATGTCATAGCAATTGCTCTGTATTCGACAGCCTCGGGTTCTGTAGCCATGTGATCCGCAACCCGGAAGACTGATCGCATTCCTGTATTTTCCACAAAAGGCATCACCAGAGTGCTCGCGCCATTGGAATCTTGCACTCTTCTTGACCGGCCACATCACCCTACACCACCGCTCCTCGTCCGTAGAGATCTCTCCTATCCCATCCACGATCGATTAGTCACAACTTAATAACCATATTTGGCTAATTCCTTCTTTATGTTCTCATCCACGCTTGCTTCCTTCTTTGCCGTCACCAACGTTCTCCTCATCGCCTTCTTCCTCTCGTAGTAGGCTGCGGATTTGACTTTTCTCCTCTCCTCGAGTCTAAAAATGAGGTAAGTACAGGGTAAGCAGGGTGATTGGGTGAGTAGGAGCGGTACCTGGCGACCACATCTTGGTATTTCCAGCCGAATTCGTGACCCAACCGTCCAACAGTGCAATACTTCCTCCCTGGCTTTAGACGGATCACTCTCAATGCCTGAGGCACAACTTGTCTCTGCTTCTTGTCGTATGGTGGTGGGATGCCTTCAAAAACCTTCAGTCTTTCCATTGCGGCGGTGCCACGAGCAGTTTTGTGCGGTATCATTCCTCGTACGGTCTTGTAGAAAATGCGGGAGGGAGCGCGGAAATGGAAGGGACCGCCACGCGTAGGATTGTATCGAGTAATTTTCCGGAGGTAGGCCTGGTACTTGACTGCAAGAGCCATGAGGTGTTAGTATACTGTTTGTCACAATCGCAAAGTGAGGCATTGGTAGGATCCATGTGTCCCGCAGGCGCGGTGGAGGAGATGGACGTGACGCACGCTTTGCTCGGAAGAACTCTCCAGAGATGTTGATGGCTTCGCAACGAACGACGACTATTTTTTGTCCATTCAGCAGCTGCTTCGCTACAGTGCTGGCTAGGCGACCAAGCAAGTGTCCCTTTCCATCGATCACAACCTGTCCATTCAGTCATCAGTGGGTGACCTAGAGGTGAACTGAACTCGAAACCGAGATGACATACGACTGGTTCGAAGGAAGACATCCTGCTGTCACTGTCTATATTCGGTTGGCAGATGGCGTCGAATCGAGGTTGTGTCGTCGATGCTGCACCTGGACGTGGAATGTTAAACTTGCGACATGCCCTAAACTTTTGGTGGTAAAGGGCTGATGTGCAACTTGCCCTAAATCCGAATTGGACCGCCGCAAACTTTAGCAGTGTCAGCTCTTGGCACTTATCCTTGGCATCAGGGGAAGTCTACATGAGTCTTTCGGACTGTCCACTTAGTTCATACCTTACAGTATAATAGACCTGAGTGCATGGATGATATCTCCCGCAGCGGGAAACTCATGATCATGATTTCATATGCTTTTGATCTTTCATAATGCTTACCGAGAGCTTCGTTGCCGCGACGCTTGCAACATCCACCAAGTCCAACATATCAAGCACTCTGAAGGACGTTGGTATTGTCCTACATGGATTTCAACCTCAGAATACTATCAGGCATGGTTTCAAGAAGAGTTCCACCAAACCGAACTGTCTTGCCATCAGCACCACCCACATCTTTGCGGCTCAGGCAGACAGAGCGGTTGTCTTAATCTATAACAGGGAAAAGGGAAATCAAGAAGCAACTGTTCCTTTCCCAGAACGAATAACCAGCCTCAGGTTCGTGGGCGAGAGCAGCGGCTTTCTTGTTCTCGGCACCGAGGGTGGAAGGCTTGTTTTATGGGAGGTAGCTAGTGGACGACAGGCCATGTCTACAGCTTCACATCTCCAACCGGTGTCCTGTCTTTCAGTCCTGCCTGGCAACACTTTCATTCTGTCCGGCTCCTCGGACTCCAATGTCCATATATGGTCCTTGCCGCAGCTTGTCTCATTCTCTCAACCACAATCCCTGTCCTCGCATGGTACACCTCCTAATGCCCCTGTACGGACTTTTTCAAATCATCGTTCCGGCATCACCGCCCTAGCCTGTGGCCATTCGAGACCCTTGACCAATTTTGCTGTCTCTGTATCTAGCGATGGTACTTGCTATGTTTGGAGTACTGCTGAATGTCAAGTACTCCGTACGATCTTGTTTGATTCGGCTTCTCAATGCTTGGCAGTTGATCCAGCAGACAGAGCACTGTACTCTGGCCACGAAGATGGTACAGTTCAATCCTTTGACTTCTATAACGAGTCCAAAATCACCCGAAATAGTCACACTTCAGTGGCATCGAATCCAGTACATCTTGACACCAAAGACAGCTGGTCACCCGCATCGTCCGAAGTCGGTTCAGCTCAGTGCTTAACCCTATCTTATGATGGCACAATCCTTCTGTCAGGCCACTCCAGCGGCCGAATCCTCTCCTGGGATATAGCAAAACATCGCGTACAGAAGGTAGTAACCGACCTCGGGAACTCCGTAACCAACATCGCCATGCAAAGACCAGAAGGTCTACCAATCAAGCGTCCAGGTATTGAAGTCAAGACAGTGGTCAAACCAAAACCTGAGCTCTCCTCATCCTCAAACCACATTGGCACCTCCGGCATCCCAGCAGACTACTCCCTCCAAGTACAAATCACGCCCCAACCGCCACTCGGCCTCCTAACAGCTCCCAACGAAACCGACAACGACACCAACACCAACAACTCCTTCCACAGCCTCCTCACCAACCCCACATTTCCCAAATCTCTCATCGACGAGGCAATCCTCGATCTCACCTTCCCTCCATCCTCAGACCAAAACTCATCACAACAACAAACAAGCACATACGACATCTCTTTCTCCGACGAACCCCCTCAAGACCCCTCCTCCTCATCCAAGATAACAGCCCTACAATCCCGCATCGCTCTCCTCGAAGAAAACCTCAATATATACGTCTCCGCCGCGGAACGAAGCCGTGCCCGCCGCCTAGCTCGTATGGAGAGACGAGACGAGTTCGGTCGTAAGAAGAGGGAGGCGTATCTTGAGGCGGTGAAGAAGGGTGGAGATGCAGATGGAGACGGGGATCTGGCGATGAGGGAGTGGGAGAGTAGGGAGAGGAGTGTGGATAGGGAGAGTGATGAGGTCGAGCTTGGAGAGGAGGTTTATGCTGATGTTTGAGTAGATTGCTGGGAGTGCTCTGTGCAGGTAATGTCGACGATCGTGGGCTCTTGGAGATGAGGGAGGACGTGAGAAAGGCGTCTGATGGGTAGGTAATGTCTGGAGTGGGAGAGGGTGCTATCGCCCTGTAGATAATCATCCAGACCTTGCGGGTTGCTGGAGCAGATCATCCCCTGAGCCTAACTCGCCGCTTTCGACGTGAGAAGTTGTTAATCCATCTACTGCCCTCCAGGAGAGCATGCTAGGCATCTCTCTTCTCCATCATAAAACCGAGGAAGTCCGACTTATTATCACAAGGATGTAGTGAAAGCATGGTTAGGTGATGCTCGGATGCCCCCGCTACGAGAGTCTCTCTAGCCTATGCGGGGTGTGTATTGGTACGGAGAGCGTAGAGAAGTTCAGAGACCAGGATTTTTCTGTCAGCAACCCACATAGGATGGGTAGACACAAGCGCTTGCTAATCTAGAATCAAGAAACTCAAGCAAAACTGAGGGGAGCTGAAAAGTGACACTGCACAGCTCATCCTTTTTATTGCGACTCAACTAAACACCCATCCTGTTCAAATCAGGCTCAACCAATTGATAGCTGCCATTGCCTTGATCAAGTTTCCCCTCAGATCGAGATGCACACCATCGAACTTGTTGGCCTGGATACTCATATTCCAGGTGCCGAGATGCTCCACCCCTCTTTCCCTCGCCTCCTCTCTCACCGATTCCTCAAAAATTTGTAAAGCTTTGTCTCCCTGCGTAACTATCCATTGATCTGGTTTAAGCGGCCCTGCCGCATTTGGCGTGATAAAGAGTCTTGGCCAGATGGCTCCCTTGTCGGCAAGGTATGGTGCCACGGATAAGGTATGGGCGTTGATGCCATCGAGCCAGTTGACAGTTGCTTGGAGATCGAGATCGTTCCAGAGGCCGTGGCCGAAGATAAAGGCATAGGGTTTGGGGGGCTTTGCAGGAGATAGGAGGGCTTTGAAACGTTCAACTTCGGTGGGGTCGAGCGGGAATTTTAGCATCATTTCGATAACGAGGTCGATCCTGCCACTGCCACAGGCGAGGGAGTCGGGATCGTTGGTTTCGACATCGGAAGTTTTGTAGATGCCTTGCAGCGAGCATTCTTTGACGTCAAATTGCTGGTTGCAGAAGCATTCTTTGCTGCGAGGAGTGTGAGTATTGTAGAGATTGAAGATTTGTGAGTACTAAGCACATACCGTTCTCTGGGTGAGAAGTTCCAATTGGTAACAGCACCGTAGCCAAGGTCTTTCCGTAATAGGACATTCATAGCGCCAACCACATGTCTCATCATGCTGTCTCCAACGACGATGACTTTTTCAAAGCGTTCGAAGATCTCGCATATCTCCTCTGTGCTAAACCATCGCATGTCGCAGCCTCGGGGCATAAAAGGTGCTTCTTTACCAATTCTCCCGCCTCCCGATATAGCAGTCAGCATGTCGGCGCGACTAGAGCACAGCGGGTGAAAAGGGGTATGGAGGTCGAGGCTGGAGATCTGGCATTTTGTATGATTGCGGTAGCGGTAATTGATAAAAGTGTCGAGGGAGTCAGGAACACGGCTCATTGGCACGGTGATTGTTGAAAAATCGTAGGTAGGAAAGTGTGATACGGCAAGGCCGAATTCTTTTGTAGGACAAGAGGCTTTGTGAGCAGAAGATTGAAGGGAATGCTTCGCAGTGTCAGTCACAACCTTGGACTTGAATAGGGAGTTGCACTTACCGAGAAACCAGGCAGCGAGAGGAACAGAGCTGCTGCAAGTAAGAGACCGAATAAAAGCAGATGTAACCGATTCCACTGGCAGAGGCACTTCCTGCGGCGCCATGGGAAAGGAGCAGGCAGACCACAGAGGATAGGTTTGGTGGCTGGCTTCTCAAGTTCCATGCTGGGTATGACTTGTGTTGAATTTAATCTGTCAACGACGAGGCCTCTGTAGACACAGTGCTTGAACCATAATCCGGAACAAGACTCGGGCATGAGGAGGTTGTGCTTGACCTGCTGGCAACCAATAAATTTGAACCTTCCAGGTGAATGTCAGCAAGGCTTGGCAAGATCCTGCTTCACAACTGTATTGAAGTTGGTTTGGAGTTCCCACCCGTGTTATCAGGTCCAATGCCTTCGAGCCAGTTCTCAATCCTCTTCTCCGTTTCAATCTGGTGACAAGGTACATCGCGGATGCCCGCCAGGCCTCCAGATGACTGGATCTGACCTTGAAGAGTACGCAGGTTCTCCTCAGTTAGCCTACCATAGTCAGCTTCAGCAGAGCTGGGATGCGCGGCTACCGTACAGTGCTGTATCTTGTTCGGCTTGATGCTCACTCGCGTGAACAGGCGAGCGTGCTCCAGAGTCTTGCGTGCTGTCTCTAGCTGATGAGGAGGGAGACATAGCTAGTTCATCACAGTTGTGGAAGGGAGGGCAGCATGCAGATAAGTCAGATCCACGAATTTAGATAGGGAAATTGTGATTCCACAACTTGAACATCAACGTTGACCAAAGTCATGGCGATCTAGCCTATTCCAGCGCCTTTGACTATCTGGTCCACGTTTGTTATAACAATCACCTAAGTCAGACTGACAACCAGGACGATCGTGCCGGCTCCAAAGGCTTAACCAGTGGTATCGTCTTCTGAATGCGGAGATCGATCTGTGTTAGTTCCTCTTCCCATCTTCTCGACTGAACAGCTGCATCTTCTCGACCAAAGTTGAGCCAACCAGATGATTTGCTACCATTCTTGTTCTCTTTCTTCTCTGCCTCCTTGGCCATCGACCTTGCCATCTTCTTCCAATTGTTGAGGCCTGTCTCCAAACATTCTTGACACCTTTCACCACCATCCTTCCTGTCTTCTTCTTTCATCATCCACATGATAGCCTCAGCGGCCTCAACTGCATCACGTGTCCATGAAAGTCCTTTCTCTTTTGACGATGTAGCATACAGAATCTCGCCAATATACGTCATCAGACCTACCTCCTCGCACGCTTCTTCCAGAGTATGGAAAGGAGGCTCATCACCGGATGGAGGGCTTGCCGGATACGGAGCTTCAACAAGCCAGTCTTTTATCGCCCGAAGATATGCTGAAATCACACTCTCTTCCTTTGGCTTGCTCAACTCTTTGGGCCGTGCATGGGACAAAGGGTCTGGTGGAAGATCTTTTCTTGCCTTCAACACACTCAAAAATATAGGCAAAGCCGTCTGAACATTATTGTGGAGAGCATGGTGAACCCCAAGGGCGGTACTCGCCTTAAGCAGATTTTCCGAGGCAGGAGCTTCAGCAGTGGGGTTGATGACACCAGTCTTCATATCCACCACATTTTTTGAGCCCATTGGCAAGGCCCCTGCTGCAATGTCCAGAGCCCAATCATACATGCTTTCTGCTGTCTCAGCCAGACCCTTAAAATCAAGCCAATCAGCATAGGCAAGAGCAGCATCGAGACGTTGCCTGGTGCTGAAGCCTTTTGTTGTCAAAATCCTCATATAAAAGACTTGTGGACTGGCGTAAGCAGGATCGCAATCTTCCTCCTTAGGAGGATCTTGCCAGCCGTGGGGCTTCGGCTTTGGTCGAGGATTGGACGGCCCTATCATCATCTCCTTGGGAAATACCTTTTTCCTTTTCCTGTCCGTAACGTAGCCGTCGAGGTGTTCTGCAGACCTAGCAGCACCCATAAGCGCCTGGTGATACCCTCTTCCCCAAGATTCTGGCTTCATGGAGATATCAAATCCTGTTCGACCAACGCCATCCACTAGGATGCCACCTTCATCCTGCTCCATGAGATTCTGGCCGTCGATTTTGGGGTCCTCAAGGCGTTCCAGCAACAGTTTGTAGTACGATCCAACACGAGCCCAGTCAACTATCACACCATCAATCCGTGAAAATGGTTCAAATTCTCTCGTCATGGCAGAGCGCAATACCCAGCGGCTCCCAAATGACCATTCGCGCGGAGTCGGGTATTTTCTTTCGAGGTAAAGCTGATGAATTCCGGCTCCTGCTAACATGATCATGATGGCGGCTGGCCAGAAATATGCATGGAACCGCAGTTGCCATCGCATCCTCTCCTTCCATCGCGCCTTTCTCTCGGTGGAGAGGAACCTGTTGAGTTGGGAGGATAAAGTGACATTCTGTTTTGACCTTCGAGGGGAAGAATGTAGAAAGGGAATCTGTGGTCTGGTAGCAGAAGGGAAGAGAAGGAGGAGTTGGGAGTTGTGTGTGAAGAGTCGAGGCCGTGGTCGATGGCGGACTATATTGTTCGGAGGACGCAGAGGCCTTCTGAGGTGAGCTATCCTTTGTAATAACATAGCATAGATTGTATATCACAAGGAATATGACGCTTGTGGCCAATGGGACTCGCCGGTGTGATCTCTGTTCGTGAGGTCAAAGTGGTAGCTAGTTCTAGCTGCCAAGCCGGCATGGGCTCACCTACTATAGTACTACTACTAGTAGTAAGTACTAACTAACTTAGTAGTACTTAGTACTATTAGTACGTAGTAACCTGAGGTGAGGAAGCCCTACAGCAAACGAAGAGACGTGAACTGCTCGTCCTACCCAGCCCCCACCACCTCAAGCCCATCAGTTATTACCGGCATAGCTCTGGATCAGCTAAATGTACCCTTCTAGTGCAGCTTTAGAGGATTCTACAATGCTCCGTGCTACAGCTAAGTCAGGGAGGATGTCGATGGATGCTCTCTCATCAAGCCTTTGCTTTCTGTTTGCTCCACACTCGAAGCGAAGGGATGCCTTCATCGTCAGTGAATGATACACGTTGTTTCCAGCTGAAAGAAGTTTACATCAATTGGCCTTTGTGTCAGGCTGGAAGATTCTTATCACTCGCAACATTCGCCTGAGGATGGACCATTGGCAAGAACTGGGCTTGATAATGTCGCTTGTCCTTCACCTGTTTCTGCATCACTTCTTCTGTAAAGGATCAAATCGAGGGTCAGGTGAGGCTGGAACTCGGTCGTCACTCAGCTGAAGGTTTATTCAGAAGCGGTCCAATTCATGGCCAATTGACAAGGTGCAGAGTTAACTACAAGATCAATCAACATCTCCACGTTGAGTGCATTTCAGCGCTTCCTAAGTTGCATCAATCTCTAGTAACCTATTCCGCCAAAGTCCAATCGGCTGAGTTGTGGCTCCTTGAGCCTTCTGGCTTTTGCTTGGTTCTCATCTTGCCATATTGGTATGCAATGGCGGTGGCACATGTAATATATGCTATGGGTCTTGCCCGACTCAACGTTATGTACAACTCAGGACTGGTAGGCCACGGTTGCTGCTCCTGACCCTGACCTTGGTTATATACTCTGTAGGCCCAGATGCTGAAGATATGCCTGCATTGTTTTGACCATCATTATCTTGCTTTTGGTAGATAACTTGTGAAGTCATGTGTTCCATAAATCACGGAGTCTCTACCAGATAAAGGTTGAGGACAGAGTATCAAGAACAGTTTGAAGTCACAGAAGCCTGTCCATAGACTGTGGAGCTGGAAAGGTTGTCCAGACTTTGAGATGAGAGGGTCAGAGTAGGGGTATCGGCTCAGCGGTGGCAAGGCGTAGACTCAGTATCTCCTAACAAGAAGACTGTGCTTCTGTCCACCATGATGAAGATGAGTACAGTTTTTTGAGGCATGAAAACCTGCGGTATAGTAGCAACGCAGTTGTGCATTCTACTACGTAGTATTCCGTAGGGTCGGTAAAACTTCGGCGCACCAGCACCAGTTCAGCTGTGCAACTCAAATTTTCGGCCTCAACCACAACAAGAGATTGTCAAAGCGACAATCGGTACTCTTCTTCAGCTGTTGAAACTCCCACCTGGGCCTCCGTTTGCTCCCAGCAAGATACTCTTGGATGTACATGACAAATTTCATGCCGTTGGATAGTCATGAGTATAGCGGTGAGTATAGCATCACAGGAATTCGCATCAGTCCGTTGGCCGATCACAAGGCTGGAACAGTCCTGGACCGGTATAACCCTATCCTTTCCTCAAGTAGCATCCAGCTTATCACAGGAATGCTGAATAACCGTCAGCGGTCTTCTTCTGATGTCCATTGTTCAATGGCGGTCCGAAATCTGTGACCACGCAGAGGAGTACAGGCCGCCGAGCCAAATATGGAAGACAAACTTGAGCCAGGCTCTTGAGAAGCAGCTTCTAGAATCCGAACGTGGCAGGGCCTGCTCGACCCATATCGCCTCCAGCATGAATTCCCAGACCGTGCTTCAAAGGCGGCAATCATGGAAAGGCCTGTTCAAGCGAGACTGGACTTCGTGGACCCTGCATCCTTCCCCGCATACTGTGCAAATCAACAGGTGTAGTGTCCTGTTGCCTGACAGGTCTTTTCTCTCTGACAAACGGTGGACGGTAACACCGTGGAATACATGCCTGACCAGGAACGGACTGGGACAGGATGTAGGACCAGAACGATCTCCACTCGCTGGGTATACGACTTGAGGTAATGTGATAAGAGATCCTATGGTCTCCACCCAGTGTGATTCTTGACGGTATCGTGAGCATATGTCGCTACGATAGGTGTAGCAGCTCCAGTGAGTGGAGACTGTCCTTGCCTCCATCGCTGTTGTGTATTTGGAAAGGGTAGGAGCAGATGGGTCTGATGAGTTGCGATGTCATTCTGACTCCCTGTTAATCCTCTTCTCTCTTTCATGCCATACCCAGCATCCTTATTCCTCATCCTAACTCATGTCTTTTGCTTTGCCTCTGCTCCTAACATAGCATCTGTTTTGGTCATATATTTTACCTCTGTCCAAGGAATTATTCGGCACAATTGATCAGCAAGATCACCACAACAGCCAAAGCTACCCCGCACAGCCTCTTCCCAGAGTCCCGCATTCCCCTGTCTGTCTTTGGTACGTACCTATGCATTAGGGCTTGATGCTATCCCCCGTGGAACCTGCAATAGCCATGGCTGTTGTGCACCCGGTACTGGATAAAGGGCTTTTCTCCGAACATGGCTGACTTTGCGTTTCTAGGTGCTCTTGGATATGATGCGGAAACTCTTCTCACTGTACGGCCTGCTAAACTCTTGCTCGTGCTTGCAGTACTTGTAACTGACCTATTCACCCGGTGTTTCGATTAGTCGTTGGCGACCCAAGATTTTTCGAACAACAAATTTCTGCGGGCTACAAGATCCACTGCGGCAACTCCAAACACTCTCCATGCTCGCCATAATCTCCCTCTTTATCTTTCTATACGCAATATGGGTTACTCCACAATCTGGCGAAAGGCTTCTAGCCTGTGGTGGCTCTTTCTATTCACCGTCGAATGTACTTGTTGGGCTCCATTTGAAAATCCTGACCTGACCGACCCTCAGTCCACTTGCTTCGGTGACATCCTCTGTCCTTTTGTCGACGGCATCCCTACCCTCCGCTGCGATCGTGCCTGTTACCAATATGAGCGATATGCGTAGGTGCTTCTAAGGAGAAGAACTGAATTCGCAGCTGACGGGTGGATTAGCTGCACTGATGGCCGACTTCTGGCTCTTGATCCGCCAAACCCGGACTCATTTGCTCCGCGGTGTCCGAACCAAGCCACCTCGCTCCACCTGAGCGATCCCCCATACGAGAACTACTTCTACTCAGACTGCAATGTTGATGCTCAAGTTGTCGTTACTACTCCTCTGCAAACCAGCGACCTCTCGATTATTAGCCCCCGGCTTGTTATTGCATGGCCAGCTGGGAATAGTGGTGCGTGTGCCTTTTTTGAGCCTCAAGATGGAAAAAACGGAAGTCTTGGAATCGAGCTAGTCTCCAAGGCTACTGGCTCTGATCTTTCCCCTGTCTACGTAACAAATTTCCTTTCAAAGTATCCGAGTGTTGGGGTTGAGGGCATTCTACACTTCAACTCCTCCGCCTTCCTAACCCTGTCCATTCTTGGCAGTGTCCGGACCATCCGAGACTTCACCGAGGGGCCGAGTATTCTTCCTCCCATCATCCAAGACGCGACTTCCCTGCAGTCGACAAAAAATGGAGGGGTTTCCTTGTCTAGGTTATGGTTGGACAATGAAACTAGGATCACACTTTCTTTCTCACCACACGGCAATGGTACCATTACTGTCGAGGAAGACCAAGTTTCCTTCAATCCAGGCATATATACCTTCTCAGCTCATCTCAACTATCCTCAGCTCGAGCAGCTTACGCCCCAGGAGGTCTTCAATCCCGCTTCCCAAGAACTTGCGACGCAAATGTCCGATGAAGCAACATCACTTGCTTTCTTGTCGTACACTGAGAAGCTGCTGGCAGGAGCTTGGAGATTCTTGACCTACTTTGGTCGGGATTCTATGATTTCGGCACTTTTGCTACAGCCTGTACTCAGCGAAGGCAACGGTGGTGCGATCGAAGCTGTGATAGGCGCTGTTCTTGAGCGTATCAACAAGACCGACGGTACAGCTTGTCACGAAGAGACGATCGGCGATTATGCTACCTATTTGAATCTCGTCGAAAAGAACATCTCCAGCACACAGCCCATTTTCGATTACAACATGGTTGATACAGACTACTTCCTCCCAGTCCTTATGCAACGATATTTTCTGGGCAGTCCCATGGGCATGTTACGTAGCAGAGAGCTGCTGGCAAGAGAAGCTGGCGCTATCGATTCTACCAATCGGGGTCTTAGATATGGAGATCTGGCTCGGCTGAATGCCGAAAAGATCATGGACAACGCGGCACCATTCGCTGCCCCTGGTGGCCAGGTTAAAGAGAACATGATCCGTCTCAAGGAAGACACGGTGGTTGGGCAATGGCGTGACAGTACTTATGGCAGCGGTGGTGGCCGCATCCCGTATGATGTCAACACAGCTTTGGTTCCTGCTGCCTTGCGTGCTATCGCTGCGATATCCCGCTTCGACCCCTCGATTTACGCCGGACATGACGACTGGGCTGACCTGGCTGATGAATATGCACAAGTGTGGGAAGACGAGACGCTTCCCCTTTTCCAAGTCACAATCCCGGCTGACGAAGCTCGGAATCGTCTTGAGAGCTTCGTATCAACAAGCGAATATTACAACGGGCCAAGCCATGCAGATAGCATTGACAGCGACGTCATCTTTCACGGCCTTGCCCTCGAGGGAAACAATGACATTCCGCTTGTCGATGTGATGAATACCGATGATTGCTTCCGACTTTTCCTGTTGAACACCACCAATGAAGCACAGCTTACCTTGTTTCTCAATCAATCTGCTCTGAATGTTCTTCGGCCCTTCCCAGCAGGTCTGATGACCTCCGTTGGTGTTGTCGTTGCAAATCCAGCTCTTGGTGAAGAAGAGATCTTACGGACAAACTTCACCAACAATGCCTACCATGGGACAGTCGTATGGAGCTGGCAGCTGGCTATGATTGCCAGAGGCCTTGAGACGCAGTTGGCCAGATGCAACGATGACAAGGCGCCAGCCTTCTGTGCTGATAGCAAAGTCTATGGTAATGTCAAGCTTGCTTACAATACTTTATGGGACAATCTAGAGGCAAACAGGGAAACCCTGTCTCAAGAAGTTTGGAGCTGGCGTTACATGGACAACGATTTCCAATTCACGCCACTTGGGTCTTTACCACCTCCTCCTGGAGTAGGTGGAGGCACCGAGTCAAACATTCGGCAACTATGGTCCTTGACCTTCTTAGCGGTCAAGCGGAATGAGGCGTTCAAGTGATGGGAAAGGCAGGATGCCATCATAGGATACTAGCTAGTAGCATAGCTAATAACACTTCAATCAAAATGAGATGATGCTCACTTGAAAACAAGCTTCCGAGAGTAGATGATTCATACAGATGACTATCTCCTCTGTTGTTCCTTGTTCTGACACCAAGCGCTCTTTCATCCACCCACGGCTGCAATCTTGCCATTGAGAATCCGCCATTAAGGTCCACATATCAACTTTTTCTCTAAGCTAGTACTACTTATGATTCAATCTACGGCTTATGCGTGACACTAATGCAGTTAGCAACGACACCTAGTAGGGACAGGTATTTCCACATAGCGAAATTCTGATGCTTGGATATATCTAGTGTAAATGGCTTGGCTGCTACAGGGATTTCCGACCACTGAGCTTCTCTATTCCCAAACTCAGATATCGATGAGATGACCATGATATATCATGGACTTCCACAGCGCAAGAAGCAGTACATCTCCCACAAGACCGATCTTAATACGAAGGCTTCGGATGAAGAGGACGATGGTTACGGGCCAAGAAGATTCTTCGTCATCAGAAAGGCGTGCTGCAACCTGTGGGGGAACCAGCAGCGGTGGCGCTTACCTTCTATGCAGGTGATGGATCAAATAAGACAGAATGTTGATACAGGACCTCTGCTGTCTTGCGGCACGGACTTCCAAGCCGAGATCGTAGTGACCTTCGTGAAGCAACAGGCTTGTAGTCAAGCGACTACCGTAGTATTCAAGGCAGAGACCACAGCAATGCCGAATGGCTTCAAGCTATGTGTACCCACCATGGAGGACTGAATTGAGTAGGGACTTGGAAAAGCTGGGCCCAACAAACCACAGAAGCGAGATCCCATGTGCACTTACAGTTTCAGGAAACATGGGAGAGCACGAACTGAAGAGAGCAACTTCTGCTGCCCTGCGGGCGATGTTGATGGGGAGACACCATCGGGTACAGGTATGATCCAATGAACATGCATAAGCCATCGGAGATACTTGTCTTTTTCCAGGAAAGCAAATGCTAAAGCATTACCAATCATTCTCCCTCTTCCTGTTGCTTTGGTTTGTCCTCTGCGTCAGCCGGTGTATCCATCAAATCAAATAAACCAAATCATGGCCCTCATTTGATTTGCTTATCCAACCAATCCCAGAGGTCGACTTGACTTGGGTTGGCTGGTTTGCCAGATGGAGTCAATCGGTACCAGTAAACAATATTTTTTTAAGGACTGTGAAGGATTTTCAAGAGTCTGCCAAGACTTTTATCTTTTCATCCAAAATCACCCTGAACTTTACTTCAGTCAAGATTTGCATTGGCGGACTTGGTTTATTTGCCAAGCATTGGATTTGGCTTAGTATTTGACTCGGTTTGATTCAAACGGACACATTGGCGTCAGCATTGCAATGTTGTAGCAACAATGCAGAATTCGAGCGAGTATTGTTAAGGATATCACAAAGTGGACACAATGCCAACTGAAAATGCTTTGTGTGCAAGAACAGAATCCTACACACTTTCGAGCAGACTTTCTTTGTCTTTGGCGACGTTTTTGATATGCTTGACAAAGGTCATATTGACCTGCTTTGTGGAAAGTCTTCCTGTCAATGATCGACAAAGCTGTGATCACGAGTTGCTCGTCTGAAAGTTGGAGACTGGATGGTGACCGTATACATATAAAGTATGCTAACAGGCTCTCTTGTCCCAGGCTCTCCACGCACCCAGCAAAAGCTTGAGAGAGAGAGGTATTCAATCAACTTTTTCGACCGAGTCTGTTTGTTCCACCAAAACCTCAAGCTTCCAATCTCAGTATTCGAACGCCGGTCGTTTAGAACTACCCTGAGTCCGTCAAAACTTTCGCACAACAACACCACCATGCTTCCCACACTGGTTCCCATGCCTTTCGACCTTGATTTCATGGTGCGAGAGACAGCCGTCTTCATCAACCTACACCAACTCGAACTGGTTCTCCTCCTGCTAGATGAACATGTCGACCCCATCGACATTCCCGAATACGTCCGCGAGAGACTCTCCGGCGTTGAGCTCACAGTGAAAGACGTCGTGGAGATCAGAAATGGCAATTTTCACATCTCGGGATCAAACTTCCACGTCAGGATGCCATCTGGGAATTTTGTTCATATTGACATTGTTGACGATTACTTTTCGCTCCTTCCTACCATCTCCTCAATGAGCGAGCTGCAGCGCCAATTTCAAGACGAATACGGTGTCCTGATTGATGACCACGACATGTTAGACATCTTTTACGGTGCGTTCCATGTTGTTGGTCCTAAAACAATCGATCTCACTACCAAAGAAAAACATTTTGTGCCAAGATCAGACCTCTCCGAAGCCATATGGATGTTTGAAAGAGGCTTCTCTGCTGATTTCATCTCCAGATATGTCTGGTATCGGTTTCATTCTCGCCTCCCTGCTCATGAATTGGTCCGCCTTGCTCTAGCAAATAACGAAGAAATTGTCGAAGACGCAGCTTTGTTCGCAATCTTGAAGTCCGCTCCTGCAAGAGTCCGTCCATACCCGCCTTGCTTGAAACAGACAGCACGTCGAGCTCCGCCCCCATTGCCAATCATGACGTTTCCTCAAGTTTTCGACGATCCCGATGTTGAAGCAGTGCGACGTAGTGGAGAGACCTTTACCGCAAATCCAGCTGTGATCTGCCATTTTGATGACGGAACATACTCTCTGTACACCGATTTCCAGGGCCACCTTGAGTCTGCTAGCAACACTCCCACCTCCACTTACTCTGACGAGACGGACAGTGGACCTGAGTCAGACTCGATATCAGAGGAATCAATCAAGTCCGATGTCGCTTCCCGTGTTCTGGTTCACCTTCAAGACGGCGATTATTTGGTAGACCTTGAACAACCAGACCTTGACTGGATCCAAGTCCCCCGTCTTGCGTCTCGAGACCATTCTCCGGAAGATGACCGTCTTTCCTGGTTCCAAAGTGCAACCGAGATGTACCTGCATATTCCCGTCACTGATGATTGTGGTATACAATCACTATCACAGATGGAATTGGACATTGATAGCAACTTCGACAACGACCTGGCCTTGGAAGAGTTGACCCTCGCTCATCACCCAAATCCCTTTCGTTCACACCCGATCGAGGTACAGGCACAAGACCCAGACACGGATTTTGCTGGTCTACCGAGCCTCGGTCACACCACTCTTGACAACCTAGAAACGGAAAGCGGTGGTGATTTTGAGTCGCTCTTCTCCGACACTGAGGGTTCGATACTGTTCGACCAAGAGCTCGATGCCATCTTCGCAGATGCGGGATTCGTCGACCTTGAGAGAGGTAATCCTCATTCCGACTCAATTCTGGACCTCGACCTGGAAAGGGGACAACCACAATCCGAGATGCTCTTTGACGTCGCGGACCCATCGTTGGATGATGAAGATCCGTTCCTCCTCCAAGAACCTCCACGCAAGAAGAGAAAAAGCTCATCGCTCTTCTCCTTGGGATGCAGCAATCAGGTGCAGTAGGTCGTTCCTTGTCCCGTTCATCCCTCTCATGCCGTCCGTTTGCTTTCTACTGGCGTCCTGGTAGTGTTTAATTGGGCATTTGCAAAGGTAAGTCAGGTGCAAGGCGTTGCAGCAGTTAGGTATAGTATGGTTTCTTCCTCTCCCATTTCAACCCCATTTTGTGAGTTGCAGTTTAGCTTTCACTCAATGCCGGACACTTAAAGCTCCCATACTCCCCCTTCCATTTTCTTAGTAGCCGTATGTAGACCCATCAACAGAAATGCAGAAGTAGCATGAATAAGTAGTCTTCGTTGGACGCTTCCCACTTAACAACCTCCTCAAGCCGTAGGATAGTGAGTCAACCGACTTGCTGCATTCTCCCGCAGCGCAGATAACCTCATAAGCATCGTCTCTTCTCATTAGTACCAGAGCCAGCGTCAAAAATTGTATAAAGAATCCTTTGAAAGAACAAAAAGAAATGTATGATGGCTGGTCCCACTGAGGCTTGAACTCAGAACCTTCACATTGCAGGAATTAATGGACCCTATTAGTGTGACGCGCTAACCAATTGTGCCATGGGACCGATCTGGGAGAAACTGTTTTTAAGAATTATATAAACCTTTATTGTTATACCTTGATTTGGTGTTACATCTTTGTTTCCAAGCAAGCTAAATTGAGATCTCTACCTGACGTGACGTCTGCGAGATTACCCTCTTATGTAAAGATGGAAAATCTTCATCAGTTTTACGTGCATCATCATCCTCCTTGTATGTTCCTATTCGCCTTAAGTTGGTGATGAACTACAAAAGTCAAGACTCAATCATCATGCTAGATCCTATCAGATTATTTACGGTGAGAACAAAAGTGGTGCAGTGCAAGAGCAAAGGATCACTACGTGCCTTCAGGACCAAGTTGAGAGGACGGCACAAAAAATTCTTAATGTGTTCTGCCAATTAGAGAGGGGCTCTGAAAATGACGCGGTATTGGTCCTTTAATTCAACAGACGTTTTATTTCTCTAGGGATTGTCAAGAGGCTCAAATGACCATAATTTAGCCATGATTTGATTGTCATTTTCCTAGAATAACGTCTGAAATAACATGATTTTATTAAATTTCAGATGTTTAACTGCACAATTCTATGTGCACTACGGAGTAGATCATATCACGCTGAGGCTGGAACTAAGCACACTGTGATGGTGATTTAGGCATACTTTTCAGAGGGTCTTCTCCTGCCAAGTGCCTTGCAACTCGTCCGGCCAATTAAGGAGGCTTGGCGGACTGTCGATGTTCAAGCTCGAGTGACTGGAGACAATTTTGCAGGGCAAGTCACTGTGGACGGCTTTGAAAGGGTGCATGCAGCGGCTGTTGACCTTTCAACTGAGTCAAGGATGCACACCAATCCCACGAAAAAAATTAACTACGACCCACTCTGGTGTAACAATGGCGATTTCTACAGTCCACAGCGAGAAACAGTGCCAAGACATGCAGATCTACCGTAGCGGAACCTGACGCCTTGAACGACCAGGCCGTGGTTTGTCTAACACGCCCACCATTGAGAGCAGATCTGGCTGCGTGCAGGGTGTAGCAGAGCTCCTCCCTCTGTACAGTGGGTTTGAATGGGCTTCTTCAGTCCCTACATGGTTAAGTATATATGTTCGACATCCAGAACAAGTGCACGTGCGACCCCTTCCGTGGCAAAGCCATTCCCCTGTCTCTCTAGCTACAACAGTATAGCGTGTGTCTTGAGCAGAGCTATGCACTTCGGGTCGATGCTTACTCAAAGTCCACAAGAGAATGGCCCATAATAAATGCAGGGTAATGTCCCAGCATTAAACCCTACATCCCATAAATCCGCATTTGTCCCTCCAATGTCAAGCTGTCGATTCAGGCCTTGTCAATGCTAACTAAAAATTAAAACCAACAGTTCTATTGTTGACTATGCGGAAGCCCACAAAATCTGAAACGGATCGACCTGGAGGTCATCGCTGGAAATGTCAAGATATGACGTCTATTGAGCTCGCTTCAGACTTGGGACGAAGACCCCATACAAGTCCAGGAGCTTCCTTGGTAGTTTAACGCCGTCGACGGCCATATGAATAGTATAAGATCAATACCACAATCAGTACTACAAGCGATCCACTTCCAAATTTCCTGATTTTAGCTGGACCTATAAGTACATACTCTCTGATAAGTATTTGTGTCGCCGCCGATTGAACGGAGATGTGTGACCCATTTCAGGACCACCCATTATAGATGCAAGGACAGGCTAAAAAGCCCTGAACAGGGTGTATTCCTACAAGAAACTATCTAGGAGTCGAAGCCCGCACTCGTCCTTACTATTCAACCCCACTCAACAAACCCTTGAGTAGCTTAGCTCCCCATCCAATTCTCGAAATCTCAAACCTCTCAAACACCCTTCGAAGTTGCACTGCGCTGTGAATCGACCTATCAGGCTACACGAACTGTTGCGGGTAGTCAACCACAAATGACCTGATATTCGCCTTCACTTTTTCCACGCTGATTTGCTGATCCTGCGCTCTTCCTTACTCACAGGTGTATGTTCATATAGTAGTACCCAATACTCACCCTTCTCTCCGTAGTCACCTCCGTCCCCATCTCAGACTTTCACGAAGCCCTCCCGCCAGCTGTGCACCTGTTTTGAGAAGTGTCCGTCCAGGGCAGCTGCTCAGCACCACCAAATTACGTTATCCTTCCTAGATGGAAAACTTGGCGGCCAGGAAGCATGCCAAGAGTGCATCCATGTCTGCTTCATTCATGTTTGGCTGACTCGTGACGTTTTATTTCCTTTGGCGCGTTGAAAAAGCGAGGTAACAATCAGATGAGGAAAGCGTGCTTTTTGATGGATTGAGATTGGTTTGGTCCATTGGATGGACGGGGAGATGGAGACGACTAAGTAGTTCTTGTTGATGCCACGGGAGCTTGGGAGTCATACTCATGGGGAAGCCAGCTCGATATTGCTATGATTACGGTCAGCTTTGCTGGCTGGACCATACATCTCTTGCATACCGCAACCCGCTTTATTGTTGACCCAATGACAAGGAAACCATAGCGAAGAGAAGTTGGAATAGATACAAACAATGTCGGTCACGAACTGACCCCAACCAGGACCTTCAACTTCTGCACTAGCTCTTCGATCCTGCTCTCTCCGTCCACAAGGAGATTCTCTACGCCCTTGATCCTCCCATTGTCACCCACAACAACGGCCCGCTCGATCAGCCCCTTATTGGAGATCTTGATCCGTGCAACCGTGCCATCTGTCCATGTAATTCGTGCCTGGCGGGCTTCGAATGCTGTTGCTTCGATTGATTGGATGCCGTAGAGCCCTATGCCGTCCTCTTGTGAATCATAGTCCATCCCCTCGTCGTCCCTGTCGTCCCTGTCGTCCCTGTCGTCCCTGTCGTCCCTGTCGGGGTTTTTGGAAGGGATTAATTCCAATTGCTCCTTTAGTAATTCAATGGCGTCTCTTCTTAGCTCCCAACATATAAGCTCATGTCGGACTCTGCGGACAAAGGCGTGTAGATCCTGCTTTATTTTCTGATTGGCGTCTGAACCCGCAACGGTATATCCTTCATCTTCGTCCTTCAGTGGCAGGAATTGCTCCTCAAGTCTCTCCAATGCAACGAATGCGGGGATGGTATGTCGATGCACCCGGAACTCGTCACTCTGCTCCTCAACGCGTCGAAGTAGGATGTAGTAGGGCTTTTGAAAGGTGCCGTGTCGAGAACAGTGGTCAAGACGGATCCCTAAGAGACGGCCATGGAGGTGGCTGTTATTTGGTGAGGGATCTGTGAACGGGAATGTGGTTACGGTAAAGGAGAGGCGGTGCATATTCGTTTGGTGGTTTGTCATAGAGCTAGACTTCTCCGAGGTGATGAGGGGTTGGTCGTCCATGGGAAGGTCGGGAGAAGAAGTGGTGGGGACATGACTTTTCAGCTGGCTTTGGACTTTGGTCGAGCTGAGGAGGGTGTTGGTAACTAGCCGCCGGCGTTTCGTGAGCTCCTGGACTACACAATATCAGCTCTCGCTACTAAGTCTGTGACGTAGAGAAGTTATCTGATTACTTTGCTCTTGGACATGTCGGATCTCATCATCCAGCTCATGCATAGCCTCATACTGATGCGATTGACTGGCTGATTCGACCAGTGCCATATCGGCGGATGTGTGCTCTGAATTGAGGAAATAGGAAGAAGGCTGCCAGTGGTTGTGGTGTGCAGGTGATTGCGCGACATTCCAGTGGACGCGATGCGCGCCGTCCGCCCAGCCTTTTTTTAAAAGTACCGGTTTAGCTGCAGCTCACGTGCCATTGCTGAATCCGCCTTGGGCCAGATTTCACAATCTAGGGGTTCAATTCCCTTTCGAACCGCCGAGAAACAAGCTATGTTTCCTTTGGATCCCACTTGATGCTTAGCAGTGTGAATATGGCATCAATTCATTCGCTGCGACCCCTGAAGATCTGTAACCCAGTCTTGTCCGCTTTGTCACCACGGAATGCTTGTTAGTGTCTCCGAGCCTGAGGACAGAGAGTCCTCCCCAGACGCCCCACTACACAATTGCATGGATGCCTGATACTTTTGACGAATCTCTCTCCCCTCCTCCTCTACAAAATCCCTCGTCCACTGATCCTTCCACCATCCTACCCGTCCACGTCGCTCAGCACAGGCAGAACCTGGAAAGGGAGAAGAAAAAATCACAAGGCGAACAAGGAATACAGCTAGACACATTGCTTCACAAACCGGAAGACAAAGGCAACGACCCGGATTCAACAACTCCGGACGCTGTTGAAGGCGACTCCGATTCGGCCGAGGACGAGCAAACTGAGGACAAGGCCCTCTTACCCTCAGATAAAACTTCACCACAAATGAAACGAAAAAGTCGAAACGATAAAGACCAACCGTCCAGTCGGCGCACTGATCTTCACGTCTCGACCAATCAGAACGGTGACGCGAATGGCCACGCAAACGGCGAGATGAATTCCCAGCTTGAGATGAGTCGGAAGACGGCCTCGATGGATTCCCCAACAGCCAGGGCGCATCTCATGAGCAGGTCAGAATTTACACTCGATGATGAGCCTCCGCCTCCAACACCCAACACACCCGGCCTGGTCACTACGAGCTTTACCGATCTACCAGTATCGGACAGGCGGAATTTTCTGCTGCTTTGTCTGTTATATTTCTTGCAGGGTATACCAATGGGGCTGGCAATGGGTTCGGTACCGTTTTTATTGAAAAGTCACTTTTCGTATGGTCAGATTGGGATATTCTCCTTGGCAGCATATCCATATGCGTTGAAATTGTTATGGAGTCCCATTGTCGATGCTGTCTGGAGTCGTAGGTTTGGAAGGAGAAAAAGCTGGATCACCCCTATTCAGACCATTTCTGGAATATCGATGATTTGGCTGGGCAAGAGAATAGACAAGATGATGGTTGCTGCGGGTGAGAACGAAGGGGCTGGTGTTTGGTCATTCACCGGTTGGTGGTTCCTACTCGTGATGCTCTGTGCTACGCAGGATATTGCTGTAGACGGCTGGGCTATCTCCCTCCTTTCGATCCCGAACCTATCCTACGCCTCAACAGCACAGACTGTCGGTCTCACGGCTGGTTCTTTTCTGTCTCATACCGTCTTTCTGGCATTCAATGCCCCAGACTTTGCCAATCGTTGGTTTCGAAGTACACCTCAGGAGTATGGGTTGATGACTCTGGGAGGCTACATGGAATTTTGGGGATGGGTTTATCTACTTGTCACATTTGGACTCGTGATCCTCAAGAAGGAGGATAGGACGAAAGAGAGAGACGGGATAATGGAAGTATACCGCAGTATGCTTGGAGTGCTGAAACTGAGGAATATCCACACCCTCATCATTATCATGCTTATTGGCAAACTCGGGTTCGTGACGAATGACGCTGTCACGAACCTCAAGCTTCTAGATAAAGGTTTTGGCCAGGCAAATCTGGCGCTCGTTGTGTTGATCGACTTTCCATTTGAGATCAGTCTGGGCTATTATGCCGGAAAATGGTCCACCAAGTATACGCCTCTCAGGTTATGGTGTTGGGCTTTCGCTGCCAGGTTGCTCGCTGCCATTTTCGCACAGATCACTATTATGATATATCCGTCGAATCCGGTCCCGACGTGGTATATGCTTGTCGTGATCCTTGAGCATATTTACTCGACTTTCATGAACACAGTAATGTTCGTTGCCGGATCAGCGTTCTTCGCCAGGATTGCCGATCCTGACATTGGAGGGACATATATGACCATGCTGGCTACGTATGTTTGACCCGACCAGTGAAATTTGTGAAGCTTTCTGCTAACAGTTTTAACTCTATAGTGTTTCCAACCTTGGTGGCACATTCCCCAAATTCTTCATCCTTAAACTTGTCGATGCGCTCACTGTCGCCACCTGTCATCCTCATCCAGATCTTTCATCGTTTAAGCCTGTAGACCCGTCAATATCACCCGTTACATCTCCCTTTTCCTGCGTGTTGGAGGCCGAGAAACACCGTTGCGTGGAGGGAGGCGGCACGTGTACGATAGCGCGAGATGGTTTCTACTATACCAACATAATCTTCGTCATCATTGGTGCGTTGACTTTTTGGGGATATATCCAGAGGAAAGCCTTGGCTCTTCAAGCACTACCTCTCCGGGCGTGGAGGTTGAGCGGGGAGCCTTGAAGAGGGAAGGAAAGTGGTTGACTAGATGATGATATCAATGCGACGATAGACACTTGTTCTTTAAACTTCAAGTTCATACCACTACTAGTGGTACCATGTTGGTCGAAGATCTGGAGTCTTGGGATATTGACGAACCACAATCGAGCAATCTCGACGCATTACTACCATGCCCTCCTCTAGGAATTCGACTGTGGTTTGAACTAGATTTGAAAGTGTACTGGTAGCATAATCAGAGTACGTTTTGGTGGTGTTTGGGTGATATTTAAGTGTGATTGAATGTCTTGATTATGCTAGAGTTGACTTGAATACATGGAATGCTTGATTAAACTCAAGTGCCTTTTAAGCGCTGGCTGGTGCACTCCTTAAACAAGCAAACACATCGGAGTGACTTCGCAGCACACTTAAGTAGATTCATCTATGTCAAGCTAACTCAGAACGTCATCAAGTAACATTCAAACATATGTAGATAGATGCTATTCAAATAATCCACTGTATTTATACGACCCAGTACCCACTACTACTAGTACTGCTGCTGCTGCTACCGCTGTTATTATCACTACTAAGTAGTAGATGGAGCACTCCCATCACACCAGATTCTTGATTACAGTGCTCTCGTCTCCGCCACGACCTACGTTCAAGCCTAGTGAAAGCGACACTGCGAAAAAGCGCTGGGTAGCGTTACAATACAATATACCTCATGCCATGCCTTGCTAGGAAGGCGGTCGTGTGCTCAGTGCTCACAGTTGTCTCAAAATCTTCAGACCCTTCTGCTTCGCCATTGGCTGACGCACAAATGCTAGTCCAAATGCATGAAATTTCAAAATGCTAAATTAAGACTAGCGCAGATGAGACTGAGTGCTGAGACAATGCTCCACGGACAATTTTTCTTTCCAGTCTGGGCGGACACCGAGGTTAGATTGAATCTACAGGAGGGGACATGTTTAACCACCTGCCCGCAAAAGATTGGCGTCTTCCAGAAGCCGACGCCATTATTCTAGGCGCCGAGTGGTTCGACGCTATGAAATAGCTTCCACGAGGCTTATCTTTGCCTCCACAAAAGCTAAGGTGACAGGACAATTCAACCTGTGGAGGATCAAAGTACGAGATACTCCGTATTTGCGTATGAAGGTTGTTCCAGGTGGATTTCAAACCAGCACAGGCGAGTACTCCCGTACAGTCGGCTGGAATGGTCAACCAAACTTCAAGAAACGTTGAGTCCGGGTCCGATCAGCAACCCTCCGCCCAAACCCAACGATTGATGTTACACAGCAGAAGAAGGGAACGCTAGGTTGGGTGCCGAGGTCAAGAAGCCCAATCCCTCGCCATACGGATCATTCTCCTCTTCTGGTGCAGCCGCTTTGTATCCCACTGGTGACGTTGGATCAAGGACGCCGGAGGCAGTGGCTCTAGTAGTTTGGAGTGGTAGAGTGTATTACAACTGGAAGTCAGATGACCAAATCCAAGCCAGCGTAGATTCAACCAATCTATCTTTGAACAGCATCACCTTCACCATCCTTAGGAGCCTGGGAAGACAATCAGCCTCGGGGATCATTACCGGCTACGAGCACTCGGAATACAGATTGATCTTCAAGATGAGGTCAACGATGTTGCACATCTGAAGCACATCACTTCAATCGAGGGAAGTGGCGGACAAGAAAGTCGTGGCGGACAAGGAAGTCATGGCGAACAAGAAAGTCGTGGCGGACAAGAAAGTTGTGGCGATAAGGACAAAGAGATCGGCCGCCAGCCTTCAAGTTCCTCAATTGTGCCTTTCAGCCAATCGCTTCTGCCGTTAAGCGGCATCTTACCGACCTCAAGCATTTGTCTAACACTCAAGAAAATGGGTAGCTCCACCACAGTAATCGCGTAGCGGCACACCAATGCCTGTCTGCATAGCACTACTAAAGAATTGTTGGCATTGTCGTTGCCGTCGTATATTCTCCAGATCCTCTAGAAACACTCGCTGGCGATTGATGAGGATATGATTGGCTTTGATCATGGATTACCCTTGCAAAGGTACTGTCAGACATCCTTGAAGGACGCAGTAAAGATTCCAGATGTGAATGGAAGCACCGACCATCCCTGGCTTCATCCTCCCCAATCAGTAATTGCATATATCGTGCATACTCCTCCTCATCCCGTTGCAGGTCTTTCATCTAACATCGTATCGTCATACTCCCTCGCCCTCATTCATCCTACTTCGTAAGCAGAGGATAGGTGGCCGCCATGACTAGTCCTGACGACGTCGCTGTCGGCGCCAGGCACGACATTGCTTTGGCACAGGGTTTGGACGACGAACGACGGATGTCCCATGCACCAGCGCTGCCACCTGTCTACGAAGGAAAAGGCACACTCGCTACGGTTTATGCCGACGATGCAGCTGATGCTCCGACCGTTGAAGAGCTCCATACTCTGCGTCGCGTCAGAGATCATATTCCCTGGAAGGTCTACACTGTTGCATTCGTTGAGCTTTGCGAGCGATTCTCTTATTATGGCACCACTGTTGTTTGTATGCATCTCTCGAATCTGTTGCTTGTGTATAGCTTGCTAATTGTTTCTCCAGTCACCAACTTCATCCAACAGCCACTTCCAGAAGGATCACGAACCGGTGCTGCAGGCACAGACGGCCAAGCTGGTGCTCTCGGTATGGGTCAACGAGCATCAACCGGACTGGGTACATTCAACCAGTTTTGGGTCTACTTCACGCCACTCATAGGCGCATATATTGCTGATACTTATCTTGGACGCTTCAACACCATCTGCGTCTCTCTGGCCATTGCCATTGTTGGGCACATCATTCTTACCATTTCCGCTGTTCCGACCGTCCTGGCCAATCCAAATGGCGCACTTGGCTGCTTCATCGTTGGTCTCATCTTGATGGGTATAGGGACCGGTGGATTTAAACCCAACATTTCACCATTGGTCGCTGAACAGCTGCCACTTACCCGCATGAAGATCATCACAGATAAGACTGGAGATCGGGTCATCGTTGATCCTGCTGTGACGGCGTCGAGTGTGTATATGTGGTTCTACCTCTTCATCAACATAGGAGCTCTGTTGGGCCAAATCTCTATGGTCTACTCTGAGAAATATGTCGGCTTCTGGCTCTCTTATTTCCTACCAACCGTCATGCTTTGCATTTGTCCGGTGGTCATGCTCCTCTGCCGTAAGGTGTACATCCTCACACCACCCCAAGGCAGCGTGTTCGGCAAGGCAATGAAGCTCTTTTTCCTTGCCCAAAAAGGTAGATGGTCTATTAATCCTGTTCGAACGTTCAGAAATATGCACGATGGCACCTTTTGGGACAAAGTCAAGCCAAGTAACATACCGGCCAATCAACGACCCAAGTGGATGACGTTTGATGATGAATGGGTTGATGAAGTCAGGAGAGGTTTCGCCGCTTGTTCGGTCTTCTGCTGGCTTCCTCTCTTTTGGATCACCTATAATCAAATCAACAACAACTTGACTTCTCAGGCAGCTGTCATGAAACTCAACGGGGTCCCCAACGACATTCTCGCCAATCTCAACCCCTTTTCACTCATCATTCTCATCCCCATCTGCGATATTATCATCTATCCCGCGCTTCGCAAAGCTGGAATCAACTTTTCCCCGATCAAAAAGATCACCTGTGGTTTTTACACCGGTACCGCCGCCATGATTTGGGCGTGTGTTGTTCAAGCCTACATCTACAAGTACAGCTCTTGCGGAAGATATGCTGCTGGTGAAGACTGTGAACCAACTAGCATCACTGTCTGGGCTCAGTCTGGGTCGTATGTTCTGGTTGCCTTGGCTGAGGTCCTCGCCGCCATCACCGCCCTCGAATATGCCTTCACCAAAGCTCCCCGCAACATGCGTTCTCTGGTGATGGCTGTCATGTTGTTCACGACGGCTGTTGCTGCCGCTATTGGGCAAGCACTCGTCTCTCTTTCCGCTGACCCATTACTCGTCTGGAATTATGGGGTTGTTGGTGTTCTTTCATTTATCGGCGGGACTGGGTTTTGGTTGCAGTTCAGAGGGCTTGACAAACAAGAAGACCAGCTGAATATGCTTCCAACTGGTCACCTAGGCACGAAGGGTGAAGCGGAGGAATTGGAGGTTGAAAAAGGCGCCTCCAAGCTGGCAGAGAAGGCTTAGGCCATTTATGTTCTAGTCCGCCGGCCTCGGGAAGATGTACCTATCACTTTATTGCTGCACTGAAAGTGGTTTAGATCTTGCTAACAGGGCTCTCTTCCCCACGAGGTTTTCCAGGGAGTGATAATAATACCATGATTCTGCCAGTGCTGTTCAAATTAACCTTCTCCCACAAGTCTAGGTGAATATCAATAGCCTCTGCATTATCCTGGATGAACAGATTTCTCAGCATATCCAAGCTTTATCTCCTTGTAGTTATCCTCCCCCTGGGTTCTTGCATCAATGAGATAGTACTCTTCTTCCCATAAGACCATCACAACCTGAAGGCTGGCGGACTTGGCACGCTGACTCCCACTGCAGTGGCAGATCTCCACCCATCCACCATTCCACCCATTCCATTCTAGATCATCAGCCTCATGCACCAGACGCGTGAAAATTTCATCGATTAGCACCTATTATCGCGGTATCCGACCTCCCTAGATACTAAGGTCCTCTTCCATGCGGAGCTTCTTGTACCAACTCGGAACAATGCGTACTACTTATCCAAAACTAGAGCACGATTGCAGCGTTCTTTCGGACCGGCCTATCCGGTCAGAGAATTGAATGATACCATTTCTTAAGAGGTCTTTCTGAGCTTTAAGTTCTGTGTTTCCTGGAAAGCTAGGGAGAGGACCTTGTGTTGTTTCACTTAGTGGCGTGGTAGTGAGGAAAGGTTACCCGGCCAAGGAGAGGGAAACAGTGCGCGGAGGACTGGAGAGGGAGGACATTTTTCCACTAGAGCCTTTCTAGAGCGCTTACTTCGTTTGTTCAGGAGAGAACAGGAGAGGACCTTCATACAGTGCATTGTCGAGTGCCAGTCTTGTGAGACATTTGTGCAGGAGTGGGTGGAAACGGGGACCTGGTGGGTCTGAGGAAGAGGAAGAGTAAGATACTATTCCCGAAAGAGCTGACTGAGGAGTCTTGAGGAGTTACAACCCGCGAGGACCAGGGAAGACTCCGTCGGTCCGTTTTGTATGCCAGACTTGGGATGGGTTGTGCGAACGGTACTGAGGGAACAGGTGCCTGATCAATCCGGACAGAACGATACTATTCTCAAAAGAGCTGATTGAAGTAGAGTAGAGTTCTACACAGCCAACGAGAACCAAGGAAAAGGACTCTTGATACTCAACCTTGGATCCGAGGAGAGGGAAAGTCCTGAGAGCGCGAGCAGCAGCAAAGGGTACCTGGTTAACTTGACCACGAGGACCTCCGAGTCCAAAGTTATATGTATTCCTCTCCTTTCCTCTGTTGTCTTCTTGTTCCTCATCTCTTCATCCATTTACTCATCTAGCTTTACTTCATTGTTTCTCTAAGCTGTCGCATAATATACAGATACTGTTCTTTATCCTTTCTACATCTGGGGACTGCCTCTTGACTCCTGACTCCTCTCCAAATGCCGAAAAGAAAAGCTGCTGAAATGACTAACCAGACCATTACAAACGAGGAGTTCGCTCGTATCTTCCGGGCCTTGACAGACGACGAAGAAGCAGAGCAGCAACAGCAACAGCAACAGCAACAGCAACAGCAACAGCAACAGCAACAGCAACAGCAACAGCAACAGCAACAGCAACAGCAACAGCAACAGCAACAGCAACAGCAACAGCAACAGCAACAGCAACAGCAACAGCAACAGGCTGCTGTTGCGCCTGTTCCGAACCAGGGTAGTCCTACCCTATTCAGCAATTCTCGGGATCTCGAGACAGACGATAATGCGGTGACCCCATCGCTTTTCCAAGAGGAAGCTGGACAAGACTACCAGGGTGTCGACGGCCAGACACAAGATTTCTCCTTTCCTGCTCTGAATTCCGCATTCACACAATACGACAACACCGGCCCCCAGGACGTGCCACCACAAGGCCAGGTATCACACTCTTCCTCTGGCTCTGAAACCAAGGTATATGCACCGAACACCACTAACGGTCTCCAGGTCCTCCCCACCACGACTGCCCCTTCTGTGTCGTCTTCCTCTTTCACTCCTGCTCCTGCCGGCATCAATCCGGACATCCTTGCCGGCGCCCTCCAGGTCGCCACAACTGCACCTGGGCCATCCGCAGCAACCTGGCCCATTAACAACACAACGGCCACCCCCTTCGCTCCTCCCCCTCCACAAACATTCCCTCCTCCCCACAACCACAAGCACAACAGCACCAACACCAACGCCAACAATATCAAACATGGTGGTCCTTTACCAACCCCCGTCGCCACAACCAGAACTCCTGAGCGAGTACCCACACCTCCACCGAACACATCACACAACCGGCTATCGTGATGGCCTCGCTCAAGCCCGCAGTCAAACCTCGCAAACAGGCTTCGACGCCGGCTTTCGCATCGGCATGCATTACGGATCGCGTGTGGGACGGGTGCTAGGGATCTTGGAGTTCGCACTGGCGGGGACCACAGAGGGATTGAGTCATGAGATCCTGGCAAGGGCGAATATGGAGTTGGAGGTTGGAGCGTTGGTGAGGGATATTGAAGCAGAGACGGGAATCATGAGAGATGGGAATCTGAACCAGAATGTGAATGTGAATTGGGGGATCGGGGTGCAGAATATGGCGGGGAATTCGCATGGCGCTGGAAATTGGAATTGGAATGGGAATGAGAATGCGAACGCGAATGCGTATTACATGGGCATACAAGCTGCTGCTGCTGCTGCTGCGACTGCTGGAGGAGGTAAAGTCCCCCTCACCACCCCTACTCCTAACAAACCCTCACAGACTTTCTTTTTCTTCTCCCCGTCCAGTCCTATCGTATACTAACACCCCTCCCACGCAACTCAGCAGCAGGAACCTACACACCACCCTACACCACCATGTCCGGGGCGCCACCACCCGCCCAACAGTCCCATCATCATCATCATCATCATCATCATCATCATCATCATCATCATCATCATCATCATCATCATCATCATCATCATCATCATCATCATCATCATCATCATCATCATCATCATCATCATCATCATCATCATCATCATCATCATCACTTCACCTTCCCACACGAAACCAGCATCAACGACCCAAACCTCTACGCCAACCAACAGCCCTACATGCAGCCACTGAGCGCGCAAGAGGCGCTCAGCCGCTGGGAAGGCTTCGCCCGTGGCTGGATGTGGGAGAAGTGTCAACGCGTCATGGGGGTGCAGCAGGGACTGCAGGGGCGGTGAAGAGTTGGACTGAGATTTGGGAAAGGGATGCCGGAGGGAAGAGGGGGGGGGATTAGATGAATTCGGTTGGGAAGTTTGTTGGGTTTTGCATGCTGAGGTGAGGAGGAGGGTTCTCCTTGTCAAGGAAGGGAGGGAGGGAAAAGAAAATCAATCGAGAAAAAGGGTTTTGGGTGTTCGTTCCAAGTCAAAGAAAGGATGAGGGAAGAATTGACGACGTCTACGTGTCTACATGCCTACATACCTGCACAGAGTCTTTTTTAAAGATAAAATTATTTGTCTTTGGCAGCGTTACCGTTCGGGCATGCAAAGGGACGGATAGGAACTTTCTAACACCTTCAACTACTAGTAACATAACACCTGCTTCCGCCAAGTCACGCAAGCATCGCTCGCTTGCTGTATCATAGTAGTATCTACAAGCCAACACGGCTTCTAGTTAGCCAGTCAGCTCAGTTCGTCTCCCTCGACAGAGACAGAATCCAACCTAGAGGTACAGCGATAATTGCCCAAAAGATGATAGGACAGGGGCATTCATGCGGGCATCTATCTCTCTGGACTCCTCGAGTAGGTGGGGGGATCCGTTGGGTTGCATGCTAGAATCAAGAGAGGAGGAAATTCGTCTGCGTAAAGCCAGCTTGCAGATCTTGGGACAGAGAGCACGACCAGGCAATGACATGCTGGGAGACTGTTGTGTGTCAAGGTACAGGATATGGCGAACGCAAAGATGCAGAGAGCTACCTCTGGTCTTGGGGCCGGGATGTTCTGCAGTCTTTCACCCCTTTCCCATCCATTCAGCCCAATCTCTCATACCTCTCTCTAGCCCCCTCCCTGGTCTTGGCAAGAAAATCCCCATAATCCCCCTTGGTATTCCTCTCCGCCTCTACCACCGCATCCCCCACCTTCCCGCCCTGAGCACCCAATCCAACCCCCGCCGCATATATATCTTGAGCTATCGGCGCCGTGAGACCGGTCCCGCTGGCACCGAGGCCCGCACCGGCCACGTGCCCCATCTTGGCCAGGAGGGATGCACCCTTTGACGCGAGCACATTATCGTCCTCAGCATCTTTGTCGAAGCCGGTATATTTGCCGGTGTCGGATGACGACTTTGAAGGTGGAACCGATTGACCTTTCTTGTTGACGACTCCGAAAGCTTTCCTTCTTTCTTTTGCGCGATCTCGGTATTCAGTCGTCGATAGTTGAGATTGGATTGTGATTCCATGTTTCTCCAACTTAGCCCTCGCCTTGGTCAATTGCTCTTCGTTCTTGAGATTGGTCTGGTGCAAATTGCTGAGCCGTTCGTGCTTGTTGACTTCGGCTGCCGTCTTGAATTGGCGGGAACAGAGATAACAGCAATGCCTGTTGGGGTCTGCAAAAGACTGCATGGGCGGAACTGGAGACGGTTCGGATGACGGTCTTGTGTCGGCACTGGTGAGCGCGTCGTCAGACTGGGTAATTATTGGTTTTTGTTCCAGGCCATGAAGCTCAGCGTGCTGATTACTCCAACGTTGAAGATAGGATGGGGCAGCTTTCTTGGCTGTAGAAATATCCATAGCGGTTATTTCTGCCTTTCGTTTCTTGGATTTTGTAGTCTCTTTGGAATCTGGTGCGCTGACCAAGTCTTCCTTGGGTTGGATATTTGCAGACTCGCTTTCACCATCGAATACTTTGAATTCTGCAACGTATGCATCTTCATCCCAATAGGCAATTTTGAGTGATGGATTGGCCAATGGAGCGAATGTATATCGAGGGTCCACGACCCCAGGGTTCAATACAGGTACGAAAACCCCAGAGTGAACATAACTCACAAGCACTGGCTTGGAAGCAATAGTAAATTTGTCAAAAGAGTTGTACCGAGTCAATGCGGCCATCGCATCCTCTACCGTGGCAAATTCAGCAAAGCCAAATCGCCAGCTTTCATTGCTTCGTCGATCTCTGACCAGCAACACACGGCGTAGTGTACCTTGTCTTGCACCCCGGTTGGCATCGCCCGTAGTGGATGCGACTTTGGCTCCCTTTTTATTCGGTTGGTTGCTGAAGGCGTTCGAGGTTGACGGCTTGTACAACTTGGCCACACCCTTGACTAGGAGTTCTTCTGTCACAGAAGGTTCGAGGCCACGGAGGAGGAGAAATTGGGATGGAGTATTGTCTGGAGAGGCATCGTTGTCCCCAATATTGGCTGCCTTCTGCATGCCACGGTTAGGAGCGTCTGAGAAGGGTCAGCAGAGTTAAGTAGAGTGAAGCGGCCGTTCTCTACCTGCTCGAAAAGCCTGGCAACGAAAACAACGGATTCGAGTTGCATAATTGTTGACGCTGCACTATGAAAGATCAGACCGGACCACGTTAGAACAAGGGGATTCTGAAATGTACCACTTTGCAAATCCACTCGCCCTCAGCGCCGTCATTGTTGGTGTCAATCCTTTCGCGACTATACACTATGCGCACCTTAGCCGGTTCATTCCGATCGAGGTTGGGATTGCCATAGAGATAAAGCAATGGAGTATTCCGTTCCATAAAGGATTGGGCTTGAGGAAGTGATGAAAACCGTAGGAAGCCAAACTGCCGAGATTGTCCTTGATCCTGTCAGCTAGTCGGCAGGTAGACCCATCACGCTGCTTACTTGTCTGACGGTCACGAATGACCCTAACATCGATCAGTCCCTCGACTTGATAATGTTGCTTGAGCTCGAGTGTGATCTGTTGCATCCATCCATAATCTCAGCATTATGTCTCCAAGCAAATGCTGAGTTGGTTGGGCCAGTGATGAACGGGCTGAGGTAAGAAGGGAGGGAAGATCGAACGTCTTCTTCAGTCATATCCGTAGCTAGTCCCTCCATCATTATTTCCTTGTTCGGTGGTGCAGCGATTCGCCGTGGCCGCTCCTCATGCGAGCTTCTGCTCCGGCTTCTGCTCCGGCTATAGCTTGACGATCTGTAGCCTTCGCGATCTCTATCTCTGTATGACCCTCGGCCTCTTCGTGGCGAAGGTGAGGAACGAGGTCTGTTGCCGTAGCCTCGATCATATTGTCTGTCTCGACTTCGATCCCAGTCGTGGTGGTTGCCATTACGGCCGATGTTTGCAGCAGGACCACGGGGAGGTGATCTGGAGATGTCTTTCCAAGAATTCAAATCAGTATCGATTATAATATGTCTCAGGTCCGTGATCAGTCTTTATTTTACCATGAGGGGGTGATCGTCTTCTTGAAGGGGAGCTGTATCGTCGGTCTCGTGATCTCGACCGTGAACGGCGGTCATCATAGAACCGGTCATCACGATCGTTACGTCGGGTAAGCTGAGCGGGTCTCATAGTATCGACAGGCTGTCTATCTTCATGAGAGCGATATGAAGACATGTTTTTAGGTGAATGTTGAGTCAGGTTGCAGGATGGAATACGGTAAGTACAAAGTTGGAGAAGCTCCAGGCGCCACCAAAATTTGCTTTACGTAGAGCGGCGCAAGTGTTGCAGCCTACAGGGATGCAGCCACTCAAGCAATCATTACAACAACCCTCATCGCCATGCAGAGGTCAAAGGACGTTCTTGATAGGTCGAATTTCCCACAAACCCTTATATCTGAGGACAATCTATGTACAGTGAGCTTGACCTACGATCCACTTTCGTCTGATACCATCCTCCGAAGCATACGCTCTCCAGCTGCTGGCGCCAATGTTCTATTTCTAGGAACGACGCGAGATTCATTTGATGGTCGTGCTGTTTCAAAGCTTTCCTACTCTGCCTATCCTGCCCTAGCATTGAAGTCTTTCCTCAGCATCGCGAAGCACGCACACTCCGAGTTCAGCCTCGAAAAAGTGTACATTGTGCATCGATTAGGGGTGGTAGAGGTTGAAGAGGAGAGTATCGCAGTTGCTGTGAGTGCGGCACATCGAGGACCTGCATGGAAAGGTGCTGAAGATATTCTGGAAAGATGTAAGGAGAGGGTTGAGGTATGGAAGATGGAAGAATTTGTAGGCGATGCCGAAGGAAGTGGTGAGTGGAGGGCAAATCACAATACCAATAGTTATGGGAAGAAAGCTGCTTAAGTTTTGCGACAAATGCCAATTCTGCCTTCTGTATCAGACTTCATGTTTGGGTCAAGATTGATATCATCTAGCCTACTACTGCCCAGGCAGAGCTGCTTGATCGAGTTGGACGGCGTACGAAAATTGTTGAGAACGATGTTTCACCACCGAGTGTGGAATACCTCAGATCTTCGGAGGCTATGAAACCGTTGGAACCAATACCCTTTGGTGGATCCACAGTCCTTCAGAAGATCTCTTACAATAGACAAATATCTCAAAAGCCTGATGAATGTCCAGATATAACACTGTTAGCACATATGAATAGCAGATGTGGCGGACAACCCTCATAGCCAGATCATCTGAAGCAACGGCTCCGTACCGTCGAGCGACATTGCAAAAGCAAAATATGAGCGGGGCCAGCGAGCAGCATGACGAGTACTTTGAGCAGCGAATTACCGTCCACAGACGATCTAAGGAAATGGACCCGAAGGTGTTTGTCTCTGGAAACCACGTCTGCACCCAACGTAACATTTGAATCAACAAAATGGTTACAAGAGAATCAGTTGAAAGTGACTCTCCGCTACGACGCTGACACTGACACGATGCTGACCTTGCAGAAGTCTTCATCAATAGTCACGCTGCATACTCTGCAAACCATTCCGTGTCATCCATGATCGTGTCTACGAGCCCTACTTCCCAACTTCCTCTCAGACGCCGGCAACACTGTTCCCGCCACTGCGATGCTCGTATATCGTTGTGCCTGCAGAGCTCTGCTGTTTCCCACAAGGTGTCTTGATTCACATTGTCCACAACTGCCGCGACGCCCTGCTGTGACTAATTCTGTCATATTGCTGTTGGTTCTCTGACCAACTGAGCTATTTGTACAATGAAGCATGTGCTGGTCTCCATTCTCACAGCAGTCCTTGATTGACATCCCATCGTGTCTACAGCAGTACTCGATATCGTTGAAGGCTGCTTTTGCTGAATCGATAATGCTTTCGTGTGCTTTTAGACGCCTGACTATCGTATTATAGTTATATCATTGCTTCTTTGCAGTTCCCGACAATGGAGAGGACTGCTCCATCAATCGCATCTAGTGGAGTCGGTACCCTCATATTAATGGTCATAAAGAGGTCCTTCGTCTCTGGGCGGTAGCTAGATCGGTGGCAGAAGAAGATGACGATATGGCGATGGCTAATCTCGAATCAACCAATCAGTCAGAGTCGGAAGATGCCTGAAAGGAGCGACGATGGTGGGCTCATCCGTTGGTATGTCGTTGCGTAGGGCTTGTAGCGGTTTCCACTGGTCGGTCGCTCACGTTCCACGGTTGGGTATACTCGTTCCTGATCTCGGTAACGTCTATACCGAGCCGTACCTGCTGGTCGGAAACTCGGATCACGAGGATATTGAGACTCGCTTCGGTCCTCGATTCGTGAAGTGGATCTATAGCAGATGTGGGTCTCCCATACTGCTCTCCAGTCCGGCGTGGATCGCATTCAGCCCAGTCGTCTTGCCGTGGCATTGGTCTCCGTGGGTGTTGATTCGGTCTTGCCTTGAGCCCCTCAACTTCGCTAGGCGCGCGATCATTTAACCGGACTCGCTCTCAAAGCTGGTTGTACCGCATAGCTACCGCAGAAGTCTACTTGTATCTCGTGATCACACTCTTTCTCTCCAGCGCTTTTTAAGGTTCAGCAACCTAAGGGGTAAGTCTTGGCAGGTTGGTCTTCGGAAGGAGGTGGTATCGCGTTTACCGTAGAGTGTCGAGAGTAGCCTTCTCTTGGTCCAGATGTTAATATACGCACAGGTTGACATAGCCTGACTCAGAACGTACGGCAACTGATCTTTACAACTGATACGACTTATGAACAGGCGACTTTGGTGTTAGGGAGATAGAACCCCTAATTCGAAGACGCTACATGAGATATCTGATACATCAGTAGATGGTGTCTCTCATAATCGTGTTCAGACGTAACGTATCATCTTGGCTGATATGCTTGTGAAGAGCTCTGTTCTCATAACCCCTATTGCAGTCACATACTGGATACTGGTAGACTCACACCAAGAGGACTAGGGAGAGGTCTTGGCATGGTGTCGGCGCAAACTTCGGAAATGCTCCCCCGGCGCGTCTTCCGGGGTGACCAATGGGCGCTCAACCTTTGCAAGCTCTCCTTTTACAGCAACAACAGTAGCATTGACAATTTTGGCAGGCCTGAAAGCATTCAATTGCGTTTCGTGGCACAAGACAGTCTGGGAGCTTCAGAAACCGCCATCAAATCAGCTATCAGAGCCTAAGACAAAACCAATGGAGTTCCTCAACTCCCTAGTAGGCAGATGGTCTCCCTCATCGACTCCGCAGAGCGATCAACTATCCAGACCCGAGAAGCGTGTATTAGAAGACCACCCGCCCCAGCCCGTCGCCTGCGCCTGTTCAGTCCTCTCCAGCTCCCCAGCCTCAAAGTCAGCCTCGACAGAACAAGGCTCCGGTCGTGTTCATGGCCGGCATCGCCTTCACAGCCTTCTCTCTTCTCATAGCCCGACGCTCGTTCACACGAAGACGTCTCGCTGCGAATCCCTCTTTCTATACCAACTCGCCTGCACACACCCAGGTCCAAAGCGCCAAAGTCTCTGCCCCACTGGAAGCCATCGAAGCATTAAATATTGCAACGATCAATGTCCTCAGTCTGGCCATGTTATCGACTGGCGGAGCGCTCTGGTATTTTGATATTGCGAGTATGGAAGACGCAAGGCGGAAATTGAGGCGGGGATTGGGTGTGGATGGGAGTGGGAGAAGTGAGGGAGAGGCAGAAGAGGATTTTGAAGAGTGGTTGGCCACGGTACTGAGTCGGAAAGAGGCCAAGGAGAGGAGACAGGAGTATGAAGAAGAGAAGGAGCAGAGAAGAGCGAACGAAAGAGGGAGACAAAGATAGCATTCAAATGCAAAAAGCCTGATACACCGGGAAATTTCTTTTGCTCGAATCGAGAAGCTACTCAAATAATTGCTCCACAAGCATTCTCTTGGAGGTGGTCATTCCTCTGCGCTGCCACAGAAGATAGCAGTCGAGCTTCTTAAGCAGGATTCCGTGCCCGAGATGTGATCCTCCGACAGGGTGCACAAAAACCTTGTTGCTGATTGCAATTGCCTATATCAGATAAGAGATCAAGCGAGATTCCAGCTCACGAATCACCAGATGCTTTAGCTTCGCATAATCTTCTAACGTTCTACACTCAGATAGATTACTGCCAGCACTCTCACTTCAATAACCACCCTTCTCCATCCTTTTCTCCAACCACAATCTCCACCCCTCTACCACCATCATCGAGGCTCCTTCTCCCCGCCTCCAAGATAGCCGTGGTTGCAATAGTGTTCGCCAGTGTCGGCAAATCCCTCTGATCTAGTTCCTCCAGCGTCACCTTCCCCTCCCTGAGCTTGGTCACCGCATCGACGAATTTCTCGAAACTGATATACCCGTATCCGGTTTGGCCGTTGAAGTTTCCCTCCTCGTCCGGAGCATACTTCATGTAGAACGGGTTGTACCAGACGAGCTGACCCTGGTCATCGGCTGCGACGTTGTAGCCTCGCTTGGCTTGATCGATGCGGATTTCGCCTTTGGATGCCATGTCTGCCCAGCACTCATCAGCCCAGCACTCGAGCTCAGAAGGAACAAGATGGTTCCGACTTACAATGAAAGGACTGGTTACTATGGACACCTGCAAACTGTGGCGTCGTCCAGCTCGCGGTGTAAATGCCTGTCGCCCTCTTTCCCTCCCTCTGCCAATCGACCATCAATGTGATCGTATCCTCCGTTCCCTCCATACATCCTAACCCCTCCGCAATGCCTTTACTCGCACTCGCCCTCACCACCCTCGGCACCCATCCATCCACCATGCTCACACAAACATCGACATGATGACTATTCAAATAATAGCTGATATCGCTCTCCCTCCCCGCCCATGCCTTGAACGTCTCCAACTGGCTCTTCGGCTGGCTCATATAGCTGTAGAAGTAATTAAAATCCCCCAATGAAGTCTTGGCGCGATGCCGTGCATCCGCGTACGCAGGGTCAAACCGCTTGTGGTGCTCGACATACACAAACACGCCGTGCTTTCGGCTCGCTTCGAGCAGTTCGACGTGGTGTGCCAGGAGCTTCACGGCGGGCTTGGTGATGAGCACATGATGGCCCCGTTCGACCGCGTACATGGCGATGTCGAAATGCGTCGAATCCGGCGTGAAGATGGTGACGCAACTCCCCCGTTCCGGGAGAGCGTCGATGGCGGTCTTGTATGCCTCTGCGTCCACCACGTCGTCGGCTGGAAAGCTCCGAAACTCGACGTCGAGCCCGTTGTAGGCGTTCGAGATGTTGGTCCGGAAGTGTTGCCGGATTCCGGGGAACTTGGGGCCGGATACTCCGGAGGTCGAAGAGTGTCAGGGCGACGACGCCGAGTTTCTTGTCCGAGGTTGATTGCGTGCCGGAGACCAGGCCGGTGGTGTATTCGCCTATGCCGATCATGAGGATGGAGGGGGGGGACATGGTGGTACTTGATTAGGCGAAGATCGCGATTTGATAGGTTTTTGTTCTGCTAAAAAATGTGATAGTGCTTAATCAATTTGTTGGTGAAGAGCGAGAAGGTTTCACAAGGTTACGCGAGCGCCATGAATGGGTAAAGAAGGATTCCCATGCAGTGAAAGCAGAAAAAGTGAAGTTGAACATGTTGAATTGACGAAGAAGAAATTCAATATCATAATCATAGCCCACTGACCTACTCGGGGAATAAACGCCGAAATATCGCAAAAAAGAGAAGCCGTTTGCTCGGTCATGGAGTTTGTTTCCGTTGACCTTTTGTTGAGCTGAAGTGTAAATTTGAGACCTCTCTTCTGAAGTGTCACTCTGGACGAAGCAATTGGCTATTTCGACGCAGAGCACACGCAAGCATAGACATGGAACAAATGTGCAGGTCGCAAACGAGGTTGACCACCTTAGCTGTGACTGGAAATCATGCAGTATGCTTACCTAAAATGGCAATCCGGCAGTTTTTTCAGGCATGTGTTGCTATTTTCCAAACATAGCGGTCATGTCTAGAATCATTTACACATCCTATTCATGCTGGTTATTTCGGTATGTATATAAGAATGCCTGGTATGCAATCCCGGCATATGGCATCCAGATGAAACAATTCTTATTTCCATCTAGAGACAGCCAATCCAGTCCTACCATCAAAAGATTTCGACTATACATCGTTCACAACTATTGCCGAGGATGGAAAATGTCCGTCAATTTGGCGACAATTTTGTTAGAGAGACTTGTGGCACTGATATTTGAGTTTGAGATATTTGATGATTGCAAACATTGCTCAATCCCAGTGTTTTGCATCAAGGCTTAGGCGTGTGGTGTTGGCCTCCGTGCATTTTGTTCCCAACCAACGCTTCTCCAAACACGTTCCTACCTCATGTCCTTAGACATGGCCGATGGAATGAATTGAAGCAGGATCGCGGCAAACCTCAAAGGAAGAGGCTTGGGTATTGCCCCGGTTCAGCAAGGCCACATATAGCCATTAGAAGATAGGGTTTTGGTACCAAGTTCACAATCCCCAATCGTGAGAAGGCACAGGAAAGAGCGTTTCAAGACGTGTGCCAACGATGTCGCTGCCCTTTCGTAGTAAGACGTTGCGTTGCTCAAGGGGTACCAAGCTCACAAGGTTGCGGACTTCGCCTCCGAAATTGCATCACCCTATACTGCTCACAGGACAGTGCTTTGTCATACCTTATTGATACAGGGTAGAAGCTAGGCGAGGGCGTATTCGCAAGCTGTTTGTCCGGAAAGTCGATGCGCCTTGACTTTTTGAGCGTTTGAACGCGAACGAGGTGAGGCTGTGCACAAAAGGGCCACGATACAACGAAGCTAAATCAACCTAGTGCGAAAGCAAATTTTGAACACACTTGCGCAATACTCCGAGCGATGGCAAAAATCAAAGGCGGTATGGAATGACTGGGACATGATAACAGCAAAGAGATTTTTTGATCAGCATCTAGACCACGTACAACGAGGCGGAGCACCGGACAATGGACCTGAATTGGGAGACAATATGTGTCACCAGCTGTAGGGAGTTTTGCTTCGTACTTGATAGCCAATGAGTACTTTGAAAATTTCAAGATATCAATTTCACCTTCGGCGATATGCGATATGCGAGGAACGTAGGTGAACAGCTGAAATGATATGTGATTCTGGAAGCCTAGAATTTGTCTGGTCGCCTGTACAGCGGTTGAGTTGACAGCACCAGCCACACCGTGTCATGCATACTGCGCCTCAAGGAGGCAAGCCACAGCTTCTCTTAGCGTCCCTTACCCTTCTCGTACTAGCAGACGCCACCGGATCCGGCAGTGAAAATTCGTCCGTCAACCGCATAGGTGGGGGTTGGCGATCCCGATCGCAAGGTCAAGATGGTCCTGTATGCCACTGACGACATACGTCAAGATCTTTTTGCCGGGGACTGCGAGATTTTATGAGACGAAAACCTCGTTTGATTGAATAGTGTAACGTCACAGCTGCCTTGGCAACCGACTCCTTTCCATCTCATTCGAGCAACGAAGGCTGATGGACCTTGGCAGTTCTTAGGCAAGCCTTGGGAGCTCTTGGAATTGACGGCAGTTGATTTGGGTTATTGTTGCCTATGATTATGATTATGGTTGCTACGCATAGTCCAAGTTGAATACACGCACAGATTCCTAAGCAAGAGGAACGGCCGTCCTATATTATATACCAACATTAATGTACGCCTTGTAGCCTGATTCCTCACTGAGTGAGCCTCAAGGGTTTTCAACCTGCTAAGGTTGAACCTTTACCGCACGAATTATGGAGCCTTCAGCAGGTGGGAGGTAGCTCAAACTCGGGTGGCGTTGACGACCTCCACACTGCTCTCCCGGAAAGGCTACATTTAATCCCTGCGCGACAAATCAAAGGCAGACTGAGAGTCCAGGGCCCTCCACATCGGGCGCATGCTGTAACAACATGCTTGCGGCTAACTTGCTTCCAACCTCCGTACTACGTATAGCACTAGCAGCACTGCCCCAATGCCCCATCAGCTGCCTGAACCTCAGTGTCATTAATGGTCCGCCTGCATGGGCAAGAAACTCTTAAGCCTCTCATCATCTCCTTTAGTAAGGGCCCATAAGCTTGCACCTACTTTGTATAAAGATTTTTGTATAGACGCTCTATACGATGGCGGGTGACAAATTAGTAGTGCCTCCCATATCAATTATAACCTCAGTGGGTTGCACCAACAGTTTCCTCCTCCAGGCTGAAGCTGACTCTGCAAATTAGGAACAATCGTCTTCTTCACAGTCTGACAGTATGTCTGCTCCCTCAGCCTCTGGCGAGGGTTCATATCTCGCTGTTCAACCTTCCTCGCCAACCTCAAAATCATTAGATGGAGATACCCTACGATCGAGATCTGGCTCCTTTCAGTCCGCCAGCGACTTTACAATTCGAACGCGAGCAGTCTCCACCAATACAGCCATATCGAGGAATTCGTTTGAAGATGTCCCCCCAGAGGAAGCGCTCAGGCCAGACAAAGGAAACGAAAAGGATTTCGAAGTGGATAACAATCCTTTTGCCTTTTCACCAGGTCAATTAAATAAGATGTTAAATCCGAAATCATTACCTGCGTTTGCGGCATTGGGTGGGCTTAAAGGGCTTGAAAAAGGCTTGAGAACAAGTTTGACCGCCGGTCTTTCAGTGGACGAAACCAATCTGGACGGGAGGGTATCTTTTGATGAAGCAACGAAACAGCTACGGGTGAAAGATATCGATGTCAGTCCACCAGTCCGAGGCGACACACAGGCCTCAGGTCGAGAAGTGAAAGGTCAATTTCAAGATCGATTACGTGTTTTTCGAGATAATCGACTCCCGGAAAAGCAAGCGGACAGCATTTGGGTACTGATATGGAGGGCCTACAACGATAAAATTCTTATACTTCTGACCATTGCAGCAGTTATTTCACTGGCTTTGGGTCTGTACGAAACATTCAGCGGCGGTTCGGACGTCGATTGGGTAGAAGGAGTGGCTATCGTGGTTGCGATAGTTATTGTCGTCTCAGTGGGAGCAGCAAACGATTGGCAGAAAGAACGACAGTTCCTAAAGTTAAATAAAAGAAAGGATGACCGGGAAGTCAAGGCCATTCGATCCGGAAAATCGATGCAAATATCTGTGCACGACATCACAGCTGGCGACATTCTTCATCTGGAACCCGGTGACGCCATTCCAGCAGATGGTATCTTCATATCCGGTCACGGTGTCAAATGCGACGAATCATCAGCTACCGGCGAATCTGATCAAATGAAGAAGACCAGTGGTCTTGAAGTGCAACAACAGATTGTGGACGGCACCGCAAGCAAGAAGCTCGACCCTTTCATCATCTCAGGCAGCAAGGTTCTTGAAGGTGTCGGTACTTATCTCGTCACCAGTGTTGGTACAAACAGCTCGTATGGAAAGATCTTGATGAGTCTGCAAACCGACAGCGAAGATACACCTCTTCAAGTCAAGTTGGGCCGACTTGCTAACTGGATCGGTGGTCTCGGTTCAGCGGCTGCGGTGCTGCTTCTGTTGGTTTTGACTATCCGCTTCATTGCAGGACTTCCCAACAACACCAACACTCCCGCTGTCAAGGGTCAGCAATGGCTGGACATCCTTATTGTCGCGGTTACAGTCATCGTTGTTGCAGTCCCCGAAGGTCTTCCTCTTGCCGTCACACTCGCCCTGGCTTTTGCCACAACTCGTATGCTCAAGGAGAACAATCTGGTTCGTGTGCTCCGAGCTTGTGAGACCATGGGGAACGCCACCACCATCTGTTCCGACAAAACCGGTACGCTGACTCAGAATAAAATGACAGTCGTTGCGGGAGCTTGGGGAATCAATGATAGATTTGCTCAATCCACCCGGTCTGATAACGAGAAAGTTTCAACATTTGCGGCAGTCTTTGGCTCAATCTCCAAACAAGCAAAGACCCTTTTCCGACAATCGATCGCCTTGAACAGCACTGCTTTCGAAGGAGAAGAGCAGGGGGTCCCGACTTTCATTGGCTCAAAAACGGAGACTGCTTTACTTGTCCTCGCAAAGAATCACCTTGGTCTTGACAACCTTGCGGAAGAGCGCTCCAACGCTGAGATTGCTCAGCTCATCCCATTCGACTCGGCCCGTAAATGCATGGGTGCTGTTGTTCGACTCAGCAATGGCACGTACCGATTGTTGGTCAAAGGGGCTGCTGAAATCATGTTGGCACGTGCAACCCAAGCAGTATCAGGCATTTATTCTGAAGAACTTGACGTAGTACCGTTGGAAAGCGCTGCGAAAGAACAAATCTCGGCACTCATCGACGAATATGCACGGGATTCTTTACGAACAATCGGCATGCTCTACAAGGACTTCGAACAGTGGCCTCCACTAGAAGCCAAGCGACTGGAAGAAGACAAGAACATGGCAGACTTCGATGATATCTTCCACGATATGATTTGGGTCGGTGTTGTTGGTATTCACGATCCTCTCCGAGAAGGCGTCATCGAAGCTGTTGCTCAATGTCAGCATTCAGGTGTGGTCGTCAGAATGGTTACTGGTGATAACGTCACCACTGCCCGGGCCATTGCAACCGATTGTGGTATCATGACTGATGGTGCCATTGTTATGGAGGGTCCCAAGTTCCGTCAACTTTCTGATGAGGAGATGGATGAAGTTCTTCCTAACCTCCGCGTCCTTGCTCGCTCATCACCAGAAGACAAACGCATTCTCGTGGGCAGACTTAAGCATCTTGGTGAGACTGTTGCCGTGACCGGGGATGGTACCAACGATGGTCCCGCTTTGAAGATGGCCGATGTTGGCTTCTCCATGGGCATTGCTGGTACAGAGGTTGCGAAAGAGGCCAGCTCTATCATTCTTCTCGACGACAACTTCTCCTCTACCATCACCGCGCTGATGTGGGGTCGTGCTGTCAACGATGCCGTCAAGAAGTTTTTGCAGTTCCAGATCACTGTCAATATCACGGCGGTCGTCTTGACCTTTATCTCTGCCGTCACGAATCCCGATTATCACTCTGTCCTTACCGCCGTTCAGCTGTTGTGGGTCAATCTCATCATGGATACGCTTGCAGCTCTTGCACTTGCAACCGATGCCCCCACCAAGAAGATTCTTGATCGACCACCACAGCCAAAGTCCGCTCCTCTGATCACCACCAATATGTGGAAGATGATTACTGGACAGGCTGTGTATCAGCTCGTTGTCACCTTTGTCCTCTACTTTGCCGGCTACGAGATCTTTGGTTATGATCGAGGCAACCCCGATCAGGTTGCACAGTTGGCGACCATGGTCTTCAATACTTTCGTCTGGATGCAAGTCTTTAATGCGTTCAACAACAGACGTTTAGACAACAAGTTCAACATCTTTGAAGGTATACACCGCAATTTTTGGTTCATGGGCATCGGCTGCATCATGGTCGGTGGCCAGATAATGATCATCTTTGTGGGAGGTCGTGCATTTGGTATTACTCGGATCGACGGCGTCCAGTGGGCTATCTGCCTTCTTTGCGCTCTACCTTGTCTGCTATGGGCAGTTCTCATTCGCCTCTTTCCAGACGACTGGTTTGGCTTCGTCTTCCACAATTCGGTTGACGGTGTTGCTTTTATGTTACGTCCTGTCACCAAGGCACTTCATGTTGTGTTCCACCCACTGGCTCAAGGCTGGAGAGCAATGATGGCCCCTACAAAGCGGGCCCTCAAGCGTTTAACAGCCAAAGTCAGCAAAACTAAGACAGTCGACGATGTAAATGGAAAATTACCTGAGGATGAAGAATCACGATTTTCTTCACCAGTGGAAAAAGTTTCCACCCCAGTGTCACCTCCAACAAACCTTCCTCCTATCACCCTTACAGGACCAAGCTAGGTACATATTTTCCTTGCTTTTTCAACTTGTTTTTATATGTCGCTCCGCTTTGCGAGTCGAGGATTTGGGTTGGCAGTCATTTGACAAGATATCTATCGGCACAAGGACAGCATCGGGATAGATAGGCGTTGGCATGCATGGCGTTCTTTGGTGTTGGGAATTCTGATTAGTGGGATCGGCTATCATTTGGGGTGTTTGGAGGAAAACTGTATATGGTTTGATATATACCAACATATTCATGGTCTCGATTGTAATCTTGACTTAATGATGATACTACTCGTGTAAATATCTATCAAATACTCAAATCAACCGTCGACCCAATTGTCTGGATACTGATGTGAAAACTTCGTTCTATACTGTTATTCCTCTAGATACATCTTCGTCGTACTTCGGGTGGCAATCATTGTACCCTGGAAATTCCTTTCACTTAGCACTCATTTGTGCACTCTGTCCCGGTATACATATCTGCGTGGTTGTTTTGAAGGAGCCGCTCGATTCGTGTCTTGATCCTATGACTGTGCAGGTTCCATGAGGTTCTCAGCCTGTCGACAAAGATGTCTGTCTCGCTATTACCATTAAGCTGGATCCTTGGAGATCGCCCGAATCAAGACATTGGATCAATTCTTTGATCATTAGACGTGCTGAGCCGACACTTAATCTTGTTTGATCATGTAAATCAGAGGTCAGAAAGTAGTGTTTGGCCAAGAAGGGAGACTAGGGCTAGGGTAAAGAGAGCTAGATAGGCCTAGCGTCCGAGCCGACTTGTGGCTGGACAGCAACACCACGAAATAATGGGAAATTGTTCTACAGTTGACCAAGCACATTTTGCACCAATTTGACAAGCCAGACTTGGGTGGGATTTCTTCCTGGTCGATTGCAACCATGGCAGCTCTCAACAAGATCGCTGCTACTTCCCCGTCAAGACAGAATCCATCGGAGTTGGAAACAAACATTGCGAATGCGCTCTACGAACTCGAAACCAATATCCCAGATCTGAAAAGTGCTTTGAGACCGCTACAGTTTGTCTCGGCCCGTGAGGTAAGCTTCCAGTACCTATCTTTCTGATATTGCTCGTCCCAGAAGGCTATGGTTTACAGTTGTTTGTTTTCGAGATCAAAACCCCCCACGAGATATACAATACTGATACTCATCTCTCCAGATTGAAGTCGGCCACGGCAAAAAAGCCATCATAATCTTCGTTCCCGTCCCCCTCCTCCCTGGCTTCCACAAAATCCAACAACGTCTCACCCGCGAGCTCGAAAAGAAATTCTCCGACCGCCACGTCCTTATCCTTGCCGCTCGCCGCATCCTACCCCGTCCCAAGCGATCCAACCGCAGCCGTACCTCGCAGACCCAGAAACGACCCCGTTCCCGTACTCTGACCGCCGTTCATGATGCGATCCTCGCGGATGTGGTGTATCCGGTTGAAATCGTGGGGAAGAGGGTTAGGACGAAGGAGGATGGAAGTAAGGTGTTGAAGGTCATTCTGGACGAGAAGGAGAAGGGGGGTGTGGATTACAGGTTGGATACTTATGGCGAGGTTTATCGGAAGTTGACTGGGAGGGGAGTGGGGTTTGAGTTTCCCATGAGTGCTACATCGGAGTACTAGAACGGTTGAGTTTGGAGGATGGATCGGGCCAGGCGAGGCAGGTCTTGATGTGGTGAGAGAGAAGTTCTGCGGATGACGGACTGCGGTAGATGAGCAGTCGTAAGTACTTCTAGCACCGTCAAACGATAGCATCGAATGGTTGCTCAACTTTGCACAACCCTGGTCAAGCATATCAAATCTGAAACTCTGTGGAACAGTCTTTTCTTTCATTCTTCACTGCGCATGGATATCGTGTCTCTTACTTCTTCACTCTACCCACTCCCAAAACCACCCAATAAGCGAGTTCCCGCACCCCGTCTTCCACCCCTTCTTCATTCAACCTTGCCTTCTTATTCGCGCCATCATCCAAATCACCTTGCTTCCAGTCCAACCTCACTCGAATAGGGATTTCCAGCACATCCTCGTCCTCATCCACTTCTCGCACCTGTATCTCCTCCTTATCTGCAGTCTCTACGATTGACTGAGCAATACTCACAGGCACCACCTCCACAACCACACTCGTCCAATTCCTCCCCTTCTCATACACCTTCCCGGCCTCTGCAACTCCTCCATTTCCACTACCAGAGATTTTCCCAGCAGAACCAGCAGCGTCGCCAGACTTAGAACCCAGCGCCTCCTCCCAAACATCGCTATTGGCCCCAATCTCAAATTGTGGACACAAGATCGTGACTCTGTGCCCATACTTGCCCGGCGTAACAGCCGGAGTCGCGATACTGACTCTTACGGCGTCGAAGAGCGAATTCGTCAGCTTGAGGATCCACTGCGTCGGCTTACCCGGCTCTAGGATGACGTCTCCGCCATATAGGAGGGCGGAGGGAGCGCTTGATGTTGATGCACCACCTCCCGCCGCTGAGGTTCCCAGGAGAGGTCTCAGCGAGACATGGGGGATATAGCTCAAGGCCACTAATTTGATTCTGTGCCTCGTGCTCGTGGGTTTTGCTTCGGGCTTCACAAGGATGTGTCTGCATTCTTTGCAGCGTTTTGCTCGTTTTGTCGTCAGCGGCGCCGGCATGGGCCTCAATTCATCGACGAAGCGAGCGTCTGGGTTTCCACCCGCCGGGCCGGTTTGGAAATGCCGTTGTGATAGGGTGGTGGTGTTGATGAACCCTCCGGTGGCGCTGGAAAGGAGTTTGGTTTGGGCTGATGTTGCGGCGTCTGGGCTGGGGATGAGGAGGCCCTCGGAAGGGTAGAGCGCTTCTCGCATAAGTTGAGGTTTGGGTTTCTTTTTTGGTGGGAAGGTTCCCGAGGTGGAGTAGAGGTTTAGAATTCGGTTTAGTGAGGAGGGGGAGGAGTAGGAGAAATCGCTGGAAATGGAGGGATGGGTCGGATTGGCGGCCGTTGTGGTTGTGAGCTGGTTCTTGTAGAATGCTTTTAGGGCAGTGAAGCGGGCAGCTGGATCGAGAGGTGCTTCTTTGGGGGAGCCATCTTGCTGGATTGGTGGGGGTTCATTTGTTGTGGCTGAGAGTTGTGGATAAGATTCGTGATTGAGATACGATGATCTTCTGGCAAGATCTGGCGTCTCGGTAGGTTTGGATGGTGCTTTGGGTGTGCCGCCATTGGCAATCCTATCCAATTGTGCTCGGATATTCGTTGGTCTGTCGAATCTGATGCCGATGTCGAGGGATGTCCACATGCAGTAATAGCAGTTGAGAATCCAGGGGCCTTCCTTGACGGCGCCATTGATGTTGTTGACGCTGAGTTGCGAGAAGCAGATGGGGCAGTTGAAGCAATTGCGCGCACATCTTCGAGTAGTGGTCAATTGTGGTTACGTCTTGGGGGGAGCAGTCTTACCTACCGATTCCCTTCACTTCGAACAGCAGAAGCAGGCGTCTCAAATAGACAGCTGGTGCAGAAATATGACACCTGTTCTTCAATCGAACAGCGGGGACATTTTAGATCACGGCATTCCTCGCAGTAGAGCAGATGTTCAGGCGGAAAGAGAGAGAAACTGGCGCGTGGATGATGCGGATCAAAGGGTGCCTCCTCCTTCTCCTCCTCAACTTCCTCAGGCTCTTCGGCTAGTGGTTTCTTGTGGAAGAGCGGGGCAGGTCGAAGCCTTGATTCTTCAATCTCTTTCGACCCATCTGAGCAAGGGCAGGAGATGTAGGTGTAGGGGAATGTAAGCCCCATCTTGAATGATCGGTATCAAGCATAGTCTGAGTATTCAATGGTATATGAATTCCTTGTCTACCTGCTGCACAGGTCCTGGTCAGACCAGCAGGAAGAGCCAGCACGATGCCATGTTCCACCCCCAATTGAACGTTGTGACTCGGCCTTCCGAGGAGGGTTACGCGCCAAGACTGCTGCGAATCAAGCTTTCAGGGATGGAGCACTAGCGCGTCTCGCATTACTTTCTCGATATGGATGCATCGAGGACGGTACGCCAGTACGCCAGTACGTCAGTACGTCACGTAAACTGGTCTATGTACCCCGTACTCGAAGTACTCGAAGGATGATATGATATGAAAGAGCCTGGACACAGCTCTAGCCGACCTCGATCATGAGGCCGTGCTCCCTTCGGCCATATTTGCCTACCTCTGCATTGAGAAGACGGGCTCCCGGAAAGCGAAGCTATGCTGTCCAAGCTCCTGGAGCACCAACACTTGAGATATTCAACCAGCATGTGAAGTACCTGCAGAAGGAGAGAGCTGCTTCCAATGCAGAACAGAGCCGCAAGGTCGACTACATCCGAGATGAAGTGGCTCAGAGGCTATGTGAGCGCTTACTAGTACAACACCACCCTCAATACTAAACCTTCACTTCTAATCTTACCCTGTAGGACATTCAACGACATTTCCCTTCAGTGTTAGACCTAGGCGCAAATAGCTTGAACATAGCCCGAGCTCTCGCCAATCCCGACCACCTCACTATCTCATCACATCCATCATCCGCGCCAGATGCACCCTCCGCTCCAGACGTCACTGATCCGTCCAAACTCCTCACATCCCGCATCAGCCACCTCACCTGCGCCGAAACTTCACCTACTCTTCTCCATCGCGATCCAGAACCTCAATCTTCCATACCACTCGAGCTACAGCTTCTGAACTCTCTCGAAACTCTTCCTTACGAACCCAATACATTCGATGCCGTACTCTCCTCACTCTCCATCCATTGGGTCAATGACCTTCCCTCTCTTCTTGCACAGATCAATTCCATCCTCAAACCTGATGCACCCTTTCTTGCCGCGATGATGGGCGGAGATTCAGTGTTCGAGCTCCGCACGTCCTTGCAATTGGCCGATCTCGAACGTCGAGGTGGAGTTTCGCCTCATGTCTCTCCCATGGCGGATGTCCGAGATGTTGGAGGCTTGCTTTCAAAGGCTGGCTTCAAGCTATTGACGGTGGATGTTGACGATATGGTGGTGGAGTATCCAGATACTTTCGCGTTGATGATGGACCTACAGGCCATGGGGGAGAGTAATGCAATATTGAAAAGTGCTGGTGGCCTGGGCGGGTTGAGTCGTGATGTGTTGTTGGCAAACGAAAGTATATATAGACAATTATACGGAGAAGAAGCAAATGAGGGTCTACCAGCGACTTTTAGGATTATATACATGATTGCTTGGAAAGAGGGAGCTGGACAGGGAAAGCCACTCCCACGTGGTAGTGGGCAGTTGGACTTGAAAGATGTCCTTGGTGGTGGCGACTTTAAAGTATCATGAACCAGCTGGAAACGAGTCCACCCGGTCGCTAGAGTACATATCTGGCTCCTCAGAGAAGAGACCAACACATGTGTCTGTGCTCGTGTCTGCTTCAAAAGCCATGTCACGCTGGCCAATGGCTGCGGCCGGACCATTGTTCAATGCGCAGCCTCAAGCTGCCACAGGTACCCTTGCTCTCTCCTACCTCTCACGGCCGAGCTCTTCCGATATATCTGTCTGCCCCTCGTAATTAGAAGAACGGGCAGAGGTCTTGTTTAGGATCATGGCATACTTCAAACCTCTGGTACAGCATATCAAACCGTCCTCCGATCACACATGACCCTCACGATGCCGCCCACCCCGACAATCTCCACCAATTTCTCATGCCAACTCAACAGCACGCTCATGGCCTGTCCGCCTCCTCCCTCGCCCAGATTCCTCGCTTGCACCTGACTGAACCCCGTCGCCTGCGGTGACAACGACGTCTTCGACGAGGAAGTAGATGTAGACTGCGAAGACATGCCCTTGTACCTGTGACCCAATCACCCCAAGTTAGTCAGCGCGAACTCCACACTTCAATTCCAACCCTCCAGCATCCCGACCCAGAAAAGAAGAAGCGAGACAACAGGAACAGAGGAAGGAAGAGACATACAGATACTTCATCAAACAATCCGCC